CTCACATGATTGTATGAGTCAGCGAACATCATTTTGATTTTTTCTATTGTTCATGTTAGAATATTATCATAACAGGTATGATGAAGGAACTTCAGGATAGCAACATTCATGTTGGAAACATAATTATGGATAACGATTCCACAACAGTTGTGAGAGCTAGAGCTGAAGTAAATCCGGCCCTAAAGAAGCAATGTGATAGAAATCATACTCTAAAACAATTTACAAATAAGCTATACGAGTTGAAAAAATCTAAAAACTACAAAGAATTGAATAGTAAGACAATTCAACATCTGTCAAAATGTTTCAAATATTGCATTTCCCAAAATGAGAATGATCCCTCGGGTATGAAGAAAAACTTAGAGGCAATTGGAAGACATGTTTTTGGTGATCACAGTTTCTGTGAATCCTGGTGTAAATATTTAGCTTCACCACTAACATACAAACCTTGGCAATTACCTTATCACAGATATCTGAACAATCAAGATCTAAAGAGTGACTTGACATCTCTACTCAGCTTATACATATCACAGGCAGATAAACTAGTAGACCTGGGCAGTACACAACCTAATGAAAGCCTTAACAATACCATTGCTAGCAAGACTCCAAAACAAAACTTTTATTCAGGATCAGAAAGCAATGATTTCCGTGTTGCAGCTGCAATTGCCCAAAAAAATTTGGGTCATCATTATGTTACAGAGGTATAAAACTTGTATATTCATTTATTATTTCATAAAAGCAATTGTAAAGTTTCAAATCAATTATATTTCATTTCATTGAATTTCATTGTAGGTCAATGAGGTCTTGCTATTATCCCCAGGTGAAATTACTTCTTCAAAAGCCAGAAAAATAGACTTGAAAAGGAAGAGAACTAAAGAAACTGAAGATACAAGTACTTACAAGAAAAAAAGGGCACAGAAAAAGATGGACCAGCATAAATCACAAGAGTCAGCAGAAGTGAGGGAAGGAAGAACATACGAACCAGACACAGATATGAACAACAATACTGATCCAAACAGCATCAAGGAAATACCTCCACCTCTCAGCAAACCTGTACCTACTCCTATTACTGAGGGTCAATACACATTTGTATATTTTGACTTAGAAACTACTGGTTTAGGTAATTATCAGTTTTACAAAAATAACTCAAATTGAAATTTCTGTCATTTATTTTACTATTCTCATGGATTGAATTTTGTTTTGCAGGTGACGATTGTGAAATAACACAGATCGGGGCCTCTGTCAATGATGATGTGTTTTGTCAGTATGTTTTGCCATTGACTCAACCAATTTCTGCTTCTGCCACAGCTGTGTCTGGTATTGCTACACAGAATGGTTGCATGTACAAAAATGGACATGAAGTTCAGTGTATGAGGACACCAGATGCAGTGAACAATTTTATACACTGGCTTGGAAAATTTGGGAAAGTATTGCTTGTGGCTCATAATGCCAAGTTTGACTCTAGAGTTCTAGTGCATGTGTCGAGTTCCATCGGTATTAGTGCGTCAGAACACATAAGTGGGTTTGTGGACACATTATCTCTATTTAGAGAACTTTACCCAGGCCGCAAGAGTTATAAACAAGTGGACTTGCTGAAGGACCTGTGTGTGACTCATTATGATGCTCATGATGCCAAATCTGATGCCTTGGCCTTACAAACTCTTTTATTGTCTTTGTCAGTTTCATGTCAGATTATGATGAAGCATAGTTTTTCTACAGAATTTGTTGTAAATAATTTGAATTTTTTGATGATGAAAATGAGAAACATGCAATCATTGCAAAATCTTATTGATAATAAGATTTTATCCAAGTTTACTGTAAACAAAATTGCTGAAACAGGTCTTCATTTCCAGCACATTTTATTAGCTTACCAGAGAGACAAAGAAAACGGGGTAAGATCTCTGCTATCAGAAAAAACAGGAGGAAAACCAAGAGTGACAGGAAATTCAAAATTATTCAGTCTCTTCAGAATCATTTTATGAATATGAAAACATAAATGCATGTACAACAACTTTCAGTGCTTTCTGTTGTATGTATGGGTGTATTGCATTTCTTTTTTCAAAGAGAGGTAACTCAGGTACAAACAACTATGCAAATTAGATTTTTAACAAAAATCCAAGAAAAAAGGCTGGTTTCATATGCTGAAAACTCTAGAGTTTCATCATCTATTGCTGTAGTACTCTTGTAAAAAAAATTTGGAAGAAATACCAGCTAAAATTACGTTTGAGGATTTTGGTATATTTTGCATAGAAAAACGCCAAATTTTCATCATATGTTATCTTTTCAAAACCCCTGGTAATATATTCCGATTTTTTGCCTAAGAACATCTTAGGGGGCCTTCATTTTAAGTTAAGAATTTCTTGAAAAACTACCAACAGGTAATGTACGTTGCGTATGACCTTAACGTATAAAAATTGAAAAGCGAGATATCGCGTCACAACAAAAGTGTCATTGATATACATTCAAACAGAGAAACGGCCAAAGTGATATGACCCAAAAATCGACATGTGTCTTGCTCTTATAGTAAAGTACTTAATATGAACAAAGAAGATGGGGAAACAAGGCGTGCAGAATACCTATATAGCTTCAAATGTATAAAAATCAAATGCAATTTGCGAACCCGAAAAAATTAATAATAGTAAATGTCACCTTGAACCAGATACACTGATTGAAGGATGTGCAGAGGAAGATGCAGCACCAAATGCATTCACTTGCATACAGACCACAAATACATAAAACTGAAAGCTTGGCGTGTTTACTACAAATAGATTAATTTGAAAACGGTCTCTTTCTTTCTTTCAAACAAATTCATTAAAAACAAAATTAAAATTTAAATCCAATTCAATCCATGCATTGAAGAAAATTTATACATTCCTTGTTTGTATAAATATATTAAGGGGACGGCCATTTGATTCTGAAAGGGGGGGGGCAGGCTTGCAAAAATTTTCGAGTTATTTTCATGTCAGTCAAGGACAGATTATTTAATTCTCAAGACGATCTAGGAAAGATTATTTATTTCCTTCTTCTCTGAAAACAGTTTAACAAGCAAAAAACAAAACAAAAAAAAAAAAAAAAAAAAAAAAAAACAAGGGCCTCGACGGTCAGTTGAGTATAGTACAACAATTTAGAGGATCCATAGAGTATAAAATAAACTGATAGATGAAGCTTTGTTGCCCAAATGCAAGAGAAATAGGATGATCAGGATCAACGAAATAATTAGTCTAGCATTCAGTAACAACTCAAAAATTAAGTTTAATCTCTCCCCCATTTATCACTATAACAATGCAGACTATTATCAAACTAATAATGCTTCTGTACTAGTTAAATCCAATATTATAACCTCTCACATTGGTCTTTCTTGGTCTTTGAAGAACATTTACTAAGTTATTTTTGTCTCATTTTTATTTATCTATTATTTACAAGTCTACATGATCATTAAAACTACGAAAGTACTCTTTATACTATACAAAAAAAAAAAAAATAAAATAAAAAAAAAAAAAATAAAAAAAAAAAAAAAATAAAAAAAATTTGCATATTTCTCTTTTTCTATTAACCTTTCAAATACATTTTTTACAGTGATTAAGGTACTCCAATCCTCAGGTTCTGAAAATTAGCTTTTAAGTAATTGAAATTGCTCACAAAGATGTCTCTGATTTCACATAGTAACGTGAATTTACCCATGGAATTTCTTCACAGTTCATCATTATAGTTAATCATATTATATAGGGAAAATAATCAAATCTCAAATATATATACAGGAAATGCGAATAAAAACATCAGCTATGCATTTTTTAATTGAAAATTGATCAACAAATATAATTTAGGATAGAAAAATATAGGTATCCAGGCATTTGGAGAAAATTGCACCTTTTTTATGCTTATACAGTATTTTAGTTCTTCTTTTTACTTCAATTGTCATATAATACATAGTGTAAATAGCTTGTGCTATCATTGCTAGACATCACATATCATGTCTAATTTTATATCATGCTAATAAGCATTGGTATCTAATGCTAGACAAAAGGAAATTCGATTTCTCTAAAAATGAATTCATTTATTTTTGTTTATGGGGTACAAATGTCAACTTTTTACAAGACCGTTTCAAAGACTTCAAAGAACCTTGAATCATATTAAGATGCATAAAATGAAAATTGTTGCACGAAAAGATCTCAATTTCAAGCTTCATTTTGAGACTTTTTAAATAAAATAAAAAAATTAAGAGTTATCCTTCCTGACTGAGGATCGGATATCCTTAATTATCATTAGTGAATGGCAAAGGGGAATAACTTCTCTCAGTAGAATACAAATTAATATAACCCTGGTCAGGACCAGAACACTTGACCAAATAGTCCAGATGTTAAAAAATCTGGTAAAAATACCCTTGCTTATTAAAACTTTTACTCTGCCTCCGATATGTCCAGGAGCAGAGAAGATTTTCGAAGAAATAATGCATTTTCACTACAGATTCAACACAGCCCTACCCTAACACCAGAACCCAGGGTCAGAATATTCACCAATTTGAAAGAGGCACCCTAATCATCATAACTATGCACTTAGTGGAAGATTTTCAAAGAATTAACATTTCCACTATATTATCAATACCACCCCACCCCTCTTTCAGAAAAACGCCAGAACCCTTGACCCTGGGACCACAAATTTTAAACATTTTGTAAGAAGCACCCTTGTTCATTATAACTATGCACTTTGTTTATCTGCTCAACACCAAAGAGCAGAAAGGATTATTTAATAGAATTAATGCATTTTCACTTTATAATCAATATAGCCCCCCCCCCCTTTTCACCAGAGGGGGGAGTAGCACAAGTCAAGGACAGATTATTTATTTTCTTGCATTGAGGACAGATTATTTATTTACAACATTTTTGAGGACAGATTATTTATTTCCAAAATCTGCCATCACCCCCCCCCCCCCCAATCAAATGGTCATCCCCTAACCAAAACCTAGCTCAATGTCCTCCTTGCCTCTTTGTTTCAAAAGTTAAAGCGGATGTTAAAATTTTATTTTATTCATCATCAAATATGCATAGAAATTTTAAACGCAAAGAAATTTATGCTAGCACAGAAAACCTTTTTTCCTAAGTAATAATAATGTGCAATACACACTTAGACCACTTATATTACACATGACAACAAATGTCTCTCACATGAACAATTTTCAATCTTAAGACAGTGATGCATTAAGTATCCAAATATAAAAATATAAATCAACAACAAAAAAGAAGACATAACAACAAATATATAATAAATACAAAAAAAAAAAAAAAGGCAAAAATATAACAAAGTACGGAACTTTCTTCAGGTCAACAGTGGACGGAATGTTGTAACTTATATCACTGGAAAATATTGGATGGAATTTTCACAATAAAATATATATCAATCTATATCAGAACATCAAAAATACAACATATTTAATATTGCAATCAGCTTTTGGCTGGAATGCTTTAGGTAAAAGTTTCTAATATCCTTTGCTAATTAAGGCACTCATTTTAATATACATATATCACATTACAAAATCAACAAAAACGCAATCTTGCCTTCTTTTCCCCTAGGAACAACCATATCAGCAGTTATAATCATATTTCAGAAACACAGTTTATGTTTTATGTAACAGTGTAAATTGTTCATTCATCTCTCAAGATGCAATCAGTATTTTTAAAGCGTTCTGGAACTCACATCTTAAATATTTGTGAAATGGCAGTAATAAATAAATCTATTCTCAATTACAATTACATCAAATCTGAATCATCCTTGTCCTTTGCAAGAGTTGTCTCCACCTCTTTAGCTGGTTCTTGCTCTTTGCTGGTTTCTGGTTGTTTGTCGTCTGCTACACTAGATTCCTGTTTCTGGTTGTCATCTGATGTTGTTTTTGTCTCTCTCATATAATCTGAATCCCTCCTCTCAACTTCAGAGCGATTAGTTGGTGGAGGTGGAGTTTTTGTCTTTTCTGACTGCTGTTTTTCCTCTTCAGTAGGATGGGTTGGTGGAGGTGAGGATCTTGTCTTTTCTGACCCCTGCTTTTCATCTTCTGTGCGATTTGTTGGCGGACCAGAGGATTTTGTCTTGTCTGATCCTTGTTTCTCATCTTCAGTACGATTGGTGGGTGGATCAGAGGATTTTGTCTGCTCATCATGAATGTTGTTTTTGGACTCGGTCTTTTGAAGGTTTTCACCTGATGGGACTTTCTTTAGACTCTCTTTGGATTTTGTTTTGTATAAATTTTCCCCAGATGACCCCTTTTTCAGACTCTGGGTTGATTCACCCTTTTTCAGACTTTGGGTTGATTCACCTTTCTTCAAGCTCTGAGTTGATTCACCTTTCTTCAAGCTCTGAGTTGATTCACCTTTCTTCAAACTCTGAGTTGATTCACCTTTCTTCAAACTCTTGATGGATTCACCTTTCTTCAAACTGTGTGAAGATTCACTTTTCTTCAAACTCTTGACAGATTCTGATTTTTTCTTCTCGGTTGCATTTTGATTCTGATTTCCTTCTGAGCTTCTGTCACTAGTCTGAAACACGAATGAAAAAAAAAATGTTTGTAAAATATGGAACAGTCCGTACAAATGCTCCAAGAGAAAGTGTTTGTAGCCTATGGCACAGAAGGTAAATGGATCACAGGTGATTGAAAAATGAACATACCAAAAAATTTTTTTATTGCTACACTTTGGAATGACAAATCCTATCAAATATGCATCAAAGGAATAATTTTTTTTGATGTGAAATGTGCTACTTACACAAAGCATATTCATTGCCTACTGACAAAGACTGCACTGGTTTACCTGTTGAGGGTTTTTCCTGTCTGTTCCTTCTCCAGTCTCATCTTCACTATGCTCAATCTCCACCTGAGTCACAGGGTCCTCATGCTCAGATCGAGGTCTTGAGGTACTTTTGTGTTCCTTTACGTCTTCCTCTGAGGTCACATTTTCTTTACCTCTGGACTTCTTACTGGTCATACTACCCCTTGTAGGAGGCCTAGAACCTGGTTTTGCCACTGGGGACTGTTGACCGGATCTTTCACTTGCTTTTGTTGGTGTACCACCTCCACTTCCTTTCTTTCCTTCAGACTTTCCTTGACTGTAAACTGAGTCCTTGCTTCCTTTCACACTTGACTTCTTTGCAGTATCTCCTAAGGGTTGTTCCCCACCCATTGGAGGCTCTTTCTGTAAGGCAAGTCCTGGAGGTAAGGGAGGAGCTTTGGGACTCATTGGTCTATATGACATCTGGGACTGTTCTGAGTTCTCGACCTCTTCACCCTGCTCGAGCTCAATAAGTTCCTCTTCCTCTTCATCTGAGTGAATGAATTCTTCTTCTTGTATTGGCATCAGGGGAGCTTTCATCAGCATCATGTAGGACCTTGACTTCTTCACACCATCTTCTGGCAGTCCTGTTAAACAAAATACATTAAAACTGTGAATCTCCAGACTATTTTCACAATGCATTCTTTGAGATATAATTCTTGACAGTTATAAATCTTTTTCAACTCTCAACATGCAGGAATCAAGGCCTGACTTACCTGGGTCCAGGATAAGGGCTACTCTGGCCAGCTTCCATTTCTCCACTGGGACTGGACAGTTTAAGTTCACTTCAGTGGTCTGGACTTGTCTGCTCTGTAAGTAAGAAATATATCCTTTGTGAAATTTTATATCCAAGATACAAATACAAGGGTTGTCCAAAAAAGTCATGGAATGGTAAATCAGTTTAGTTTCTCTTTGCTTATATAACTTTCTTTTTGCTGACATTTGCAGCAAACTTGACTCAGAGTATGCCCTGAAAATTGTCCCCAATTGTCTGTATCCGATGTCATTTACTTAAAAATGTAATATATTATGCAAGTTTGTTTTCAGATTTGATTAATATATATGATATTTTTAGATATTATCAAAGAAATAAGTGCAATGGCAATCGTAAGATAGTACATGTAAATTATCCCAAATTTTTATGCCTCAAGCTACACAAGTGTGTAAAAGAATACTTAATAGTGCCCATTAATCAATCTGTATACAAATCTATGTGATATATGGCTTTGTGAGATGCAAAATATAATCAATCAATGCTTTAGTATAACTGCCTCTAAAAATATTTTAAATTAATGTTTTTTGTGAGGCTATTATATACTGTTATACATGTAACATAAATAAATGTGTGATTTAAATTGTTTGACTATTTGGTTGTGTTTTTTGGAAATACAAAAGTTTGCAAGTAAACTAATGCATCACAGCTATTTCCCTTTAAGTTAATTTTTTTTGCATTGCTATTACATTTAAAATCATTTAGACTTTTTGAAGAAAAAAATCATTGTTACCTTGTTCATGAAAATAGGACATGGATATATTGTCTGTTGATTGACCTTGTCTACTTGTTCAGCTGTTATGATGGGCTTCATGTAAATGTATGGAATTTTATACAGAGATGAGCTGAAAGAAACAAAAAAGTGCAACATGCATACAAACTTCTTATAATTATATGAAATCTGAAATACATATTGAAACTAGATTTCATAGAACATGAATGCCCCACCCAGGGACTCATTAATTAGTAATGTAATATGAAGATTTGTATTTGCATAGTTTTATGAAAATTTCTTGAATAGTTTCTTTAAAACTGAGTTAAATACACAATAAATAATAAAGTCAAAGGTCATTGGAAAGGTCAAGGTAAAAATAAAATTGGACACAGTTAATGAATTCTCACCAGATTATGTATCAGTGCATATGCTAACATAAAAATATTTTGAATAGTTTCTTTGAAACTGAGCTAAACATAATTTAAGAAAAGTTAGATCAAGGTCAAAGGAAAGGGCAAGGTCCAAAAAATTTGATGCAGTTCAATAGCACTCATCAAAATGTATCAGCAAATGAAGTTTGATAAAAATATCTTGATTTGTTTCTTGACACTGAGCTTATCACAAATTTGAGAGGTCAAAGGAAAAAGACTGGGGCCAAAAATTTGATGCAATTGAATAGCTTTCAAATTCATCAAATGAATACTGTATGTATAAGCATATGCAGTTTGATAAAAATATCTTGAATAGTTTCTTTGAAACTAAACTAAACACAAATTGAATAAAAGTGAGGTCAAGGAAAGGTTAGGGACAAAAAATGTTGATTAAAATTTAATAGCTCTTTCCAATATCTTGATTAATTTCACTGAAACTGAGCAAAGCACAAATTTTTGAAAGGTGAGGTCAAGGTTAAAAGATAGGTCAAGGTCAAAAATACTCTCTCCATTATGTATCAGCATATAAGGTTTCATAAAAATATCTTGAATAGTTTCTTTGAAACTTAGCCAAACACATATTTTTGAAAAGGTTCTTTGAAACTGAGCTAAACACAATTTTTTGAAAAGTGGGATCAAGGTCAAAGGGAAGGTCAAGGTAAAAAAAAACTGATGCAGTTGAATAGCTCTTATCAATGTGTATCTGCATATGAAGTTTGATTAAAATTTATTGAACAATTTATTTGAAACTGAGCTAAATGCAATGTGTGATGGAAGTACAGAAGGACGTAAGATGGACATGAAAAACACTTTATGCCCTGGCCATGTTCATGGCTGGGCATAAATAAAAATAAACCTGAATAAACATTTCAGTTTCGCAAAACATGAAACTTACATGCAGTAAGTGAAACATACAAATGCTGTTCAAATTTGTGTTTCATTGACCACAGATAAACTGTATTATATTTCAATCAGTAAAGAAATATGACATAAACATATCTGTCAGGTTTTTTTAAATGGAAGATATGATAATGAAAACATAAGTAATGGAATTAGAAATTTTTCTTACTTGGGATCTTTGAGGCAATCATTTTCATAATCCCAGGCAGCCCCTTGAAGATTGAGGTCACTGACAAACATCCCTCCTTCATCCACATCATAATCATCTGTGTTGACATTGTCCAGTACAATACACTCAAACGATATCTACCAAGTATAGAAAGAAACCAATGTTAAAGCTGAACACGACTTGTAAATAGGCATACGCCATTTTTGTATTACAATCTACGATATCAGCACCAGGGTATACTCCTCGCATTCGTTACACCTGACTGCTTTATTGTCACGGGTATCGGCGCGGCATGGCGACCCGCGTGTTCGTGCTGGTTATCTTGCATTACCTTTGTTTACATTTTATTGCAGTTACGTGTGTATACTGCACTGACCTGTGCAACTATTGTAAGTTTCTTTGATATCTTACTTTCCTGCATAAGAACAAGTATACAGTTATTTTTTCGTCGCTACCGAGTTTTGTATAGTATACGTCCGTCTACACAGGTGACGACTGATTGCACTGAACAATGACTAAGTTGGCCGCTTTATATAGGGGTCCTCAGATATAGCGAGAATCCGATCAAAAATGGCGGACACATTCCTTTTACGAATCGTGTTCAGCTTTAAACTAAAGGGCACTATACTTCGAAGACATGCCTAGGTTTTTACTGTAAATGAACATTTCAAGAGCATTATTCATTGTACAAATCCTATCAGAACAGGAAAGGGATTTTTTTTTTCTTAATTTATTTTTTTTTTTGTTGTTGGCATTTTAAGATTATACTGCTCCCTTTCATCTCACTACCATATTTAAATTTTGAAAAATTCTAGTTCTGTAAATTCTATGTGCCTGTAACATAAATTATTCAAAACAGATTTAAAAAAAATCTCCTCCCCTTGAAATTAAAATGAAAGAACCATTACATTTGCAATTTTTGTATTCATATTCAGTTTTGAAATTCCAATAAACTTAACCTACAATCATGTCACATAACAATGCTTTAGTCCCTCATTTATCTGACTCTGAAAACTTCATACCTCAGACATTGAGCACTGGGCTACAATAGCTTTCTCCTGTCTGATAGCCACTAAGAGGGCCTGAGGGTTGACCAGTCCTCCAAGCCACACTTTGCCCAGTCGACCTGCTGCAATGGTTGGGTTCTCCAGAATTCCGTCCTTGAACACAGGAACCATGCTGTGTTTAACCCAGGTATGTAACTGGTTGTACCTTTTCTTTAAGTCTACAAAAACATTTAAGTATATTGCAAATGTTGATACTGATATACAAATTTAATAGTAGCAGCAATGTAAGCATTATTTTTTTTTTTATTTTTTTTTTTATTTTTTACAATATAGGAGCATTATAATGTTTTGAAAATGCTTATTCAGCTCTTTGATATAAACACTGATATGTGGTGACATGCATTCACTCAAATGATATTTTTTTTTCTCATGGAGTTAGCATAAATTACCCCTGTAATGTTAAGTACATTTTATTGCCACAGCAGAAAGAAATGAAACAGCAGCTACATTCTTTGCCTGCATGGGGGTTTTTGTAGAAATTAATTGCATAAGAGGAATCAAAATGAAAAATTTTCATAAACTACAAAAACTTGTAAACCTTGAATACAATTTCCATTTCCTGTAAATCTGAGTTACCAACCTTCCAGCCAGGAGACCAGGGAGTGAGTAGATGGCTGACGATTAGGATGGATCCAGGATACAGGAACATGCTCCTCCTGTAGGCAGCAGGCTGTAGGCAGGAGCTCCTTAGGAATGGCCTCTGGACCCGCTAATAAACAGCCTTGTAGATCATGGATCTGTTGTCTCATATGACAAATGGAGTTGTTCATCCATAGGCATTCCTGTCATTCAATGAAAAAGGTTTTAATTGGTTGTAAGATTTTTTTTGCATTTTTGTGAAAATGAAATGAGACTAAATGGGATATAACAAATTTATTTTTCTTTCAGATACATGTATTAAAATTTTGACCTTTCATTTTGAAAATAAAAAAAATGTAAATTACGACCAAACTTTGACTCCATTTCCTAGCCTTCAAAGACTGCAATTAACAACTGTAACAAATAATAACAGGAAAAATGCCAATTTCCATGCAATGAATCCCAAAACACACCTGCAACAAGCAGTATCCAATGGTCTCTGGCATCTGAGAGCTACTGACTGTCGCTACACTCACAAGGCTGGGGACATGGTAGGGGAAGTCATAGTCATGTTTGATCATATCTCCAACCTGTCCTAGCTCTAGAAGATTAGGTAACTCTTCTGCACACATGTCCAAAGATGATCGCAGTCTCATGATATTCACACTGTCTTGCTGTGAGCGTGCTACATCACCTGCCTCCATGGTTTGGGTTTCAAACATCAAGTCCAAATTTCGAACGAAACTAGTGGCCCTAAATAAATGAAGTCTCCATACAATAAATAGGGGAAAAACCAATGTTATATCTTCTTTAATTCCTAAATTGAGTACAGTCCTTCTCTTTCAGAACAGAATAAACCATAATGACATTTGAAAATTATCTCAATACATTATCCCTGAAGTGATAATATGAACTTCTTACTCTGAGTCGATGGTTTCCCTCTCCACACTGCTGTGTAGCTGAAGAGCTCCTAGTGTAAACTCCTCATCAACATTATCTTCATACCATTGTCCAAAGTCCACAGGATCTTAAGTAGAAAATTCAAACAAATTTAATTTCAGTAACCATTCTATGCTGTGTAATTGTCACTTTTTTCTTATCATGTTTAGAATTTTTTAAAACAGTCTATTACTGAAATTTACATACAAAATGATCAGACTCAAGGTATTAATGATCTAACTTGAATCAAGTAGGCTATGAAATATTTCTCTAAAAGTTTTTTTTTTCTTTTCAGATGTTAGCATGTCTGTTTATGTTCACATTATACAAACCATCTTTATTCATCAGTAGAAAATTTGATGCATCAATAGATAAAGAGTCCCTTAATACTAAAGCATTTTCATGAATGTAGGGATAATTTAACTTTTCCACAAGACCCAAGAATTTCTTACCCACATTAGCTGGGGGAGTCGGGATAGCCACACTTCCCAGAACCAAACTGCCTGTACTGTCCTGGTATAAACTGTTCAGGACATTTTTAACACATGCCTCAACATAATCCATGTCACTGTAGGTCAATACACAGTTCTGATAAATCAACTGAAACAAAAAAAGGAAAAAATAAAATGACACAATTTACACTAACTGGTCAATTACAATACAAATTCCACTCCATGTTGGAACAATGCTTCATACTCATTTTATCATCCACATTGAAAACATGAACAAACTTAAGGTAAAAGATCAGTAACCAATACCGTAAAGTATTCGAACCAAAAAATCATACAAATGATGCAGTTTTGGTGCAAAATTTGTGCTTCATGTACCAATAACATACTTTTTGCAAACTTTAATCATTTTCATGACTGAAGCAAAGTAATCTGATACAAAATGTTGACATTGCATTGTGACAAATAAGATTTGATCCCTATCCATATATATAGTGATTTGGACACACACAGTGTTGATTTTAAAACCCTGAACCAGATTACCTGGTCCACATAACCAGTCAGAGCCAGTTTGTGGGGTGGTTCTGATCTGGCTGACACATTGGTTGGCCATGGAGATTCAGCCTGTACACATTTGTAATAAAAGTCAATGATTTTAGCACAGAATTTCAAACAATCCCTTTGAGAGTTTTAAGTTTGAAGAACAATGGACATATCTAGGTATCAGTCAACTTACTTTTGCAAATATCTCAGCCATTGTGTCCACTTTGGGAGCCTGCTGGTCTTCGGTTTTAAGCATTTTACTGGTAAGGGCTAACAGGGCCTGCTCCATCTGAACCCGGTTGAATGGGTACCACTGGTTGAGACCCTGAGCACCAAACAGTTGGCGGGAAACCAGCATTCCTTGTATGACTCCCAGACCAAAAGCAATAGTGCGAATCATCTGGGGCTCTGTAGACACTTTGTCCAACAGGTCCACTGGTACTTGTTTGAGGGTGGAAACAATTGCTGGAGAAGTTAAAGTATTGTATGTTCAATATTGTGCTATAATTGCAACTTCAAAACAATATGTTTGAGAATTTCTGGATGATGAAATCATGTCTCTGGTTGAGACATGAAAAATTTGCCATAAATGTAAAAACATTTAAAGAAATATGCAATAGATGTGCTACATAGCTGGATGTTTAATCTCAAAGTTTCGACATGAAAATCTATGGTTATTCATCTAAAATAATAGGATAGTACTCTAGATATACTTCATTGAAGATATGCCAGGCTTCACATTTAAACCAAAACAGCCAGACAGCTTGAAAACATGATAAAATTTGATAGTTCTCACCTGAGTGGAGATATGTTGACGGTGACCTATATACAATGGCCAGTGGGGCTTTCTGGGACTGGTTCCCTCCCTCTGTGTCCTTCTGATCTTCCTTTGTTGTCCCTGAGTTAATGACATCTTCTGTAATGTGGTTCCAAGCTATTTTATGCAGGTTCTGCAGCAAGAAGCTTGGAATGAGTGGGTAGGGCTCTGATGTAATCCAAACGCAGAAACGATTTCCTTTCTGTTTATCATCCTGGGCATTGCCTGTAATGAAAATAATATGTTGAATCATAAGAGGACATGGGCAATGTTTATTATTTCTTCTTACACTTGATATTTTCTTTATATGGGCATCAGACAAAAGAATCCTGAATCTCAAAGCATGATGTTTAATCTTTCAATATTAGTAACTCTTGCTGATGGTTGGGGTAGACGAAATAAACAAATATTATTTTTTAATTCTTTTTCAAGTGAAAATCCACATGGCAGGTGATCTTCAAGGTAAGAAATATGCACATGAAATTACATTTATATGACCTAGCTCTCAGATTCCAAGTGCTAGAATTTCTTGATTTAGTTGTCTTTCCTGCATTTTAATTCTGAGGTGTTATACACATCATGTATGATTATCTTTTGTCGTCTTAAGAAAAGACATAGCTAAATACCGTATATACTCGCCTATAAGTCGGTTTTTTGGGAGTTAACTTTTGGTCTAAAACTCTATGTCCGACTTATAGGCGAGTCATCAAAAGCTTGGTATTTTTCCGGACCACAATAGGTATTTTTTACATAACTTCGAAGATTGAGAAATGTCTGGACGTATTATATTATTTATGTATTCTAAGATTATAAATTATAAATAAAGTATAAATAGATTATAAATAAAGTACAAGTATTTAACGATGTCTTATCCTAACATATTATTTGAACACAGGTAAATACATTAGAGTATTGATATGAAATTTATAAGAGAAAAAAAAAGAGAAAAAATATCGGCATAATTCTTCAAAATATTATTTGAAAAACGTTAAAACATTAGAGCATTGATTGAAATTGTCCACCGATTCTGGCAAAAAGTTGTACCGACTTATAGGCGGGTCAATTGCAAATCCCTCCAAAATAACCTCAAAAATCACAACCGACTTATAGGCGGACCGACTTATAGGCGAGTATATACGGTATGCAGTATCCAGTGCATGCAGATAATGATCACTAATTCACAGAAACAATAACAGTTTTCCCACCAGGCCATCACTACCCATCATAGTTAATTCATTGCTGGCGTAGTGTAGACCACCGAAGTACATAATACAGGTTTTTCCCTATTTTTAGTGAATAGCTTACTTCTTGATCTAGCCACTCTAACAAGATGTTTCTTCAGATCGTTGAAGAATTTGGGAGGAGCCAGATGAAGATCCTGGATTATCACCCAGCCATCATTTTTATCTGCACTGTCTATTGCCTCATCCACCAGAATCTGACATCCATCTCCTACACGAACAGTCTCCACTTGGGCTCCGATGGCCTGAAGTAATACAGATTCATAAGATTTTATTTATATTCCTCAAAAAAAACAAAAAAAAAACAATTCAAATGTGACTAATATACATGCACTTAAAAGATTAGATGAAAATGACATTATTATTTACTTTTGCAAATGTGCACTTAAAGATGTGTCATTTGTTACACAAGTGTATTTTTGATCATGTTTGATCAGGCTTGAGTTCGAAGATTCAAATGGCAAGTACAAACCAAAGGTATAACAGAAGTGGTTTAGTTCTGATGACGATTCCTACCTGAGCCATTTTCTTGAGAACTTCCACTGGTGGTTTTGTTAGGCGCAGTCTGTTGGAAGGATGTTGCTGGCTTTCCGAGACACTGGGAGGCAGCAGCAATAACACCCCAAGATGGCGCTTAGCATCTTGAAGGACGTCACTCAAACTGAAAAATTGAAACAAAACACCCATAATGTAAATAAGGCTTTGATTTATATAATTTAAACATAAAAAATAATTACTTGCTCTTAAATTTAAGACTGTCAATTTAAGTTATTTTGAAATAAGACAAAAAGTGTCTAAATGTGTTACTGTAAATGTGGAAATGTTCACTTGGGGGAAATTTTTGACAATTCTGTGATTAAAGTTTTGCAAATTTATAACCACACAAATGGTAAAGTACCATACTGAACAACAAAGCAACACCTTTTGAAAAAATTCCTTAACTTTAGAAAAAATAAGCCTCACACAAACGCTGTGTTCCATGGAAATCATAAAATTTTACCACACAAAAATTTTCACATTTACAGTAAAACATTTACTCAAAATTCTTATGGAATAAAAATATGAGAAAATCTAAGAAAACCTACTTAAATTCAGTTTGCTCTGGTAGATTAATTGTTAGATGCTTGTTAACATAGCGGACCAGAGCAGCAGGCAGACGGTCCTCTCTCAGCATACGTAACAGTAGAAGTTGGTGGAAGTCAGAGAGAGGCCCAAGGTCAGGGGTCTTCATGCCATTACTTTGACTGTTCTTACTCCCTCCGGAAGATGGACGTTTGTCTACAGGACAAATAAATTCACATTCAACACCAGTAAGAATGTTAGATATGACGGGGAAAGCAGTCAAGAATAAATGTTTCACAATTCCCTACCTTCTTCCCCCCCTGCTGAGGACAGAGGCAGTGGCTCCCTCTCTGGATATTCAACCTTGTACCAGGACTTCCAGGATTTGGAGTTTTGGGCCATGTGGACACAGAGACTGTCTAATGGTCCAGGCAGGACAGACAGGGCCAAGATGTCTTCCCACTTCTCCTGGGGCAGCCATGCTGGGGGGCGGTCCTTACAGTCAAAGTCATTCAGGGTTAACAGCATTCCCAAACCAGGATTTCCTGTGTATTTCAAAGATTTAATCATCAAAAACTTCTTTGTAAGTATACAAATCTAGCCAATTTCAAGCTCACCAATTTAATCTAATCGTAATTTTTTTTTTCTTAGTCATAGATGATTGAATTTCCTTGTGAAATTAAACATACCTTGCAGGAGAAGTGACATTTCTTCATTAGAGAAGTTTTCAGTTCCTTCTGCCTCAATGTTGAGGCACAACAATGTGGCCAATAGTAAAATGTCCTCTTCATACAAGGCTCTAAAATATCAAAGATTTTATTTTATTACTACATATCTGTAAAAGTTTTTGATAGACATCGTATAAATAATCCAATGAACAATTCCTTGTGAATTTTCTGTGGAGAGAGTCATACAATCAGAGTAAAGCTAACATACTCTCTTATTCTTCTGTAGACCAATCCAGTCATCTTGTCCATGACTTGCTTGATCTGATTGGCTGAGAGGCTTTCATACTCAACACCCTCTGTTGGCAAGGGAAGAGTCTCTGGGATATCAAGGGGAGGTAAATCATCTGATTCTGATCCTTCCAGAAGTTTCTGAGCTGCAGCAGTGCTGGCAGAATCTCCTTTAGGATGAATTAATGATACAGGTAATAAATATGGAAAAAAATTCTTGAATTTTGTTTTTATATTGAAAGTGCTTACCATAATATCAGTACATTCATTTTTCCTGCACTCTTAAAACACAAGCATATTTTGGCATTTAAATTGCAGTAGATTCCTGAATGAATTTCAGATTATTTTACTGTATAATATCCACACATAAGCAAACATGCAAAAGAATCATTTGCCATAATTCCTTGATTGTGATAAAAGAAGCTTTTTTGATGTTAGTAGCATTATGGTGCACAGTTTTTCATGAAAAACAATTTTTCTGTGTAATTCAACAAACGAAAGCCTATACAGATTCTGAAGTTCAAGATTTCATGCAAGATTATTATAAAGAGAAACAAACTCTCCTAGAAATACCTAGCATTTTTACCAAGAAAGTTCTAGAACCAAAAAAGGTTTTAAGTTTTTCCCAACCCCCAGAGTCCCTATTTCCCAAAAAACTATGATACTGATATGAACAGCCACCTGGAAGATTGTGAAAACCAAGAATCCAGAGTTGTATAGTTTTTCATCATTATTATGACGTGCAATGAAAGACGGTAGCAGTTTTTTTTGAAAATGCAAAATGGAGAGCCCTCGATTATATAATAAGCACCAGATTTCAGAAAGTCTTTTGTAGCCATTTTTAAATTACCCTGCTTTTTCCAAACTGTTAACAACTCAATATAGGCTTGATCTGTGAATCAGAATTCAAAATTTATTCAAATATAGAAATTCATTGAAAATGTCTGCTTAAAATTGAATACTGCAAGTTTTTTTTTTTAGATAACCAGAAAACATATATCAACCCAGTTTTCTAAAAAAAAAAAAAAAAAAAAATCATTAATATTCAGTACTACTACTTCCATTAGATGCAATAACAATATTTAACAATAATATGCACATTTGAAAGATCATTCTAAATAACCCACCAATGAAAAAATAATTTTATAAAAAAACAAAACAAAACAAAACAAAACAAAAGAAAAAAGAAAAAGTAGAAGAAGAGTGGTTTTGATCTAATAACCTTACTGTATGAGAATAAATTTTAAGAAAATCTTCCATAACATTTAAATAATTGAAAAGCAATTGTCTGCTGTGTTGAATTGTGGGAAGGATGGGATGCCTTCATTAAAGGTTCAAAATATTAATCTCAACATCAAACAATGTGACTGTCACTCAAATTCTGCAATGTTTGTTTCACAAAAACCAAATTCAGTTTTGTTTGTGTTACACACCAACCCATTCGTTAATTAGAGCTACCTGCTAATTGAGTTTCAGGTGGGGGTTCTAGGTTTTTATCCGTTTCCTTAGCTTTTTCTGAAAAGAAATCATTTCAAGGGGGACACATGAACAAACAAACCAGAATTTCTGCTATAATTCATTTATCAAGTGGTGAATTCAACTGACAAGAGAAAATCTTTTTTTCAGAGCAGTTCCATTATCTAAAATCTATCTAATTGTTAAGAGGAATGTTAACACTTGTGAAACTATATTTAAAATGACAATGTGTATGATTTATCTAAAATTCTAGCTAATTTTTGTCTTTTTACAGCATTTAAAGTCATTTGCAATTAATGAAATCTACAACTACTAAAGTCTCTCAGTGAGACACTACAACTCTAATACTTATAATTTCTCTTTTTCTTACTAGTAACTTCACTATTAATTTGTATCTACATGCATTCATATTTCACTAAATTGACAAACAAGAAAAGATTTTTAACAAGAAAAAATTGCTAAAACTACAAAAAAAAAAGAGAAAAAAGCTATAATCTTTATACCTTCTGTTTTGTCCTCTTCAAAGTCATCAGCATACTCCTTGTCTCCATCTTCTTTCTCCGACTTGAGAGTCTGTTTGTCCCCAGTGCCGGCTGTAGCACTGGCTTTGGATTCCTGAGAACTGGCTGCACTACCCTTACGTTTCTTCTGTAGTGCCCCTCCAGCAGAGCTTTCATCCCCATCCTCATATCCCTGTCATCAAAAATTATATCCTTTATTTGTATTGGATGAGGATAGTAAATGAATAGAGAAACAGTTTGTATTCTTTCCTGCTTTCCAAGTTATAAAAAAAACAAATTTCAAAGAAAGTTTTTCACCAGTTTATTTTTTTTAAATTTGAAATCTTTGACTCCCAACTAGTCAAAATCATAGTTATTTTAAAAACTATGGATTATATATGCAATATTTCAATGAATGGGCATCTCAAGAAAATTATTAAAATATTCTTTCTAGATTGTAAAATTTCCTAAAGCTTACTCCTTCATCCTCGTCTCCATTGAGGAATTCTGGGGGTAGCTCTCCTCCTACAGCCTCGTCAAACAGTTCAATGAAATAATGGAGGGAGAACTGGTATTCATTGTGAACACTCTGCAAGCTACGGATGATTGCATACAACATGGCTGCTCGGCGAGCCAAGGGGAACAGGTCATCTTTGAGATCATTCAAGTGTAACAGCAGTGCTTGGGTGTCATTCAGTCTGTTTGCTAACTGTAATTGTGTGAAGAAAAAGTTTAATCATTTTCTCTATTGAATTTTTATTGGAAATTTCCAGCATATTCTTTAATTCAAATTCTATATAATAAGTTTACCATATCAATGAGTTTGTTTTTGAAAATTTCACATTAAGTTCTGACATTTAAAATGCTCCCAATAACTAAAACACATGCAGATAATGTAAAAAATTCTCAAATACTCAAGGACTTACTTCAATCTTAGCATTAGTCATGTCTGTGATATATTTCAGGGCCTTGGCACTCCCTAATATCCCAGCTTGATTGGACAACACATGGGACTTGACAATCTCGGACAGATGAAGCAGAGTATCCTTCTGTAGCTGTAGATTTTTCAGGGCCTTACATCTCTCCTGGTACAACTCAGGTCTCATCCTGGCAAATGCCCGGGTCAAAAGATCCTCAGTCAGGGTGTCATGTGACACTCCAAAGTTGATCAAGGTGGTGGTGGAAGCCACTTCTGGGTTGAATTGTGGTTTGGCAAGTGGTGTCGACAAGTAGAACCTGAAGTCTGGCTGGCACAATACTCGTCGGCCACAGAATTTTATCATGCGGGCTTCTAGATAAGGATGAAAGATACATTCAAATAGCAAATACATATAATTCATATGATCAATCTACATATTGAAGTAAAAATTAGATAAGTTAACTCATTGCAAAATTTACCCTCATACACTTTGTTTAAAGAAAAAGTTAATTCTTGTTGCAGTAAGCAATATAAGAAGTCTAAATGCTGAGAGAATTTACAACTAAATTATTCAGAAATGTACTTACCCTCATTCTTGTCATTTTCCTCGGCTGTGTTACGATGATGGATGAGAGGAGTGATGACATTGTCGATGTGTTCCTCACAATTAGTCAGTAAGATTGGCTTTCCTCTCATGATCCCCTTCTCCAGTGTTATAAGTACATGTGGATCAGACCTATTATAAGATACAGTGGGTACTAGTAACATTATTTTCAATTCCTTTTAAAACAGGGAGAGGGTTTAGGTTACTGTGAACACCTGTAAACTTGATCATTTTAATGTTATGATGTGGCTAATTTTAGTTTCATAATTATATGCTTTTAATTTCGGGTAAAAGAGGTAAATAAGAGCTTTTGAAGAATGGCTTTATGTTCTGCTGGATTTTCATGAACTCCTGACTATTAAATACATATCAAACTGTCAAAAAACTAAAAATGTGTAATTTTTTTCACTTAAAATGAAATTTCTTTTTGTCAATCACAGCAAATAGAACAAATCTTTGCTGCTCAATATATATACATGATAAAATGCCAACTTACCATCTGAAATTTGCCAAGCAGCACACACATGTGGTTAGTGAGAGGCCCAAATGAAGATAAAAGAAAACCACGGCATTAGTTGTGACAATAAATAGATTGCAATAACTTCCAAAATCTCCCCTTAACATTCCCTGATCATAATAATTAAAATTGTACATGAAAATGTAAGTTCATTAGGAAAATCATTCAATACCAAATCAAAAAAAATATTTTGATATCTGAAACTAAATTATGTTTTAATGTGTAATGTTTATCTAGATAATTTTGGTTCCTTGTTGATTGAACCTCTTATCCTTTAACAAGTAAATATCTTGCCATATAAAAATGGAATTACATGTACAAGTACTGGAAAATTTCTGTCTTTAGAAAAATCATCAATTTATTTCATTCGATTTTTCTTTTACCTATGGCTGTATTTATCACAACATTGTATTAATATGAAGCAATATAATTCACTGCAAAATCAACACCAAGTGCAACCATCGTTGTTAATTTCCATATCACTCTGCTCAAACCCATTTTTTCCATTTTAAAAAACATACATATTTCAGATTATGAATTTGCCACTCTTTAAATGGTCTTAACCTACCTTGTTTCCATGTCCAAGGATATCAGTTTCTTAGAATTCAATAATTTATTGAGTTTTCCCAACCACACAGATCCTTCTCCATTAGGGTCAATCATCATGGGAGGTCGTTGCCATGACGAGCATAAAATGGCTGCATTTTCTATCTGCCTTGGTCCAAAGTCTACCAAAAAAAGATATTCCTAAATATTGATATATGTTCTAAAAATGGCAGTTATATCTAGTAGTGTGACTTGATGGATTTCTTATTCATTTTTTACATTTTTAATGTACGTGTTATTGAAAGTTTAATACACATACCCCCCCCCCCCCCACCACCACCACCAACAACAAATGCAGAATTGACATTTTTGACATTTGTATTCCTGACCATTATTTGTATTAACAAAAATATCAATCATACAATATCATGTATTTAGAAACATAACCATTATCACTTTTATGCCTGAATTTGCATTTTTTCTTTAACTCTTCAGTGTGCAGCACATTTAGAAAACAATTCTCACCTTTGCGAGTCCAGTCGTTCAGAGTTCTCTCCCCTACTAGAAGCTTGATGAGTGACAGGACATACTTATTGTACTGGACAGAGGTCATCATAGAAGTAGTGGACTGAGTGACCTCACTCTCCTTATCCCCCTCGCTGCCTTCCTCCTGAATCTTGGCGAGGGACTTCTCCTTTCCTTTGTCTGACTCCTCCTGTTCTTTATCATCTGATAAAAATACATCAAATTAGCACATAATGCATGGTAGTCCTGCTTGCTCTATTAGACTTTTAAATAGTCAAAAGAGGGAATTATGATTTTACCTTCAACGGAATTAGTCAATTTAACTATTGTAATATATGTGTGCTTTCTAGAGGGGGCTTATTGGGCTATCTATCAACAGCCCAGTAATCAGATGCAATTCATGTATAACATACAGAAAGGCAGAAATAGACAGAAAAGAATTTTTACAATAAAGCAGAAAACTGAATGAAATCCCAGACATTACCTGTATGTTCCTCTGCCTCCTCTTTTTTCTCCTCTTTCTCTGACTTTTCCTTGTCTCCTTTCTCCTCACCCTCCTCTTTGTCCTCCTCTTTTCCTTCTTCCTCTACTTTTTCCTTATTCTCCTCACCTTCAGCTGCCACAGGTTCCTCCTGCAAGTTCATACATATTCGTGATTGTTGATGAACCTTCATTATTTTTTTTTTAATCAATTTTTTTAAGATTTTAGCTACATACTGTTAGAAAATAATGAGTCAAAAATTGCACCAGTCAAGTACATGTACTTAATAAATGCAAAGAATTAATTTATTACCATTTCTAAAAAATTAGAGTGTATTATATTTTCTTAACTTCAAGGCAATAAGTTTAGAATTATCTATTTCATTATAGATCTTTTTCATCTATATATTCCTCCTAATTCAAACTATGTGTATTAAATGAAAAGATCATATATTAGTCCAGTCGTCATGTACCTCTGCTTCTTCTTGTGGCTGAGTGGCGTTAGAGTCATCATGCTCCATATTCTGACCCAGCAGGGCGGACGTATAGTCAATGTCATACACCTGGCTGGCCCCAGAGGCAGTCTTCAAGAAGTCAATGGTCCAGTCTATCACTCGACCTGACAATGAAACAAAAGAAACATTATTCAGTTTATCCTTATAAATCTATACTTTGTAAACCTCACTTCCCATAATAATCAACGAAGTTATAGATATATCTAGATTTTATTGCACTAGTGAATTAAGTACAAGAGCTCATTTTTTACACTCTCTTTTCCTTGAAATATAACATCTACATGTGAAAATAAATACCTGGAAGTACTTGAGGGAGGTAAATGAATAAATTTTTACCTTTCAATCCATCAATACTATCAATAACTAGAGGAATTCCCCTCTCTCTCAGGCAGTTTGGCCAATGAATGGTCAGCATGACTCGTCTAAAGTTGTGATGGTAGGGTCCAAGATATGTGGCAAAGGCAGCTGCCATGGCACAACCACCTGGTATAGCCACCAATCGACGTTCATGGGAATCATAGATCTGCTGGCATCTTTGTCTCTCTCCTTTCAAAATCTGAAAACAACCAAAAATTCATATTTTTTTCACCTTATGAATAATATTATTTTTCAGTTTTTTGGGCTTGGATAACAGAGGAAACAAGACTATGTTAAACCATAAGAAAATAAACACACACCTTTCTGAGTTGAGCAGCAGTCTCCAGTTTTTTCTTCATTGTTTTGGTCTTTTCTTCCTGTTGATTTTTGTCAATTGTGGCTTCTTCAAATCCTCTGGCCAAATCATTCAATCTCTCTTCATGTGACTGAAAATAAAAGATAGATGTGCCAAGAAACATTCCTTATCCCACTGAAAAGATAGGGTAAAAAATACACGTAAATCTTTTTGGCCCATACCTTTCTTTTATTTTCCAGAGTAGACATCTTGTGTTCAGCTTCATCCACAGCTGTTGTAGTCTCTTCTACTTTCTGGTGCAGTGGTTTTACCTTTGAGATCATCATCCTGTGGTATCGTACCACGCCAATGACCCACTTACAGAGGGCGCCACAGGCGGAGTTACTGGTCTTTCTCTCTAGAGCAGCAGGGTCAAAGCTGGGCTTCTTCAGATAGGGCTCCACCAAAAGTAGAGTGGATTCTGGGAGTTGGTTGTCATCAAATGACATCAGCTCTTCAATGAATCTGTAATACAACATCAAGTAGCACTCATTACCTTTAGCAACTAAAAAAATTATTTACGACACATCCCTTATATTTCTTTGCTATTATGGTGCAAATACTATACATTTTTTTTTTCAATGATTTTAAGGAGATCTGTACCTTTCTAAATTTGCCATTTGCCTCTTTGCTCCTTTCTGCCAAGTTAGGTCTGCAGATGGTGATTTCACTGAAAGATTAAAAAAGGCATATTGGAAGAAGAACATGGCAATTTCTTTGGATTTTCAAATCCCCTCAAATCAAGAAAAAAGATAAATCACCGACAGATAAATCCAAAGAAATAAAATTGATTAATGAACCAGAAATCTGTGGAGACTGTAGCTCTACTGGTCTGTACATATAACGAAGGAAAAGTAGCACTTGGATTTGAAACTTTGCAACACACAGCAATAAATAGAATAATGTATCTTAATGTAGTCTACTTGTGTGCCAAGTTATATTGAAATCAGACCAAAACTGAAGGAGGAGTAGTGTTTTAAAGGCATTTCACAGATATTTCTATTTTTAGAAACCATGGCAACACCGTTCATCGGAATCAAAAACCGATGCACTAAATTATGTATCTTAGTGTAGTCTACTTGTGTGCCAAGTTATATTGAAATCAGACCAAAACTGTAGGAGGAGTAGCGTTTTAAAGGAATTTCACAGATATTTCTATTTTTAGTAACCATGGCAACACCGTTCATCGAAATCAAAAACCGATGCACTAAATTATGTATCTTAGTATAGTCTACTTGTGTGCCAAGTTATATTGAAATCAAACTAAAACTGTAGGAGGAGTAGTGTTTTAAAGAAATTTCTATTTTTAGTAACCATGGCAACACCATTCATCAAAATCAAAAACCGATGCACTAAATTATGTATCTTAGTGTAGTCTACTTGTGTGCCAAGTTATATTGAAATCAGACCAAAACTGTGGGAGGAGTAGCGTTTTAAAGGAATTTCACAGAAATTTCTATTTTTAGCAACCATGGGAACACCCTTCAACGAGAATAAAAAACCAATGCACTTAATTATGTATCTTAGTGTAGTCTACTTGTGTGCCAAGTTATATTGAAATCAGACCAAAACTGTAGGAGGAGTAGCATTTAGAAAAATTGTTTACAGACAGACGGACAGACAGACAGACAGACAGACGGACGGACGGACGACGGACACCTTACTATCGCATAAGCTCTTCTGGTCTCTGACCAGTAGAGCTAAAAAAAACAGCTTCAGTTTGCCTTTTGAAGGCCAGAAAGTTTTATTTATTTCTACTGATCAGTACTTTGAAATTACACTGAGGGGGACATTCTACTTACAGATCATGATGATGGCTGTCATCAGGTCCTCAATGTCCAGTATAGGTTTGTTCATGCCTCTCAGTTCACTGAGTTTCTCTATATCCATGTTCTGAATGACCTTCTTTGTGTCTGCCACAATGGCTATAGCTTTATACACTGCTCTCTCATGGGCAACTTGGTATTCTGGGAGCAACTGTTCAGAAAAATATATGTCATATCTTACAAGTCATTTCCTTGAGAATTTCTTAGCTATTCATAAGGAGAGTATTACAACAGTATTGTGTTTCAGTTCACTCGACACCTTTCTTACGACACACAATATATTTAGAATACAGTACAACTCAGTTATAGGAAGTGACAGGGACTTAGAACTTTGATTCTGATAACCAAGAATATTTATATTATGTATAAGGAACATAATGCAAAGTCTTCTACAGGACTCACAAAAGTTTTTTTATTGGCTAATAAACAAGATTTCTTTACAAGACATTTCTTTATAACCAAGTTTTACTGTACTACAGATTTGCAATGCCCATACCTTCTTGAGTCTGGAGATTCTGTCCAGTTGTGCTTTGACCACTTTGATCTGTTGTTCTGTAATGGCAGTGTCCTTCCCAATTTGAGACAAGATTTTAATGGTGCCTTGCTTTCTTTCCTCCAGTACAATCATTTCATGCTCCAGCAGTTTTCTGAGTTTGAGGGCAACCTCATTCTCACGTTTGATATGGTTCAATGATTTTGTCACTGATTCATGGTCATTGTTAACCTCTTCATGCTTGGCACTGGCTAAGGATATATATCTGTAAAATAGCATAAACTGTATTTGAAAGTATGTTTTTAAAATACATGATCATGTAAATGAAAATACCTTATACAAAAAAATTCGAAAGACTTTGCTTTACACACATATAAAGTGATGCTGAATATGATCTCTGCCTGAAGTTTTCAACATACATCTATGGTCCACATGATCACAAAAATGAGATACATTTAGTCATTTTTGCTAGTCTCAATATTAAGTAAACTGACATGAATGACAATTAAACCATTGCAGATTAACTTTTGATTAGCTGTGTGGAGATATTTGACCTTTAAACCCTGATCAGATACTGACCTTTCTACAAACTTCTCGTAGCTGGTGTTGGTGATGTGACAGTACTCCCCAGCATCCCTCTCCTGTCCGTCCTGCTGACGGAGGACCAGGTGCATGGAGGCCAACATGTAAGAGATGTTCTCTCTCTGAAGGTCAGACATCCAGCTAATGTCTGTCAAATGAGGAATGGTTAAAGCCTCATTATTTAATGTCTATACATATGTATATAATTAACTTCAAAGGGAAGTGGACTTTAGAGGTTCAGAAAATTTGTAATTGAGATGATGACTTGTATTATCTGGCAAGAACTCTACCTTTGAAGTGATACTGAGCATGCTCAACCAGCTGAGTCTTGGACCAATGAGGAAACCAAAGGAAGTTGACATTCTTGGCAAAAGATGGGAATTCTCTACAACGTCTTTGGAAAGCTTCTTTGCCTTCATTCATTATGAAACACACTCGGAAGTTATTTCTTACAGTTCTGAAAACCACAGGCATGACACTGTTAGTCACTTATTCAAGAATCATCAATTTCAGAATTGGGAAAGTTTTTTTGTCTCTGAATAGCTTTAAAGCTTCTAAACATTTTCAAGACTATGGACTTACTGTAGAAGTCCTTTTTTCCCCATGGGATTTAGTTAACACTATGTATGTGGTTACAATATTTCTGTGGAAATTTGTCAGTGTACTTAAAATTCATTAAGGACATATATTGATAAATAAAAGCAATTTGCGTTATTTTCCACCTGAAAATAAAACAGAAATTGAAATTCCGCAGAATTATAATTCTGTGAAAAAAAGATTTTTTTACAATATTTCCAATATTGTACCCCCCCCCCCCCCCCCCGGCCCCAAAAAAATCAGTGCCTACTTGAGGAAGAAGTTCCATGCCACGTCCCTAGTGTAGGTGAGTCCAGCCTGGGTGACCTCTGTTCTGATTGAGTTGATGATGGTGGTCTGCTCCTCATAGGTAAACAGGTGACTGATAGAGCCCCCCATGATGAACTCCTGTAGGAACACAATAAAGTCCTCCTTCAGAAGCTCCTCCTCATGTAGGAGTAACAGGATCTTCTCTCCCTGTAAAAAAGGATGTTTTGTCAAAGACATGTGCAAAAGTGCCAAATACTTTTTATAAAAAGTCTGGCTCTAGTGTCTTAAATCAATTAATCTTTCAACTTTGAAAAATAAGAAAGCAGATTTAAATTTACTTTTGACCTTTAAGTATGACCATAACCTATCATATATTCATGCTGGCCTTCTTTTTGACCAAATATTAAATCTACATCTGATGTTGTTTCCCTACAAGTTATGGCCAAAGTTAAATTTGTTGGTAGATAATGCAAATGGACAGATTAAAAACAAGAACCTGAAGGCATTGAGATAATTAAAAAAAGAAATTACTCTGAATTCAATGGGTTTTAACAGAATCCATCTACACTACAGAATGCAAACACTTAATATAAAAAACCTAAAAAAAAGTAATAAAAAGAAACAAAGAATAGAAATTCAAAATTATATCTTGAATGTACCTAGATTTATCTTACATCCTATTGTCTTTACTTATACATTTTATCTTGCATGTCATACAGAACAATTTCTTATCAGTCAAGTGCACTGCAGAAATAAATCAGGTCTTTATCAAATCCAAAGACAATCATGGGCAAGATGACATTGAAAATTGCAGTCATTTTGTTCATGGTGATTTTAACCAAAGTTAACACTGAAACTGAAGAAAATTCAGCAGCTGAGAAGCGTCTGCTGTTAGATGACCCCCAGACAGTAACTGCCCAGATGTTATCCCTACAAAGGGAGATCCAGACCCTCCAAACCAAAATAGCAGAAATCGATGTCCACCAATCCCAAATTCAGCTCATGAATGCACAGATTTCCCAGCTCCAGCAAGAAAATGCTGCCTTGAAGCTCCAGATATCCCAGGGAACCTCCACTCAGCATGTTCAGACCCTTACCAACAAAGTGACCTCACTAGAAGCCAATCTGACAATTATGTCTCATGATTTACCTCTGCTGAGAACCCAAGTGAATGCCATGGTGGCTGACAACCATAATACGGAACAGCATTCAGGTAAACAAATTTTTGTATTTTATTTCAATACCTAGTAGACTGTTCTGTATGAACTTTTTTTTTAAAAAGTAAAAAAAACAAGAGGCCCATGGGCCACATCGCTCACCTGAGTAACTTTGGCCATGCTGTTCTTTACCAGATTTCCCCCCTTGTAATACCTATTGTGGCCCCACCGTACCCCCGGGGGTCATAATTCGAACTATTTAGAATCTACACTACCCCAGGATGCTTCCACATAAGTTTCAGCTTTTCTGGTCCAGTGGTTCTTGAGGAGAAGATTTTTAAAGATTTTTCCTATATATTTCAATGTTAAACTTGGATTCCCTATTGTGGCCCCACCCTACCCCCAGGGGTCATGATTTTTAAAATTTAGAATCTGCACTATCCCAGGATGCTACCACATAAGTTTCAGCTTTTTTGGCCCGGTGGTTCTTGAGAAGAAGATTTTTTAATGACCCCACCCTATTTTTGTCTTTTCTTGATTATCTCCCCTTGTAAGCGGACTTGACCCTTTATATTAACAATTTAAACTCCCTTTTACCCAAGGATACTTTGTACCAAGTTTAGTTAAAATTGGCCCCGTGGTTCTTGAGAAGAAGTTGAAAATGTGAAAAGTTTACAGACGGACTGATGGACAGATGGATGGATGACGGACAATGGGTGATCAGGAAAGCTCACTTGAGCTTTCAGCTCAGGTGAGCTAAAAAAAATACATGTTATCATATAATTGTTTGAAATTTAAGGTTCAACATATTTTCCCATTTGGGGAAGAAAATCATGTCCAGCCATAAATGGAACAAAAATTCTTTACACAGGTAACATGTTTATGTACATTATATATTACAGGTAAATGTATAACTTAAATTCAATATCAATCTCCTAGAATCTATATGCCAATTTTTTAAAAATAGGTTTTGGTTAAGATAATGGGAACTTGCTTTCAAAAATGGCTTTGTCTTAATCATTCATCTAATTTGCAAACAAAGCTTAAAACTATAGTTTTAAAAAAACTTTTTACTGTGTGAATATTGGTACACAGGAATTACAGCAGGAAAATACTACAGCAGTTCGGGCTCTGGAACTAATACTTTATGTGTCCCCCATAATCCTGACTCTCTCTCATCTGACTTCCCAACAACAACCTATTCCAGCTATAATGCAGAACTTTTTGGGGCTGAATATCAGTTCACATACAAGAATGTGGCTGTTGATGATGATGTTCCCTGTGCTATCTGCCAAGTGAAATCTGCAACTGCAACCATGATGGTACCTGCCAAACTTTCATGCCCAAAAGAATGGACACTTCAGTATCATGGGTATCTAAGTTCCAATTATTATGGCGGTAAAGGTACTGAGTATATTTGTGTTGACAGTGAACCTGAATATTTTGAAGGATTACGACAAGTCAACAATGATGGGCTAGATTTGTATCCTGTGCATGCCCGATGTGGATCCTTACCCTGCCCACCATACAAAGAAGGTCAAGAAGTTGCATGCGCCATCTGCACAATATGATCACATTTAAATTACAAGCTCTGAATTTAAGTTTTAATCTTCCGTTAAACACATGCTGATTTATGCTTTTTAACAGATTATCTGGTAATTTGTGCTTTTTGAATTTGATCCTTCATATGATATCTGGCATTAAATTTTTATCTGAATCAGTATTAAGTATTGTGATAATGATAAAAGTCTTCATATGACATATTTTCCCAGAGTTATTTTACTTGGCCATTATCTTGGAGGTCCACCTGGTGATTTTCTTAACTGTCTTATATAAATAACCAAATCTAAACATATTTAGAAAAACAATGTTTCCTAATCACAATGGCCAGTATGACAGTTAAATCTGAATTCTGGCAAGAAAAAAAAAAAATAGAAAACCACAAAAATGCCTGAGATTTCAGAGACATATTGATCATTTTTCAGACCAGATGTTACAAAGTGCTTATCATTTTCAATTGCAATTACTGTGAAATCACTAATTTTCATGGGGGTTTAATATTCATTGTTTTTGTGATATATGAGTAAACCCACAAACCCTGTGAAATGTTGAATTTTAGAGTACAGTACGTATCATGCTTGTCTACCACCCACAAAATCAAATCCCCACAAACCAATTTTTTCTCTTGAAACAACGAATTTTTGACAGTGATTTTACAGTATCTATTTATAAACCTATTGTTACTGCACAACACCTGCATCTTCCTTCATCATTCATTTTTACAACTGAACACATTGAAAAACTTTCGGACAAATTAATTCTTTAATTTCCTTACACAGTACCAACAATCACTGCTCATGTATTAATGGTCATCCAAAGTATCACATGGTACAGTCTGTATAATTATTAGTGTTGTCAAATAGGACAATTTTTAGTAACCAGTTACTCGCTTACTTTTCCGATCGAATACCCGGTTACTTGGTTGATTTTTCGTTACAGTTTCCATATCTATTATTTATCTCATCCTTTATCTATTGGTAGAAATAAAACATAAATATACTGTATATGAACTTTATTTACAATTACAAACTCAAACAAACATGCAATATCTTAAGGAATTTTGATTTTGGATGTCACTAGAAAAGGGCCGTTTGTTTTCTGTTTAAGAAAATAATTTAGACACACAAAGAAGACAAATAGATATACAGTCGTCAATCACCAATGGCTCTCGTTACGTTTTCCTTTTCAGCCGCTGATATATGTCGCGATCAAGAATCAACATACCCCGTCATTACAGGTTGATTTGTGGAGTGTACAGAAAATCGCTGATTTCCGAATATTGTTTTAATCTTAGTTGATTTCATATATTTGTTGTCCCATATGTATAGGTTAAATCCATTTCAAATCATTTACATTTTACATATTTCGAATTAGCTGTTCTTTTAAAATACTTTCAAGCTTTATATGTTGTTAAATTATGTTCTAAATGGTCTAAATGAAGTAATTAAAACTCAGGTCTTCAAACCTTGTAAAAATCCTGGCAATCAAAGCTATCAATTACATAAATAAAAACAAATCGATCCTATTTGTGAACCACTAGTTCAAAATCTAATGGTAAATAAAATTAGGGAAATATGTAAGTATACATTTATAAACAATATAACATCTATTTCCTTTGTATTTATACATAAAATGTACTTTATCTGAGTAACCGAATAGCAGTTTTACTAACCGATACTGCATCGTTCGACGGTTAACCAGTTAACCGGGTACTTGTTGACAACATAATAATTATGTGAATTTAATATGTTAAATGTCTCATAAAAACATCTACCAATTTACATACCATCATAACTTTGTTTACTTACTCTTGATCCAGCTCTGGTATATCCCTGCACTAAGTCTGCCTTGAACTGATCCATTTTGTATTCAGTGGTGGATCCCATGGAGGTGGGGTTAATCTGATAGACAGTGTATCCACACAGGTGGGCTGCCAGCTTGACAATGATTGTGGCCCTCCCTGGACACCCTTCAGCCACCAGTACTGAGTGGGAGGTCTCGTGGGGTGAGGCGATGGTACGAGCCAATCGGCACACTTGTTCTATCACAGTCTGGAAATGACATAATTTATCCATAAACATTATTTATAGAACAAGAAGTTAGATATTTAATCCTTTAACGACCTTTAGAAATTTAGTAAATTTTATCCACTTAAATTACACCTTTCTTTTTACTTCTGCAGTATAAATGTATTCGTAAACTCTGGGACCATATTTTTTAATACAAATTGCATATACATTTACATTGTGTATAACATAAAACTGAACTAGTTAGTTGAGTGAAGAAATAGATTAAACCAGTAATAACAGAAAATAAAAAAAAAATAATGATCTCATGAAAAGATCTTTTCATAAAAAGATGGACAACACATACATTGAAAGAAATCACTAATGAAGCAGAAATTAAGAGGAAAATTTAAATTTATATCCATCCATATACACTAGTCCCAAATCTCTTCTAGCAAAAAAAAAATTTTGCCCCAAAAGAGTAACCAAAAGAACTAAAATTATAGGAAGAGATAGCCAGACAGGATTATAGCTTACCGCAGTGTCACGCTAAATATTTGAACAAAATTGTGGTAAGAAAAGAAGACATGCATGCAAATAGTACTGTACTGGATATTAAAATAAAGTTAACATATTCTGAAAAAGTTAAAGTATTACTACACCATTCATGCCCATTCAATCAAAACTAAACATGCAAAACATTGCCCTGAATTTTATATATACTGAAACATATTTTTTTCATTCCCATGCCATTATATCACAACAAACATACTTCACAACAACTTTTCAGATCACAAGACAACCTGTAAAAAGCATTTGCTCACCTTGTACAGGGCCAGTTTGATGCGGGGGTGAATTTTGTTATATTCCTCTACCCCCTTTGACATCAGTTCTTTGACGTCTTCAAACTTGAAGACGGGTTTGTAGAGATCAGTTTTAGCGTCCTCCTCTGAAATGTTGGAGCTGTGACGAGTGTCAATCATCCCGGCAGTCACCACCCCACTGTCCTGTTCTATCAGGTTACTGAAATACGGCTGACGGACACGTAACATTTGTGTCACCTGAAACAGAAAGTCAATTCAAGTGAATTGAAAAAAGAAATGTAAATATAGGAACTGATTCTATAAATAAATTTTTTCCGTAGGCCTGGCTTATCTTGTACAGTTTTATGTATTACTAAAAAAGTTTTAATTTACTAAAATTGAAAAGATCCAAGTTTTCGACTAAATATTGTAAAAATCCTTTAAAAGTGCTTTCAAATGCACAAGAGCTGACAGTTTGTATGAAAATGAATGAAATCTTAATTCTGTTATGAACTTTTACCTCTTCATCATTGGTAAATTCCTTCTTGACTGCCGTCACAAAAGCTTGTCTGAACCTACGGACGTCCACCTCACTGACCATTCTGTGGGAGTACACCCAAGTACACTCATGCTGCCATAGCAACATCAGATTCCTTTTAGTACACCCTGGTCTCAGAGACAGGCATAGGTTCCTGGAAAAACAAAGAATCAAATTTTGATTCAATGTGCATTTACTCCAGTCTTTCAAAACTTCACGTCTGAATTACACTTATAGGTTAACTAGCGAACTGCAAATTTTTATGCTCAGCTTAAAAATAAAATCAGACTCAATGGAGGAAACACTTACTTGAATATAACAGAGAGGTCTCTCATTGTGAACAGGTAATGGCACCTCTGGGAAGTCATGAGGTACATGGATCTCAGGCGATCCTGTAGCTCTACTGTCACCTTGACGATCAGGTTCAGCAGGGACCTCATGGCCTCCTCCTGTTTCTTTATGATGACCAGGTTCTATGAAAAGAAAAAAATCTTGCCATTTCTTCTTAAACATTCCTCTATATCACAGAAATATCAAAGCAGAAAAAATGTAAGCTGATTGTTTGCTGAAAAAATATCTGACAGTTCTAATTAACTCCTGCAAAATATCTACAAGTGCATGTATACATGTATGTTTTGCTCATGGATTTTAAAAACTGATTGGAAACCTACTTCTAAATTAATTTGTTTAATGGACTTTTGAGCTTGAATACTGTTCGTTATCTCCATATATTTCATTGTAGCTTAAAACATCTTTTGGTAAATAAATTATACCTTTTCATCGTGCATATGGTGACCAGCCTGGGCACTAGAGGTCTCTGGGGCAATGAAGTGAGTTTGGAGAAGGATGGAGAAAATACTCTGTTGGTCTGCCAAGCTATGAAAATTAATAAAAGTGAATGACAGAGTAATCTTTGACAAACTTAAATAGCTTTACCATTTTTTTTTTTCCAACTGACTTCAATTGTATTCAAGCTAAATGTCAGTTAAAGATTTAACCTCAGCTCTAAAACATAATTTGCACATAAAATATCCCCAAAAATATTTATACCAAATCATCAGCAAACTTGTGTCCACCCTTGCATGAGTAACACATAAATTAATTATTCACAAGCAGACTACTTCCTCTTGAACTTTCATAGCAGGACTCAGTATCAGAAGTGTAATATGTAATGTCTTACTCTGGATATGGAACTCCAAAGACAGCAAAGTGCCTCATGAACCTGGGACTGAGTTTGGGGACATTGGCGGTGGTGTTAGGATTAACAGTGGTGCAGTAGGTAACACTGTTGACGTAGCGCCAAGCATGGGTGTCCTGGTTATAGAAGCCACCATCATCGATGTGTTCTCTGACCAACTCCACAGCTGTCTGCTGGCCTGACATGTCGACCTGGAAAATAACAACATAACTGAATTTTCATTTAAATTCAATTGGAAAAGAAAAGTATCTAGATGTGATCTTAAGAAATATCACTTCACTTTATTTTTATTGCTTTTCTCAAAATAAAATTAATGTACTTTACATATTTTTCTATGAAAAATTCAATTTCCAAACTTATGTTATTGATCTACATGTACATTGTACATTTACACATGAGGACATTGCATGTAATTGTATCATATAGTGATGAAGCATAATGCTGCACCTGTGACAGATTGATGTCATCCACCAGACAGAGCAGACGTTTGTTGCCCTTTGGAACGTAAGTCTGTCCATGCTTCCATTCTAGTCTCTCGTCTAATCTGTCATACAGCAGTCTAGCATTGGTGAACCTAGAAGTAAAAGAAATAAAAATTTACAGCTTTCCTTCAAAATATAGATATAGTATAGGAACATGCATGCAGCTGAATTATTTCAAACATCCTTGAATTTTAAGGATGACCTTTGACATCTTACCTATTGGCCTGTATGGTAAGGGACAGAACTTCTGCCACTTCTCCAGAGTATGCAGTCCTGATCTTGTCGTTGATGATGGCTGTCTTTCCACATCCATTTTCTCCCACCAGCATCACAGACTTACGAAAGTCAGTCAAGGTGCTCAGCAGGAATGTCATTTGCTTTAAGGTAAAAAACAAAAACGTTTTAGTGCTTCTTATTAAATGTCTGAGATACTGATGTTTTTTCCTACCTGTTACTTGATAATGTAAATCATTTCTGCAAAACATTCATTCAATTAGATTTGGATGCATTAAAATATAGAAAGTTAAGAAAATATATATCTACATATGGTATATGTATCTCATCAGTGATGTACCTCAGCTGGGACTGTGTGAACAAAAGCCTCCGGAGGGATACCCATCGCTGCACTACTGCTATAGGAGGGGAGAATATCAGCCCAGCGTACAAACTCATGGGTTCCCTGGTCCACTGCATCCACTGACCCAACAGAGTAGTCAAACACCTACACAAATAAGATAGTAAAAATGGTAATAGAATAGAAGTTATGAATGTGAGAACTAGCAAAAATGAATAAATTTCTATTTTAAGTGGAAATAGTACAGTAAAACTGGGTTACAGTAACCATGCCAATAATGATCTTCATTCCCTTTAGTTTTAACATTTTTGGAAATAACAAGTTAATTTGTAACATATGAAAATTGTTTTCCTTCTCACTTCACTATAAGCATGTTCTACTGTAATCTGTTTTAGTTAGACTATCTGATTTTACCAGCTATATTTGTCAAAATTTACTTTAAAAACTTTTTTTCTAAACTAGACTAATCTCATTCAGAAATAAGTCTTAGCTTGATAATACGAGTCTTGGAAATTATCAAAACATAGAAAGTGAACCAGCTAAATCTTACAGTTCCCTCCTCTGGATAGTCAATATGCTGCTCGAACTGCTCCTTCCACCAGTTACTGAATGATTCTCGACAGTCAGCCTCCAGAGTCCCTCCAAAGGCCCAGATAGCGGCAAAGTTAAAATAGCGCTCCAGTTCTACATCGCTCAGTTCTCTACATCTGGTGATCAAGGCCTGGCAGTAAAGCCAAAATTCAGTGCAGGAAATGAACAATTAAAGGTCATGCCTAAGCATTACAATGACAGATCAATATCCTCAATTTGGGCTGAATGCTTATGAGGATGAAACATAAATAATTTCTCAATTCTTTAGATACAGAAATCTGAATCAGCATTTTCCCAATTTTTTGGGAGACATAAAATTTCAAAGACAATAATGCATATAGTGTTGCATTTTAGTGCATCAATAATGAGAAGTCTGGTTAAACAACATACCATGGTAAGGCATTCCTGTCAAAAGATTACTAATTATATGTAAACACAAGATGTGTTTGTGAAACACTGATGCCCCCGTATGGCAGCTTATGGCGAAGGTTAAAGTTTCTTCAAATGCAAGTCAAAATCCAGGCCAAAAGATAAAAAATGTTGATACCAAAAGAAAGGTCTTGTCTCGAGGAATACACCTGTGAAATTTGAAAGACCTAGATACAACTGTTCAAAAGTTATGGCGAAGGTTAAAGTTTTTTAAATAAAAGTCAAAGGTCAAGGTCAAAGTGGTTGGTATCCAAAGGAAGATCTTGTCACAAGGATTACATATGTGAAGTATGAAAGCCCTAGCACCAACCATTCAAAAGTTATGGCCAAGGTTAAAGTTTTTCAAATGTAGGTCAAACTCCTAGGTCAAGGTCAAAGGGTCAAAGTGGTTGGTATCCAAAGAAGGTCTTGTCACAAGGATTACAAATGTGAAGTATGAAAGCCCTAGCATAAACCATTCAAAAGTTATGGCCAAGGTTAAAGTTTTGCAAAAGTAGGTCAAACTCCTAGGTCAAGGTCAAAGGGTCAAAGTGGTTGATATCCAGAGGAAGGTCTTGTCACAAGGAATACACATGTGAAGTTTGAAACCCTAAGCACCAACTGTTCAAAAGTTATGGCCAAGGTTAAAGTTTTTCAAAAGTAGGTCAAACTCCAAGGTCAAGGTCAAAAGGTCAAAGTTGTTGGTATCCAAAGGAAGGCCTTGTCACAAAGAATACACATGTGAAGTTTGAAACCCCAAGCACCAACTGTTCAGAAGTTATGGCCAAGGTTAAAGTCTCATAAAATTTTGCAAAAGTGGGTCAAACTCCAAGGTCAAGGTCAAAAGGTCAAATATGATGGTACCCAAAGAAAGGTCTTGTCACAAGGAATACACATGTGAAATATGAAAATCATAGCTCCAACCAATTAAAAGTTATGGGCAAGGTTAAAGTTGACAACAGACAGACAGACAAACAGACAAACGGACAAACAGACAAACGGACAAACAGACAAACAGATAAACAGACAAACAGACAGACAGGACAAAAACAATATACCCCCGGGATCTTTCGATCCAGGGGCATAAAAATTAATTCTTCTAAGACCCCAACTAGACTCACATCCAGAAGTGTGGTGAACGTGGCCACCATATTCTCAATAGAGTGGTTGATGACCCTCCTGTAACGAGGACACCCTGTGCTGTCATTGTTTCCAAACATGTGCGGCTGGCAGCACTTTGTCAGATAGTCAATTGTCTTTTCAATGTAAATGTCACAAAATCCGGTCAGTAATTCTTTGTCTGCCTCATCACATTTCTCCAGCCACTGAACTAACATCATCTTCCACCCGACATCTTGTGATGTCATCATCAAGATTCCTACGTTGGCCAGAACTGCAGGGCTCATCTTCTCTACATTTTCCATCTGAAAGAGACAATGAATTCTTAGCAGAGATCCTTGAAAACAAAAAAGAATCCATGAAAAAATTGTTTTAAAAAATTTTAATTGAAAAAAAAAAACCCTTTTTAAATCTATTTCATTCAAAAAGGTGGCATACAAATAAAACCCATCAAATTTTACTAATATTAAAAAATCTCTTTATTTAAACAAGAACTGAGAATATGAATGATTTGGTAGAATTTATAAACAAGTAGCTCACCTCCCAGATAAATCTGACAGTCTCTGGTATAATTATCCTCTCACTGTTACCAAGCACCACTGCTCCGTCATTGTTGAGCACCGCGCTAAGCAGCTCCATCTGACCTGGGTCCACCTCCCCATCCAGCTGGATGACCTTCATTTTCTGGGCCGTCTGGAGGTTATAGTTAGTGGAGGCAGGCTGTATACACAGCTTCCTCAGGAGTGATGTCAACAAGCCATCCTTCCACTCACTGTTAATGTCAAGGAATGTGTAAGATCATCAGCTTATTTATTCAAGATGAAACCATGAGGATTTTACATTGTAATACTTGAAAATTACCACTTATTGCTATCTCTGTTTTTCCCAAGTACACTTTATCTAATTTTTATATTTAACCCTTTTAAGTTAATTTTTTTATGCCCCCGGATCGAAAGATCCCGGGGGTATATTGTTTTTGTCCTGTCTGTCTGTTTGTCTGTCTGTCTGTTGTCAACTTTAACCTTGCCCATAACTTTTGATTGGTTGGAGCTACGACTTTCATATTTCACATGTGTATTCCTTGTGACAAGACCTTTCTTTGAGTACCATCATATTTGACCTTTTGACCTTGACCTTGGAGTTTGACCTACTTTTGCAAAATTTTATGAGACTTTAACCTTAGCCATAACTTCTGAACAGTTGGTGCTTGAGGTTTCAAACTTCACATGTGTATTCTTTGTGACAAGGCCTTCCTTTGGATATCAACAACTCTGACCTTTTGACCTTGACCTTGGAGTTTGACCTACTTTTGATAAACTTTAACCTTGGCCATAACTTTTGAACAGTTGGTGCTTAGGGTTTCAAACTTCACATGTGTATTCCTTGTGACAAGACCTTCCTCTGGATATCAACCACTTTGACCCTTTGACCTTGACCTAGGAGTTTGACCTACTTTTGAAAAACTTTAACCTTGGCCATAACTTTTGAATGGTTGGAGCTAGGGCTTTCATACTTCACATATGTATTCCTTGCGACAAGACCTTCCTTTGGATACCAACAACCACTTTGACCTTTTGACCTTGACCTAGGAGTTTGACCTACTTTTGAAAAACTTTAACCTTGGCCATAACTTTTGAATGGTTGATGCTAGGGCTTTCATACTTCACATATGTAATCCTTGTGACAAGACCTTCCTTTGAATACCAACCACTTTGACCCTTTGACCTTGACCTAGGAGTTTGACCTACTTTTGAAAAACTTTAACCTTGGCCATAACTTTTGAATGGTTGGTGCTAGGGCTTTCATACTTCACATATGTAATCCTTGTGACAAGTTCTTCCTTTGGATACCAACCACTTTGACCTTGACCTTGACGTTTGACTTTTATTTAAAAAACTTTAACCTTCGCCATAACTTCTGAACAGTTGTATCTAGGTCTTTCAAATTTCATATGTGTATTCCTCGAACAAGACCTTTCTTTGGGTATCAACATTTCTTATCTTTTGGACTGGATTTTGACTTGCATTTGAAGAAACTTTAACCTTCGCCATAAGCTGCCATACGGGGGCATCAGTGTTTCACAAACACATCTTGTTAAATATCTTTTTAATAAAATACAAAAAAAATGCATGATGGCATTATCAAGGGAAATGACTCATGATTTACAAAATCTCCTAAAATAACAGTGGTTGATACTATTTAAGCTACAATGTAATTATTTACCCATTCTTGGTGTGGAAGTATCCCATGAGTTCCTCCGATTCTACAGCCTTGGTGAAGAGGGTTTGGATAGCAATGGTTTTACCTCTTTCCCTCTCAGAAAATCCAAACGTTTTGATGCACTCACTCTTTCCACAACCAGCAGGGCCCACAACAAATATCTAAAACAAAGTGCTTTCAATCAAAAACTGATCCACAGTTTATTTTGTTTTAATGACATTGCAATGTGAAAATGTACTCAAATGATTAAATATGATACATTTTTTCAATCAGTAAAATTTCTTTCAGAGTTAAGTATTTCTCTATTTGTTACTAGAAATCAGACAGATTCTTTCTATAGTAATTACAAATATAAATTATTTTGTCTGAAACAGATCATGAGAAATTCCTGAAAAGAATATGCAAATTTGGAAATAAATTCAAAGTTTTTTAATGCAACAATAAAATTTTAAACACTATACACACTGTTTGGTGGGCAGCATTCAGCTGTGCAAGTTGTGCCACACGTCCTTGGAAAGCAACACCTGGCAACAAACCAAGGTCACCGGTTGCCACAGCGATGGCATCATGCATGTCTTCTAGGACCTGTCTCTGCCCATCCACCATAAATCTACTTCCTGCACCGTGAGCCAGGGGCACCACTGGGGTGTTCAGATTAATTGAGTCTGTGCAATTAAATAAAAGAAAAATTTTAACATAATAATTGCTTTATTTCAAATTTTTTCATTACCTGCTCACCTTCTAGTAAAATATTATTTAATTCAAGAAAACCTAACGAAATGTTTAAGCTGGAATGGAACAGTATTTAAAATGTTAGTAAGGGTAGATAACTGGTGTATATACAGAAGTAAAAGAATGTGTACAAAGGGAAACATAAGATTTCATATATGTGTAGCATACATGTATCATGCATTATAAAGTAGAAATATACATTATTTATCTCATGCATTTCTTTAAATCTTCAGCTTTATGTAAAAGTCATGCATACAGGTATTAGTATACAGTTTGTTTCAGAATCAAGTTAATATGTCCTAAGTTAGATGTTATATGATTATTCAGCTTACATGTAAATATGGCAGTTATTGCTTATATATGCATTTTCTAGCATGCATTTAGATTTTTACACTAGATGTAAACTCAAGAACTCAAACAGACAAACATCATAAAGCGAACAAATTTAATATAAATGAATTACAGCAATTAGCAAACTTTCAATTGGTATAAATATAAGTATTGTCCAAAAGGAGGAGGGGTAGGGGGTGGGGATAATTTAAAACATTTATACTTAGTACTGTACAACATTCTAATCACATGAATTGTATGTGCAGTAAAAATACTTACCATAATCAATTTTTATTTTGTGTTTGGTATTGATAAGAGAAACCAAAGTTCAAGAAGTAAAATCAGTTTCCCATTCTTTATTATCTCTCTAAAAATATCTGTTTTTTAATTTTCATGATCATGTTTTCTTATGAATATTAAATATTAATTAGTGACAGTCTACTTGATGTTTGAGGTTAATAAAAGAGTTCTCTCCCTTAGATAGTGCTTTAAAAATCCATGATACCACTCATTTTAGTGTTAAGATTAGGAATTTTTAGACATCGTTTTTCAACATAGAAATTCAATTCTCAACTAACTACCCACATTAGCTTGATCTGAATCCAGTCTAATTCTAATGAGAGTACATCAATTGCATGATCATCGAAGTTAGGAATACTATTTCCTTTGACTGATTAAAGTACCGGTATCCTAAATAATCTCGTATCAATAGTACTGATTTAGCATCAAGCAGATAGAGATTCTCCAGAGTCAGTTTTAGTTATGTAACAATTACTGATACCAGCTATCACCATACTATTATCATTAGAGAACTAGAATGCATGAATTTCATATATGTATTAATTAAGATTTTTAAGTATTTTCAATCTGAAATTTTTAAACAAGAAAAGAAAGCAATTTTGTGTTAAAATGCTAAATGTTTCTAAAAGTCTAGAACAACATAAATGACTGCTAATCTATCCCTTACCTCTCCAATGGAAAATTGGATCTAGTATATGCATACAAAAAATTTCATGAAACTTAAGCAAAAATTCTATTCTAAAGCCAATACTATGTAACTAAAATACATGTATATCATTAGGATAGTAATCTGTATCTGATTTACTGAGCAACTTGAACAAGGCTAGTCCCAAAATCATAATGGAACTAGTCTAACATTATGGCAATTTATTTCCCTAGTAGCTATATGATGGTAACTTAAACTAAAATACAATAAAATACATGTATTTAATACTACTAAAATATGTTTAAAAGCAAAAATTAGTAAATCAGTTATCTTATGTTGGGAATTGTATGTATTTCATTTAAAAAAGTTCTTTGTACATTAAATTGCCTGAAAAAAGGGTATAAAATCTGTCTTGTATATCTAACACCATTGCTGTCAATAAGTCTTCAATATTGATCGATTTGAGGGAGAAAAAAAAAGCCTATAGATTCACATCATTTTTAACAAATACCTAAAACCAAAAATAAAAAATTTCATATTTCATGTCTTAAACCACTGTTCTCCTAATCTTGAAGCTAAAACAAAATAAACAGTAACATACTCAAACCAGGATTACTAAATGGCCTTTCTTGAGCATAAACTCACCTTTCAATGATTTGGCAGAGTTATCACTCTTGGCTGTTCTCGCTCGGGAACTGACTCTTGACTGTGGTGCTTTAGACAATGGGGACTCTCCTCCAAACAGAAGAGGTAGGTCTACATGAGGCCAGATATCTGTAATCAAGGTGCAGAAGATGCTTGCATCCCTGCCTTGCATTCTGGGAAGGAATGTGTCCCTAATGGCCATAACTAAGGATTTTTCTTCTGCCCGTAGTTTCATTTCAGAAGAAAGGTCATCTGCTGGAACAGATGCAGGTCCTTTGTCCTTCTTAGCTAAAAATAAATCAAATTTAAATAGATGTCACTTTTGCAAATCTGATTCAAAACTGGTGAAAATATCTGTTTAAAAAAATCATGTGAAAGGAAAATGTTAAATAAATTTCTCTATACATATCAAGTTCACCATTTCAAAATGGTTTTACACTTTTCCCCTCTGTCATCTCTCAGTTGTTATCAAACCCAAATTTTCACAAAATCCTTGTATATGAAGACCATGTCAACTAACATTAATCACTTTATATAAGTTGACATTCCTTACATGACTTAAGTTATCTCCCTTTTGTGATGTTACCTTTTTCTGATGCCTCCTCCTCGTGTTTCTCTCCATCTTCCTGGAGTTCTTCCTCCTCCTCATCCTCCTCTTCCTCTTTGATGGGGCTCATCTCATCCATCTCTAGCACATCAATTGTATTCTTCTCTAGATAGGCTCCTGCCTCAGACACCACACCCTTTAGAGTCTTAATACTCCAGCCCCCATTACTGGTGGCTATGTCACAACCTAGGAAAAGAGAAAAAAAAACTTCTGAGCTATGTCACAACCTAGGAAAAGGGGAAAAAAACACTTCTGAGCTGTGTCACAACCTAGGAAAAGGGGAAAAAAACACTTCTGAGCTATGTCACAACCTAGGAAAAGGGGAAAAAACACTTCTGAGCTATGTCACAACCTAGGAAACAGGGAAAAACAACAAACTTCTGAGCTGAGTATTAAACAAGGAATTTTAAAGACTGGTAGTTGCAGGGCTCAAAGCAAGGAAAGCAAATTGCACCCTCCCTGAAAAGACATCTATGATGCTAAGTTAATTAGTGTTTTTAGGATGAAGTCTATGAATGGAAAAAGTTGTGCATGCCGTAATGTTTTTTTTTTTTTTACCTTGTGTCATGTTTTCAGATATGAACTGCGTGGTACCCAGCAGTTTGCGACACATTTCATACACCATCATAGTCTTCTTAGCCAATTCTCTTCCATTTATAAATCCTAAATGACAAGGAATATACTTCACATTAGTTATGGTTATTATTATTGTGTACATTTAAACATTCCATAAATTATTTAATATATTAAAAATAAAAATGCCCCATTTTCTGAGCACAAAATGTATAAATCTGTTACCTTGACTACATAACATGACCTCCAGGGTAAGGTGAAGGTCAGGCTGTACAATGGTGACTGTCCTAAACTGGGTCATGATGTAGTCAGGGAGAGCTGCAGTAACTGATGGATACAGGAGGAGTTTGTCTGGGTTTCCTGGCTGAACCTGGCAACAAACAAAAAGGATTTAAATGCTGGCCCATCAAAAAATGTCAGACATTTCTGGCAAATATGGCTTTTAGCATACAATAAATGATGAAAAATGCCAAATGATTTTGAATTGTGCTCAGCTGCCTAAACTAGAATAAAAATAATTTTATCTAAAATTTAAGATAATTTGACTGCCTGGGTGTTAATTTAACATGGATTCAAAATTAATCCTCATCAAAGATTCAAGCATTTGACCCTTGATCTCCAAAATATACTTACCTTTAGAGCACTGTCTAGGAGGGCAAAACATGCCCCACTGGGGCTAAGCTGTATGTCATCTGACTGGAGATGGACTGCTGCCTTTCCAGCTTTTAAAGCCTCCATCACGGCAGACATCAACTGGGCAAAGACACTCAGTACCGCAGGGGCCAAGTGATTGTAGTTGTCAAAACACACCCAGGATCCTGTTATTAGGATTTTTTTAAGGAATTAAAGTAATTTTTCTTCATCATTTGATAAAATTTGGAGGAGTTAAAAAAGAACAGTATTTTTACTCTAGATACTTCAACTAATGGCTTAAACTGGACTGTTGTTGACAAATTTTAAAGATAGCTCTAAAAAATTACAGTGTAGTTAGACAGAGGGAATATGCATCTTCTGTTTCAACAAAAGAGGTTTTGTCAAATGATATCTGTAATTCAAAAATTAGAAATGTACGCTATAAATTCCTTTATAACAATAACTATGTCAATAGTTTTCTTCTAAATTAACCTTGACATCTGACACATACCTGTTGCAGCCATTCCTCTGAATATATCTTGAAGTTGTTCATAATTCATGGTCTTGGTACAGTTGAACCTGTACAGGGGGTACCCCAGGGATCGACTGAGCTCATGAACAAGTTCAAACTTTCCTGTGTCCTGTTTTCAAAGAGGATACAGAGGAATTCATTTATAGCTTATGAAACTTTGCAAAGAAAAAAAAAAACAAACAGCTTTATTACTTTCAATGGACTATATTTCAAAGGGAATCCTCCAACATGGAAGATGAATAAATGAGAGAAACAGAAGATATACCATTTAGAAAACTTATAAAACCACTTAAGAGGGCATCACAATTTACTTTGGTATTAAAGGGTTGTTTCTACTATAATTTTTTTCTATTCTTGGCTATCTATCAAGCAAAGAAATTCTTCTTCTAAAAAGCAATGTTTAAAAGCTTCATGGAGATAGAATTCTTGAAAACAGTCATATTGAAATTAAAATAAAATTGTTCAATTCAAAGATAAATGTCAGTATGCTATAAATTATACATAAACACTGTGTACATTGAATCTGGAAAAAAAAAATTAAAAAAATTATTAACCATTAAATAATGATTGGTTCAAGAACTAAGCAGATATCTATGCATGCAACTAAATTTGTCAAAACAGGGTTGATAACTAAGGAATGACAAGGACAAATCTAGAAAGAACATGCAGTTAAATGGCAGAATGGTCAGATGTTAAGTAATAAGAAAAGACAAGCTTTGTTTGATTTTCTTCTGATGATGTTTATCAATTTACCATGAAGTGTAAAAATTTTTCCATAATTACGTTATGATTATCTTCAGTTTAAATGTGAAAAAAAAAATCCAAGAAGTAAAACTCAATAAAATTGTGCTTAGCTCTCAAAATCAATTTTTTAAAAATTTAATTAAAATGTGGATTAAGGTGAAAAATCTCTTAACTCTGTGAAAATCTCATGTGCAACTTTAAATAGTAAAATTAATAAACAAAAAACTTCTAAAAATTGAAATTATAGTAAACTCTCAGATCTTTTCTTATCAAAAGCAGGTTAAATCTACTACATGTGCTATATTTCTTGTCTTAGTGTTTAAATATAAGACTTGGGAGAAAGGATCTGGTAGTTTCAATTAAAGGTTAAACTGAAAATAAAAAGCCGTATTTACCTCAGGCTGAAAATTATCGATGGCAAAAAGCAAAAAAGTATTAAATGATATATTGTATATCCCAATAATTAACAAATGTATTTGCTCACTCTCTGTTAGGAATGAAGCAAATTTTGTAAGAGCTGGCAGCAATTTTGTAATGTTTGACAAATGTATTCATGTGGAGATTGAAAACATTGTGTGCAAGGCATTTTGCAAGCAAAATGATTACCATATATTGCAACATGCATGATTTCATACAACGGTAAATATATACTGATGCAAAGGCATATATTTCAAGAAAGCTTAACCCTTTGATTTTTCTGACTGCATTATTAAATCATTTAATGTACTTCTAGTCTTCTACTCAATGTATGAACAATAATCATAGAATCATGCTAAAAACTCTGTCTATTACATATATAGGGACAATATAATAATAACTACATAAAATCAAATGTACATCATTATTTCTAAATTCTAAATTGGTGCATCTAATTAATCAATTTTACAACATGCATTGTAAAATATCTATGAATGGGGCATATATGTAATTCATATGACATCTACAGTAAAATATATCTAATTTATGCTGAGCATGCATTCTCTATATAATATTACCTACAATTAACATACGGTTTTAATTCAGAGACCTTTATATAAATTTTAAAAAATTCCTTACCATAGCTCCAACACACATGCCCCCCAAATGTGCCTTAATGGACTGACACAGGGCGACAAATACTCGCTCTGTAAGGGGAGTGATGACCTCTCTATTGCTGGAACCAACGTATTCATAGCCATAGTCAAACTCCGCATCCAGACACTAATGTAAAAAGCATACCCAAGGTTGACACACAACAAGCTCATATCATCTCTATGATGTTAACTCATATCAGATTAATAATATACATGTATGCATACAATATATTAAAGTTCAATTGCAAAAAGCTTTGAATCTACTAGAGTAAATATAAATCAGAGATGAAAAACCTTTTAATTCTTACAAAAGAGAACCACATTTATTTCCCCCCTACCTTAATAGAGACCCCTTTGTTTTCCTTGTTGTAGGAATATCTGAGTTGTGAGCTCCACTGGAATGTACTCATAGCATCATTATTCTCGGCCTCAATCATTCGCTCCATGAAATCTCTCAGGTGAGCCATTAAGGCCAACAGAGAAGTGAGTTTCTGGATCTGACTTGGGAACAACATGAGTCTGAGTTCTGAGTTGTCGATAGGTTCTTCCTGTTTCGCCGCTTCCTCTTCCTGTTTGGTTTTGATCGTTGGGAGGGGCATATTGAGAATGTTCATAGTGTCTATGGGCTCCATTGTCTGAGGTTCCACCATTGCTGTCGTGTAGAAAATCTCAGTATTATTAAGAAAACCCTTTTTTTTCCACTAAGGATCTCTCAAGGTCAACTCCTAAGAAAATTCATATTACTAGAAATCTAGAAAAGTATGAATAAGAATAGAAAAATCATCTACATGTCATAGTGTAACATTTGGCCACTAGAATTAGCTTTGTATACTAAATCTACATGATTGTATAACAATATTTCTTAATCAAGTATGAACTAATATAAGTAATGGGAAAATACATTTTCTCTAAAGAAAACTATCAATAGTACTGGAAAAAAGATCAGTAATTCAAAATAACTGAAAATATATTATTTAAGAAGAAGGACCCTCTGCTCAATATAATAGATTTGTTTCCATTTTGTCAGAAGTAATCAGTAAACATAAAAAAAAATTGTTTCAATATGGGAAATTTTTAGAAACTTATTGATGATTTTTTAAAAAAAAAATTGCATAGGTAAGCTACCATAGTGATTTATCAATTGTAAACTTATCCTTCTTAACTAAATTTAGAGTTATCTCCCTTAGCTATTGGCTTACCTCCCCTAACTAATTGAAGAGTAATCTCTCTTAGCAAATTAAAGAGTCATCTCCCTTGTACAGTTATCTTCCTTCGCTAATTATAGAGTTATCTTTCATAGCCAATTCTAAATATATTTCTGTAAGCTGATGGTCATTCTTCCTTTTTAAGATTGAAATTGAAAATCAAATAAACATTTCAATCCAGTTCAATTTAAATAAATTGTAAGCAAGGCAATAACATTGCTCAATTCCACTCATTCATTTTTTTTTTCTAAGTTTCTAAACATTGGGTAAAGAAGGAAAAATGGGAGGTTGCAGGAAATCATTGGTTGTGCAAGGGACAAATGCTAAGGAACAATTTGTTGTGCAAGTGAGAATATTATATCAAAGTCACATATAAAGGTGTAATAATTAAAGGGGATCAAAATGATAGGGGAAACAAATAGGAAATTTGGATCAAAGTCTTCAAAGCTTCAGGTAAATATACACAAATTAGGGATTGCGTGGTGATTATGGTAAAATAATATTTCAAATGGGTACACTCGGGATAAATAGGGTGAATCTTGCACAATATTGACTACAGGTGATTTAGGTAAATACAGGTGTCACTGTTACCTTTCTGGTCAGGTTTGTCAGTTTTTGCTGGAAGTGAAAGGAGAAGGGTCAGAACATGGTGACATTTACGAAAAACTGGCCAACGACATTAAATCTTGATTGCTTCCATACATATAAGTTTAGCTTGCAATGAAATTTTAAGTTTGTATTAAAATAAAGAAGCACTGTTGATTATAAAGGGTGGATTAACTTCATAAGTGGTTCTGATGGATATGACTATATGAAATAAAACAAGAATGAAATACTCCAAGGTTACATTTGGCAAAGTTTAAGTTATTGGATAAGCTAATAATTGGAATATCACGATTACAGTATTATAACATACAATTGTAATGTAGTGATGCATAAAGTGCAATGTTTTTTCAGTACGACTTAGTATTAATCTGATAACCATTAAGAATGAAATAAAAGTATTACATCATCACGTGTGTATGTGTGCATTTTTTTTTTTGCAGACTTTCAAGAATTAAAAGTGAATTTGTATTGATTTAATGCTAATCTGGGGCTCAAAGTATAACATCAACATAAAATATTTCTAAAGTGAATTTATAATTTTTTTTTTATTTTAAATATTGTACAAAAGAAATAAAACTGTATAATAAAGAAGGCCTATAAAAAAAGAAAAAGGGGCAATAAGCTAAAGTGTTTGAGAAATTTGCAGAGAATATAGAAACAGCAGAAATCTGGCTTTTGAAATCTACAACATAGAAAACATAGGGAGGGAGGGGGATATGTATATATATACATACATCTCTGAGTGTTGTCACCACCTGTTCCTGAAGCTAAAAGTAGGTACAAACATACTTAACAAGACTGTATGATAAAAATCAATGAGGAATGTAACTACCATTACATTCCAAGACTGTAACTACCATTACATTCCAAGACACAATGGTAAATTTAAAAACAGTAGTCACCAGTAAATACTTTTAAAATTTTATTATCATAATTACTAATTTCACTATTAATTTTTCTGCAAAATCTAATTTGTACTAAATAAAGAATTTTCTTTATAATTTGATCACATTTGAAACAAATGTCTGCAATATATGTGAAAGTGCAACTCTTAAGGAATTATTAAAACACAGCAAATTTTTATGGATTAATAGCTAAGAGCTAACACCAGAGACAAAGTTTTAATTTGATACATTAATTGATCAAAAATTTGAAATTAATTTCATTAACTTACAGTCCTGATGATCTTGTATAGAGCCCTCTTCCTCTGGGATGGGGGATCGTCCCGATTCTAGCCCCACATCAAACATGGAGCCCTTCCTGGATTGCCCCATGGATGCCCCACCGTAACTACTTCTGGCCCCGGCGACGGAGGCAGACTCAGATAGCTCTTCTTTGTCCTCACCAAGTTTCTGATTCTTCACTGGAGAGGGAAAAAAACTTTGGGGGTAGAACTTCTTAATCAGGGATCTCAGACTGTTTTTGTTGAAAATACCTTAATCATATCCTATCTAATCATGGTTTAGTTGATTATTTAAATGGTAAAAGAAAAATTAAACAACCATTTATATTTATCATTCAAATCTAAAATTAATTGGGGAGATTCTGTATCCAACTGAATTACATTATTCATGGCTGGTTAATTTCACTCTTTTTTTTTTGTTAAAGATATCCAATCACCTTTCATGTAATGAATGTTTGACTGATGATAAATTTATCAGCTAGATTTTTTCCCCCCTTTTTAAATGCCCTTACTTTCACTTTCTGTTTTCTCTTTCCTGCCCTTTGCCTCCTTGTCTCCCTCCAAGCCTTTTAGTAACACCACTGTGGCCTTAATACTAGAGCTTATCTTCTCATGGCAGTTCTGTAAACAGACAAACAAACTATTAAAACATGGTCTGATATAAATTTCCATTTTATCAATCATTTAATGAAATGATTGCTAAAATTCTTGCCCACAAACCAATTTTCTGAAGTTGATTGCACACAAATTTTGAAAAGGTAATTATTTATTTTTTATGGCGGTGCATTAGGCAATTTTGTTTAGAACACATGTAAAAAAAAAAAATAAAATAAAACCTTGAGACTGTCCCTATTTCCAGAATCTAGTGCAGCCAGACTCTCTGAGATCTGCTCTGTCATTTGGACTTGTGTTGCTAGGTAAACAACTTCAGTCACATGATCCAGAGTCCATGACTTCTGGGGGTCTTTTTCAGGGTCAGCTAACAGTTGCTCGGCAACAGAAGATGCTCTACTATTGTTAGCTGGTTCCTTTTCTTTTTCTCTTTCTTTCTTCTGTCTACTGCTTGTGCGACTTCCACCTTTTTCCCCTGCAAGTCAAAAAATTAATAAATGAACACAGATACTGTGCATCCTTTTAAATCCACAGTGCTAAAATTTAAATATTTGTTACAAAGGTACCAATCGCCATGATTTTGATTTAATGCTATATTCATGACATGCTTTTTCATGTGATCTGAAAACCTTATTCACTATGGGTTTAATTTCACAGAAAAATGATAAATTCAAACATATATTGAAAATAAAACAATCATTAGATTTTTCTCTATTCTACAGTAAAACTATAAACTGATGATTCTAAAATTTTCATGTCAATGCATCACCTCAGCCTGAATGGCATTTTTTACTTTTTAACAACAGAATGGGGTTTTAAAGTTTTTACAATTATTTTGATTCAATTTTCATAGACACAAATTTCCCCTTTATCAAAATACGTTGTCAGAAATACAACATTAGATATAAAAAAAACCCCCAAAAAACACCTTCCCAAAGACCTATTCAAATACATTGGCATGTAGTTGAGAAATGAGCTTAGAGAAATGTTAAAGATCAGTAAAATTTTTTAAAAAAATCTTGTTTGACCTTTATTCTGCTTGCTGAGGGAACTGGAGGCCCTTGCAGGGACTGAGACCCTCCTAGATCCAGCACTCCTTATTGTCCTCTGTCTTGGCTTGGGCTTCTCGTACCCCAGGGCTGTGGCCATTTGGAATTGGAGGGAGTTCTTCAAACTGCTGACAAATGAGGACAGCCATGTTTCTATTTGTCCCTCACAAGCTACAGGCTGTAGAATTACAAAAAGAAATAAAAACCAATTCAATGAATAAACAGTTTCTGCAGTTATTATAATAAACACTGTATCTGATTTGGTTTTGAGTTAAATCATGACCAGGACTTAGAAACAAGATAAAACATAGGTAATCAAAGATTACTAAGCTCACCTCGACGAATGTTATCTATAAGTAAGGTAAATCTCACATCATATTTTTTTCCTAGTTAGTGTACATTCCAAGATTAATATCCATCAATATTAGATTCAGAATCCAAAGTAAGTCTGGAACTGTCCATCTCTAGATACATCATCATTCATGCTAATTTGGTTAAAATATGGCTAAAATTCACTCATGTGGAAAATCTAGGTCAGATCCAGAATCCAAAGCAGGTTAGTTAGTGTACATCCCTAGATGCATCATCCATGCAAGTTTGGTCCAGGTAGGGCTTATATTTACTTGGGAATGGACCTGCTCCAAAAAAACTTTAACCTGATCAATCATCTGGAAAATCTAGGTCAGATCCAGCATCTGAAGCAAATATGGTAGTGTCTATCCCTAGATGTATCATCCATGCAAATTTGGTCCAGGTAGGGCTTTTAGTTACTTGGGAATGGACCTGTTCCAAAAACTTTAACCTGGTCACTCATCTGGAAAATCTAGGTCAGATCCAGCATCCCAAGCAAGTGTGGTAGCGTCCATCCCTAGATGCATTATCCACGAAAGTTTGGTCAAGGTAAGGCTTAAATAATCACTTGGGAATAGACCTGCTCCCAAACCTTTAATCTAGTCACTCATCTGGAAAATTTAGGTCAGATCCAGCATCTGAAGCAAGTATGGTAGAGTCCTTCCTTTGATGCATCATCCATGCAGGTTTGGTCCAGGTAGGGCTTATAATTGGGTACCTGCTCCAAAAATTTTAACCTAGTCACTCATCTGGAAAATCTAGGTCAGATCCAGCATCTGAAGCAAGTGTGGTAGTGTCCATCCCTAGATGCATCATCCATGCAAGTTTGGTCAAGGTAGGGCTAATAGTTTCTTGGGAATGGACCTGCTCCAAAAACTTTAACCTAGTGACCCATCTGGAAAATCTAGGTCAGAACCAGCATCCAAAGCAAGTGTGGTAGTGTCCATCCCTATATGCATCCTCCATGCAAGTTTGATTCAGGTAGGGCTTATAATTACTTGGGAATGGACCTGCTCCAAAAACTTTAACCTGGTCACTCATCTGGAAAATCTAGGTCAGATCCAGCATCCGAAGCAAGTGTGGTAGTGTCCATCCCAATCTGCATCATCCATGCAAGTTTGGTCCAGGTAAGGCTTATAGTTACTTGGGAATGGACCTGCTCCAAAAACTTTAACCTGGTCACTCATCTGGAAAATCTAGGTCATATCCAGCATCCAAAGCAAGTGTGGTAGTGTCCATCCCTAGATGCATCATCCATGCAAGTTTGGTCCAGGTAGGGCTTATAGTTACTTGGGAATGGACCTGCTCCAAAAACTTTAACCTGGTCACTCATCTGGAAAATCTAGGTCAGATCCAGCATCTGAAGCAAGTGTTGTAGTGTCCATCCCTAGATGCATCAACCATGCAAGTTTGGTCCAGGTAGGGCTTATAATTCCTTGGGAATGGACCTGCTCCAAAAACTTTAACCTGGTCACTCATCTGGAAAATCTAGGTCAGATCCAGCATCCGAAGCAAGTGTGGTAGTGTCCATCCCAATCTGCATCATCCATGCAAGTTTGGTCCAGGTAAGGCTTATAGTTACTTGGGAATGGACCTGCTCCAAAAACTTTAACCTGGTCACTCATCTGGAAAATCTAGGTCATATCCAGCATCCAAAGCAAGTGTGGTAGTGTCCATCCCTAGATGCATCATCCATGCAAGTTTGGTCCAGGTAGGGCTTATAGTTACTTGGGAATTGACCTGCTCCAAAAACTTTAACCTGGTCACTCATCTGGAAAATCTAGGTCAGATCCAGCATCTGAAGCAAGTGTTGTAGTGTCCATCCCTAGATGCATCAACCATGCAAGTTTGGTCCAGGTAGGGCTTATAATTCCTTGGGAATGGACCTGCTCCAAAAACTTTAACCTGGTCAATCATCTGGAAAATCTAGGTCAGATCCAGCATCCGAAGCAAGTGTGGTAGTGTCCATCCCTAGATGCATCATCCATGCAAGTTTGGTCCAGGTAAGGCTTATAGTTACTTGGGAATGGACCTGCTCCTAAAACTTTAACCTGGTCACTCATCTGGAAAATCTAGGTCAGATCCAGCATCCGAAGCAAGTGTGGTAGTGTCCATCCCTAGATGCATCATCCATGCAAGTTTGGTCCAGGTAGGGCTTATAGTTACTTGGGAATTGACCTGCTCCAAAAACTTTAACCTGGTCACTCATCTGGAAAATCTAGGTCATATCCAGCATCCGAAGCAAGTGTTGTAGTGTCCATCCCTAGATGCATCATCCATGCAAGTTTGGTCCAGGTAGGGCTTATAATTCCTTGGGAATGGACCTGCTCCAAAAACTTTAACCTGGTCAATCATCTGGAAAATCTAGGTCATATCCAGCATCCGAAGCAAGTGTGGTAGTGTCCATCCCTAGATGCATCATCCATGCAAGTTTGGTCAAGGTAGGGCTTATAGTTACTTGGGAATGGGACTTGCTCCTAAAACTTTAACCGGGACGCCGACGCTAACGCCGACGCCGACGCCGACGCCAACGCCGGGGGTATAGCATAAGCTCATCTCGACTTCGTCGAGGTGAGCTAAAAATCATTTTTAAACATGGTTGACTGCAACTATTTAGATCTTTATACAAATATTTTGAAAGAGAAAAAGACTTGATCAAGAAATCTCTCTCCATGTAAGCCAAAGTTATGCACCCTCAAAGCATAAAGAAATAGCCCTGAGCTTGTAAATGGTAATCAATATTTTCACAGTTCATACTAACTTGATTAAAGTCCAGTCTCTCCCCGAGGCAGCTGGTGACCCCAGTGATGAGGAATTTATACCGCTCCTCCTCCTCAACCTCCTCAAACACAATGCTCCCCACATTCTCAAACAGCTTGTTAATGTACAGGTTCACCTGGTTAAGGTCGTACCCTGTGTGTGATAAAATATGTAGTTAAAATTCTTTGTTCCATCCATAATTCTTCAAAAGTCACTGGTTTACAGCAATGAAATATTCATTTGGGAACAAGTTTATCAGTTCATCTCATAATTTTCAGAGTAATTTACCATTGCAGACAATATGAAGGACATCCTCCATAGACAAGAAGTAGAATCGAGGGAAGATTTGACGTCTTCGCTCCAGGTGATGGAGGAGATTTTTACGACAGGTCTCAAGGCCATGTTTCATGTGCTCCACAATTGACAATATGTCTGGAAAATAAAAGTTTTTTCTCTCCTGATTACTGTAATGTTCTTTATACATACCTTACAGAACATGTAGAGAACCACCACAATTACATTTCAGCACTGTTTTAAATTACTAATAAGGTGTGTAGCTATAATTCAGATTTACTGAAGAGAGACAACCTTAGGAAATAAATTCTGTAGATCTAAGTTAATCAAAAAAAGAAAAAGAAAAGAAAAAAAGAAAAAGAAAAGAACAAGATGACTGGAATGTAAGAATCAAATCACATCAAATGATTTCCTATGAAATTTTAAAAGTTAGCTTACTTTTACGAGTACATCTCTGTAGGACATTGGGATTTTTCTCTGTGGCCCTCATGAGGAGTCTGAAGTCTTTGTTGAGGACAGCAAATCTGTTGGCATCATGGGAAAGGGAGGTCCTCACATCAGTACTGGAGTATACCTACAGGGGAATTGAAAGATAATGATTACCATAAATGATTGTGTAAAAATGATCAACTGTCCTGGTCTGTATAAAATCAGAAAATTTTCAGACCAAAAATCAACAATGCAAAACAATAATATTAAAATTTTTTTTTTAAAGACTAGATCTGTAAGTGTACATAAAATGACATATTCTAAATTTAGCGCAATCACTTGGTTTTGAGTGGTTGGTGTAGTCATGGATTACTGTTACACATGTCCGCACCATGTATTGTATTTATTTAAGATTTTTTATGGTATTCATGAATTAGGGCATAGTTGTTCATGCCAAAATATGAAGCCCACTTTTTTAAGTACACTTACATTATGTTTTTATCAAAGTATAAAAAAAATATTAATACATGCTGTGTTTTTTTCACATCTGAGTGCTACATCAACTTTTTTTTTCTTAGTTAAAAATAAGCCCCTGCTTAACTAGGTAGGGGACTTTTGTTGTGATAAAAAAAAAAAATGACATCAAGTGCCTATGCATTTGAGGGCTGTCTCAATTTTTTACTCTTAGACATGTCTTTTTCTTTTCACTCTGATGCATGTGAAAAAGTTTTAAAGAAATCATATATGTACCATAAGAAACAGCATCTTTTTTTTCACAGAGTTAAAAGCTGATACAAGTGCATTATATATATAAGCCTGTAGAAGATATGCTTGCTTATCTAATAAAAAAATAAAACAAATAATATTCTTTAAACTAATAAAATAACTGACCTCTTCCAACTCTATCCAGAGTTCCTGAACATCAAGCCATGTTCTGAGGACAGCCTCAATGGTCTGCAACCGTTTCTGCCATTTGACCACATCATCCATGAAGCTACCGGCCAAACTGTTGCTGTGCATCGCTTGTAGCGACACCTGGTGGGCCTCAAGTTCAGCAAAGATTGGGTCAGTGTTGGTCAGTAGTAATATCTGCCCTGAGTCCTAAAAATTATTTTTGATAACGTTTGATTCTCATATTATTTTCTGATGTGAAAAAATCAAGTAAAAAAAAAAACCAAAAAAAAAAAAAAAAAAAAACCACCACATTTAATTTGAAACTTTCTGGTTTGAAGATAATTATTTCATTCATCTTAATCAAGATAATCTCTGATTTGATATTTTCATAAAATTCTACAGCAAATTCATGATCTGTGATTATATACTATAAATATAATGGATTGGATATCTCTTTAAATGTTTACTGTCATTATGTGTAAGATCTGGACCAAGTATGTAAAAGTAACCACAGCTTTGACCATATTTAAGTCTGTACCACCTTACCATGGATACTTCAATTTTAGGTCAAGATCAAAAAAAAAAATAAGATGGTCAAATAAGTTTATATTCCTCATTTGAAGTGAGAAATTAAAACATGTACATTATCAAACATAGGCATCTTTGGTGACATGGTACAGATATATGTTAATCATTAAGTCACACAGATCGACACACCACAAGGAAACATTTTGGATGATTATGACCACCAATTGTTAGTATATCCAGGCACCTCAACACTTACATGTATGAATTGTGTCACATGTATTTAGTCACAAAGATTTTACATTCATTTGACAATGTTTTCATGTGTGCTGCTACAAGTGGTTAAATGAATGGTTGTCCAGATAAAGGACAGTATTTCTAGAGTTCAGTGTGTTAATCATTGAATTACTGCAGTACAGAGGTCAATTCAGATCTCCTACTTCATGAGATCTAGCAAACTTGCAACACAACAGCAAAAGCTTTCATCCACAAGAAATGGCATGCAATGATTACCAAATACTACTAACTTCAGTAAATTTGAAACAATACAAAGTAAATAATTAAATTGGTGAAAAATTACTACCCATCTGATTTAAGAATCAGATCTTCTCAATAAAAAGGAACTTAATTGGGCATCAAGATAAAAATTATCCAAAAATTGAGGCATTTTATTTTTGCAGGAGATGATAACTAGATACTTTTTAAGTATTTTAAGAATGAAATTAATTAAGTTTAAGTTATCTCACACCTTTCATAAATATCTTAAAAATAATTAACAACAATAAAAGATTAATAAAGTGAAAAGGAAAAAACTCCAGCACACCATGCTAGATATACTAACGTGTTCGATTACCTCACCAAGATTCAGCAGTGAAGCAGGAAGTGACGCGATACTGCTTCGTTTATTTTTACTGTGTGAGCTTTGGTTGGAAATCCTACTTCCTGTTCGTGCCTGACTTCGACTGGCAGCAGGGGGTTGTCCCCCTTGACCCTGGTGTTGAGAGTGTTCACTCTCACTTTGCTGATCCTGAAATGTCAACATTTTAGAATATTCTTTTACAGTATTAATGTTTTAGAATATTCTATACTTACAGTATTATTTTAGAATATTCTATAACAGAATATATATATATAAGTTTTCTTATTCACAGTCCTTTCTCCTTTCCACCATGTGCATGGAATCATAAAATAAATTACATAGAAAATGATATTCAACTGGCAAAATTGAAAGTTTGTAAACCCCCTTTTTAATTCAACTTTCATTTAATCAATTTACATATATATGGGACAAAATAGACACTTTGCAGAATCTTCTTTTCACTGCAGTTTTACAGTTTTTATGTTGTTTTTACATGACAGCATAAATCCATGAACATAACGTTGAAATAACTTCTAAAAGGAATAAAGTTATTTTAAAAAAGCAAAGATAAATTCAAAACAGAGCAAAACAGACTTCAAAGAAAATCTAAAAATATTCATGATGAAAATTAAACTCTGTACAGTAGGTCACCTGATTAGTTGGTGTGACATCCATTTCGGTCCTGACTCGTGTGTGAGGTCGCAGCTCAAAGATCTTACTCAACCAGACCTCATCGTAAGTTTTCAGACTCTGTTCAATAGACAGATCTTTCACGGCCCTCTGGACCTGGGCGCGAACATCGTCCACATGTTCTAGAAAGAAGAACAAAGTCAAGAAATGTTTGCTAAAACTCTTGTCTCTAAGGTGAGCAAATTTAAATGAAATGTTGAATTCAGCAATCAATGCCGATCTATTAAATTTCAACTGAAAATACACACGTATTTAATTCAACACTTTAAAAATAATTCCTACAAAGCTATCAGGTATTAAATTTATTCATAAGTGAACTTTTTTCTCATAGACTGAAATATGAAATTCTTGAAGAAATAAAGGCTGAAAATTTGACTACAGCAATCTAGAGATTAAATTAAACCGAGAATGACCACACTTACTCTGTAACCCGAGACTCAGTAATTCCCCGAGGGTCATCCTCTTGAGTGAATCCGTGTCAATGTTAAGCCCTCCTTTGGTGACCTGAACCAGTTTTTTCCAGTGTCTGGTTCTCATGGCAGGGTTACTGAGGTCATCAATAAGAGGAAGGCAGGCCTAAGAAGGAAAAAAAAGTACAGTTGAAAACTTGAAATTCGGTATTTTGAATATCGATATCTTGAATGCCATGGATAACTATGCGGAAGTTTGTTGGAAGTCCAAGCTACTTTTCTTCTATGTATTTTAACCTCAATAACTCAATTCCTCAGATATCTTTAAGTTCTTTTTCTTAGCTTCATCAAGTTTAACATAATGAACACATAATTTATTTGCATCAACAATTCATAAGTTGATGAAAAACACTTAGTCTTTCTACTATGAAGTATGTATGAAAGGATATGATAATTAACCTCTGATCACAAAACATATTTTTAAAAAAAGCCTTTTCAAAATTCAAAAGCCGATCTCCAACCATCTATAAAGTTCAAAGATATCGTGTTTCATATCTAGGAATAATCAGTCTTCCAGAGAATCATCAATGATACCCAACCTCTTTTTTTTTTACTCTACCCACCTGTATTGTGGTAATGGACTCATGCAGCCCCATGTAGACATCCCAGGTAAAAATATCCTCTGGAAGACCCCTGACAATGTCTAACTGTTTATTCGTCTCCTCCTTCAAGAACTTAGTGTTCATCTTCTGCCAGCGGTGCCTCTTCCACTCAGACTGCTGTTCATCAATCACTCGCACAGTCTCCCAAACTTGCTTCAAATTGTTCAACTCATGACGGCACCTGCAAACAGATTTGTGGAATTAAGCTTTTGTTTGCTTGAAAGCTGAATATAAAAGTTGTTCCTATATCAGAACTCTAGCTTGTTCAATGCTTACATTATTTCCATGCCCCCCCCTCCCCCCCCCCCACTTTAAAAAATAATTGAATAAACAAATAAGGTATTAATTCAAACATTTCTGAAAAATGTTTGCATTTCAAAAACATTCAGACTGAACAAGTTGAATAACTTACTGTGGCAAGATTTCAAAATTTACTACAGAAGCTTCCAGAAGTCCTTGAAGTTCAATGAGATCCTGTGCTTCATTCTCCAGGACGGTCAGCCTCTTGGAGAATCCATCGATGATCACCCAGGAATCAGTAATGTTACAGTCTCTATTGTACACATCAGAGTTCTCCAACTCCTTAGCAAGGGACATAACTCTAACTCCAAAGGCCTCTAAATCCTGCTCAGAGACAAAGAAATATTTTTAAAGAACAATTATAGACTGAAGATGATCTGTAATCTTTGTTATGCTCCCACAAAAAATCCTGCTCCAAAACTGATAAAAATTGATATTTCAGGGTTGTCCCTAGGACTCAGGGGCTGGGGAATTTCCCGCTATAATGACATAACCCTCTGGTTATTCTGGTATTGCTCCCATTAGAGGAGGAACCTCAGATCCCCATCTACTTTTTGTTAATGTCCCCTTCTATTTCAATTCTTATGGACAATCCTGTATTTTGAGCAATATTTTTCTTCACCAGAATAGCTGTTGTAACAAAATTTATATCTTAAGCAATGTTTTTCTTCATCATTGTATATCAAGAATATTATCCACTAATCGGATGATTCAAATTTTTCCCCATTCAAATCTCATTATCTCAAAATACTATCCAATACATTTATTTCTTTTTTACCTGAGTGATTCGTACAGACTCCTCCTGTATCCTGGGACCCAGTCTCTGTTTGGCCAAGGATACCTTAGTTTTCAAGTTATTCCATCGGCCTGGTGCTGCACTGAACAAAGCCTGGGTCTTTTCTGGTAACTTCTGTCCGTATTTCTTCAGCAGTAACACAGTTCTGTGCATAGCTGTGAATTTACCATCCATCTCTAGTTGCTGTGCTGAGACCTACAGATGATATAGATTAAATTACATTTATATTTACTATATTAGTCCTGTCCCACTTTAAGCATAAGTTTGAGTTACTTAAATGCTAAACACCTAACAAAGATTCTAATGAGAAAATGAATGAGTTTGATGTGCTTTTCAAAAATAATTTTGTCAAGATAAGTACGTATCTGATTGCTCACCTCATTAAAGAGTCTCATCATTTTCATAAAGGAGGCTGTGTCCCTCTCCTCCCCAGTTATCCCCTCAATCTCCGGCTCAATTCTCTTGAGAAACATGTCATGTTTCTCCAACATGTGGGTCACCTGCATAGAAAACAAATTTGTCAGTCAAAATTCAAAACTGGCTAGGATGAATTCCTCTCATTTAATAGGCATAATCTTTTTCTCTTGTTTGTAATCTTAGTAAAATAAAACTGTACAACTTATAATTTTACAGAGAAGAAGAAAGAGTTAAAGATTTCAATGTAAACATTTAGACATTCTCTTGTACCTGATCTGACAGGTATTTAGTGTATGTCCACATCCATTTGGCAGCATAAGTTGTAAGAACTTGTTTGATTGGTTGTAAATCCACACGAAGCCATCCCACATTATGGAAATCTTCCAAACTTTGTATTTCATCTCGGGCAGTCTGTTTTACATAATAAAAGCAGCAGGTCATAATATTTTTATATTTTACATTCTTTAATGACTTCCTGGGACCTTTATACTACAGTGTAACAGTTAATATATATTTCCCTCATGCTTCTTCACCATGAAAGTCTTTTTATCTGGTGAGTACTTAAACTTACCCTGTAAATTTCAATTTCTGAATCAAATTCATCCAAACTTGGAATATTGGATGAGACTTCCTCTTGTATATTTTTAGGTGTGAGAAAAGTCCTCTCAGCTGTTCCCAGTAGTCCTGCTGAATTCAAACTGCTTGTTGATGAAGCTCTGTGGGTAAACAGGAAAATGAAATTACAGCATCATTCTAAAACTTTCCTTATTGTCCAATTAATTTTTCCACTCATTCATCTTAGCAGGCAAATGCTTCTAACTTATCCTTCTGACTTCATGAAAATTGAAAGGAATGGGACAGAACTCTTGTGAGTGCAATGTATTTCATTGAAAATTCTACTTGCAGAAATCAAAACTTTACATTAAACACTTATTATCTAATGACAAATTAGATAAATATTCTTTCATTAAAACAAAAATCTTACTGCAATCAAATGTAGTAACTATTTTGAGGTTTACAAGAGCTCCACTAACCTAGATTCAGTTCTGGATCTTTCAGTTGCTTGTTGTCTGACCATTCCTGCAAATGTTCTGTTGGGGCTCCTTAGGGGATTAGGTGAAAGTTTTCCCCTCAGAAACTCCTCAAAGGTCAAATTGACATCTTGTAGCCACAGGAAAGCATAGTCCCCAAAAATGTCAATTAGTTTCTACAAGACAAGAAATATGTTACCAGGTACCTCTGAGAATTTTCCTTTATGATTATGAACAACAGACTTACTCTGTAAATTGTGCCTTCAAATAACAGGAATTTTAGAAGTAATCTTATCTGCCCATGAATTTTACAATTATAACTCAGTTATTAAAATGCCTACAAGATATATTAGATACTAAATATGCACTATAGCATCCTATTCCACAATTATCCTTTATGATTATCACAGTATGTTAAACAAAACCTTTTTCTCTGAATTACTAACCTTACACTCCTCTCCATTTTCATCCACCAGTTTATTAATGTCTAACAGGAGCTGTTTAACTTCCTCATCAGCTGCTATGTAATCCTGATATGTACCCTAAAAGTAAAACCAAGTCAAAGATTGTCATGAATCATGCTCTATTCAACAATTTTTGAACATGAAATTCTTTCAAGAAAGATTTCTCTTCTAATGTTTATTTATGCAATCAGAGTGGGTACTTACCTTAGGTCCAAGCATTTTGACAAGTTTTCCTCGAGCCAGAAAACTGTCCAGCCACTGATGAACAAGTTCCTGAACTGAGATAACTGAGGTGTGGGTGTCCAGTGGTGGCCTGAATGCCACGCGGTTGTCAATCAGCTCTAATCGGATGGTAAGAATTGGCATAACAAAGTCATCCTGAAATTGTTAATAGTATTTTGAAAAGCTGAAATATGCATGAAAATTAAGATGAGCTGAATCAACACATATTATGGGGAGTTGATGAAATTTGGAGATGGTCTTCTAAGTGAAAGTTCATTCTAAGACACAGTAATACTAGTATATGAACAATTAATAACAACAAGGTAAAGTATAAGACTTAGTACAATTGGACAAATTAAAACAGTGAATTGATAAACAAGTGTGATGATACCAAAAAATCGTGCAATTAAATATTGGAACTTTTACACTGAAATCTACTCCCAATAGTTAAGTGGGTTGGTTAATGTTCAGTCTATATAGATATCCTAATATTTTTATATAGGGAGATCCTCACCTCTGTGGCCATGTTGGCTTGCACCAGATTGTTTAACATGGACTTGAGACTAGTGAGAGTGGCCTGCTTCAGGCCATCCAGAACAATGGCATCCACATAGTCTATATAATCCTGCCAGGCAGGAGAGGCCTGACTTATCTGTACTGCCTTAAAAAGAGGAAATAAGGTTTGTATCATTATGTTCACTTCAACATAAATTCAGTATCACTTCAATTGGACGATGACAGATGGAATGATTTTACCTCAAATGATGCATCCACAAGCTGGTGAATCTTATGTCCTGAGGGAATGACTGTGTTCTCAAAGTCATCTTCTAGATGCCTGCAAATAAATGTACATGTATATAGGGTTATAAAGATTAATCAGGAAGACATAACTTTGCATCTTATATTCAATCAACAACTGTTATTTCAACATTCTTATTAAAATTCTGACGCACTGAATATTTTGAGGAAAAACAAAAAAAAAAACAAAATAAGAAGTACATACCAGTATACATACATACATATATATATATTTATTTTTATGTATATATATATATATATATATATATATATATATATATATATATATATATATATATATATATATATATATATATATTCTTTAAAAATAAGGGCTATTCCAGGAAAAATTGTATGGGGGGGTTGGAAGGCACTCTTATTTTTACCTCACCACCCATACATTTTTAATTACCTTCTACCCCACCCCCCATCAATTTAAAATTGCTTTTGATACAACCACCCATCTAAATTTAAAAAAAAAAATTGTGTCACACATATATATGCAATAAAATTTTATGTACTTTTTTCAGGTATTGTAATTTACCTGACTTCGAATGAGTGTTGGGTTTTGACATCTATCCAACCAGGGCCCGTTTTACAAAAGAACTTATGACTAAGATCAAAATGTTATTAATATGCAAATAAATTTCTTTTTTGCATTACTTTAAAAATGTTTTAAATCTTTTTGAAAAAAAATAAGATAGTTTTATGCCAACAATTTTTAACAGAAACATAAGTTTTGCAAGATTTTATGAACAACTCAAGTTTTTAGTCTTAGTAATAAGTTTTTTTGTAAAACAGTTCCCCGTGTTCCTGCTACAGCTTAAAAAATATGTTCCTTTAGGCCTATGATACACACCACTGAAAGCCTTTATTATAGTGATTTGTATATCTGTTCTGATGCATGACTTTGTAGTCCGTAAAGCTTAGGTAAAGCTTTTACAAGTATGTATACACATGTACTAGTAGAAATGACATTCCTACAATTAATTAAAATTAATATTGTAAATTATAGCCTAGCTATCCTTAACAATTGTTGTTCACCTTGTTCATAACAAAATGATTCCTGCTTTTTTTTTTTTTTTTTTTTGGGGGGGGGGGGGACTAAACTTCTGTAGGCAGTGTCTGTGAAGTGAAAACTCTGATTAAAAAAAAAATATTTCATGAATTCTAAATCCCATCTAACAACTTAGACCATTGGTGCATACAAGTTCGACAAGTTAACACCTAACTGGCTAAGGACTGGCATGTTTTTGACATAATATATTTCATATTGTTTTCAAACTCATATATCATCTTCCTTTTACTCTGTATGTGGTATAAAGTATAATATTTGACTTGCAAACTCCGTAGTCATGCTCTAAAACGTTCATTATCAGATTCATTTTTTTCTACTTTCGGTTTAAAATAAAACGATCTTTCTGATTGTTTCTAATATCATTTCATTTACCAATGTAATCATGTTTGATTAAACTGGCGAAAAGAAACTGGACCAGGGAGTCCAAAGCACAACTAATCCGTTTTCCAATCCCCCACTTTCATTGCAGTCACAGTTGCACATGCTTTTACAGTTATCTGCCCTTGTTTCCGTTTTGTTCGATTCTACTTTCACTTTCAATGTAAACACACTTTACAACTGTTTAGGACGAAAATATCAGTATTTACCGATTTATACAAAATGAGAGGAAAGAAGTACTTTGCACTTGATTATTTGTGAGGGTAAATACAACCACCCATCTAAAAATATATCGATTGAGGACAACCACCCACACAAATTTAATTGCTCCAGACCCACTACCCATACAAAAATATATGAAGTGCCGTCCAACCCTCCCGTACATTTTTTCCTGGAATAGCCCTAAAAAAAACCTTCCTTGTCAATTACTACATAAAGAATTGAAAACCGAAATTGCTTCCCTTGGCAACATACTTTTGCATTCCAAGTAATTCCTCCATGGAATACGACTTCTCTTGATCTCGGGAGACAAACACATCCAGAGTTCCCATGGACCAGGATATTGTGATTCCGGCAATCTCATGACAATTTGTCTGGACGGTGTCCAGATTCTGGTGGACGTCCACACAGACCAAAGACATGGCTTGCTCAATGAAGTCAGCAGATTCCTTCATCCTCCAAGTGTACTGCTGAAGGCCTTGTTCAAATAGCTGTTAGAAGATGATAGATTTACACAATTACTGAAGCTTTAAAGAATCTAGCATTTTTACATAAAATTCTGTAAATTAAGATAGCATCTGTTTCTTTAAATGTTTTTCTTCACAACTGCATTATTGTATTGATTTTACTAACACTAACAATGACTTCAGCTAAAGCTTTACATGTACAAGTTAATTCTGAGTTTACACTAAGATTTAAGGGAAAACTAAATAATGTGTACTTAATTCACTTACAATATCAATTTTGGCAAGTTTTCTTTCAAACAGAGGTCTCTCAAATTCTGTAATTGACCTCATGATGTTGTTATACTTGGATACAATGGTTTCCAGTCGGGTAGCAGTGGTTCTCAGTTCCTGGGCATCCGTGTTTCTCAGCAACTCCTTGGCAGCGGGTGGAAGGTGGATATTGAAGGGATCTCCACACAGATAGTGGATTTCCTTCAGTAGGAGAAGGAGCTGAGAGTCCAAGTTAGCATGAACAACTTGTGGACGGAGATCCACTTCTTCATCATACTCTTCTGCAATCTGTATAAACAAGAAAATAAGTCATGATAAACCTTTAGAGATACCACTTAATGCACAATCAGCAACTAAGAATGGCAATATATGCAGAATTGCTAATCACTTATCGGTAATCCTAATTTTTTTTTTTGGATTACCTAAACCTGAACTCCATTTATAATAACTATCTTAAATCAAGAGATTCTGCAACTATTAAAACCCAGTAAAAGGAATCAGTTAGTCATTTGTTATTCTTCTATAGTTAGGGGAACAAAAAAGTCTGATTTTGACTGTCAATCATCTTCTAAATTACCAGTAGTGGTTGTTTCAGCTTCATGGTCAACTCTGAGGTGATATTATTCTGCCAGTCTAGGGAGATCTTTTTCTCGTACTCCTCCAGAACCTTTATACAATCCTGGTAAGCATCCTTCATCTGCCAGCCTTCATCCCCCTCCAGGGAATGGGGGCTTACTCGCTTCAACTTGTCCATTGGCCTCTGAATTTGTAAAAGAGTTACCTCCCATGAAGACATAATTTTATTTCATACAATAATAACATAGAAATTTCAACTTCCTTTTTTTTTTAATAGTTTACAAACAGATTTCTCTTGACTACTGTGCACTGCTTCCATAAAAGGAGACAAATTATAACTTAATTGTTGTAATTTTTCTAATCTATTCCCACTTTCAATTTAAGTAACAGTGAATTATTTCTATGTTCTAAAGTCAATATATACACACTCAAAGTGTGATTTATATTTGTACAAATTCATTAAAATTATTTTACTTGGTAAATGCAACTTAAATGAGTATAGATACCAGTAAATTAAGATAAATACAAATTTAAAACACTAACCCTGATCCTTTCCTGCAGTGCTCTGACCCAGAAGAGTCGACTAGCAATGGGGGGCATGTTTCTGTGTAGGGGTGGACTGATGCTGCAGTCATCAAACATGCTCCTGACAGTTTGTAGCTCCTCAGAAAAAGCCTGAACCAGCTGATGATCCTTGTCTCTCAAGTGAATCTGGAGAGAGAACAAGTTTACTCATTACGATCAAAATCAATGAACAAGATTACAAAAGTTATGTTTCTTGATGATTAGTAAATTAGTAAATCTAAGTTAGTCAATGGAATTGTTATGTACAAAATAGGATGGGGGGATGTGAAGAAAAAAAAAGCTTGAATGGTCATTTGTAATGTTTTCAGCTACTGTATATAACCTGAAATTATTTCAGTACTTTATGAATATACCCATTAATTTATTAACATACCCATATTCTAGTCCTGTTCTTCTATTGGTAGCCAAAGAACAAAGCAAGGGTGATATCAACACATGATAAAGGATGGGTATGGCAACAACGAGAATAAATAATTATTCATGATATATTTATACCAATAATCATATTGGTCAGCAATTGCATGAACTTTTTTTCATAAACTTAAAGCAAATTATATTCCATTTATTTTTCTTAAAAATGTGATTATTTGAGATATTTGATTGACATAAATCATCTTCATTCATTCATCAATATATGTATAAAGCTCACTAGTATTCACAATATTTAAAAAACTCTACTGAAAAAAAAAAAATAAGAACTGTGACACTACTGAAATGTTTCATATTACATGTATGTCAACTATTAATAAAACTATATACATGTATATTCAAACTAGGAAACTGACAGTCATAGAGGGCCCCACAATACTGCCATATCAACAGTCTTGTCCTTTTTTAACCTATCTTTCAGCAAGTGGCTTAAAAACCTTTGTATCTCTTTTTGGTATAGTGAATGTTGAGTCTGCATATCTAATCACATGAATATCAAATAGTTATCAATAATTATTAACTTGACATTTGATCTTGACCTTTTGATATGTAGTAACACCCCTAATCCCCCCCCCCCCCCCCCCCACACACACACACCATTTAGTAAATACTTTTGATAAGTCTGTATAGGTTGAAAGGTATCTAAGTTATTTTGTCACATAGAAGTAATGATGGCCAAGCAAAGAAGGACACTATGATTACTATAAGGCAACTGCGTCTGGATGCTGGACCCTACATACTATTTCTTTTCAACAATCCCCCCCTAAATATTAAAACCAAGAGATTGTAAAATTCAGACAATCAAATGGTTTTCAGTATTCCAGATAGTTTCAAACAACCTTGAAACAAATTAGTTAACTAGCATTATAACATGTGAACCTTCACATCTTGTAACATTTGCATTTCCATCCCTATCACTAGAAAAAGACACTTTTAAATTCACTAATAGAAGAATAATCAAAACAGAGTCAAACAAAGTTATAGTGATACTGCAGAGACAGACATTTCATATTCCTATATTATTTATATATTTATATCATATAATTATGGCTTAATGAAAGTTCACTATAATCAGGTTACTCTATATTTTGATTTTAACATTGTGAAACATGACTCAGCAGAGGTAAATACATAAAATTGTGCACTTCAAACTATTTGAGTGAGAATATTCTTAAGAATTGAGAATCTAAATGTGTTCTACCAAAATACATGTATGTCTAAAACACAACAGAAATATTAAAATAAAATAATGAACAAAACTAATGGCACTTCTGTGGTGTATATATACAAACCTCATTATTCTTTTTAAAGTGAGTGAACAAAAAATCAATTTGAACTGAGTTTATCATAATTATGTACATTTTTAATTGTTGAATTACATTAAGAATAATTTCCATGTAAAGTGTATCAACTAATCTCTGTGCATGTACCTCTTGATTACATGTATACATGCAACAAGCATGCAGATGCCAAAATATTGACAATCTGATGACATTTCCAAACACAACTGATTTACCGAATAGTCTCCTGAACATTCTTACATGAAAAAAAGTTTAAATAAATAATTCAGAGTCATAATAGGTTGAAATATTTTCTTGCACCATATAACAGATGCTATTGATTTACAAGTTTTAGAGAAAAGTTTGAGTTCTTAAAATAAATGAAGAAATATATGTGTGTGTGTTAATCTGGAGTCACCTTACATTGTTTAATGTTACAACAATGAGGTATGTTACCTGAACAAGTTCTCTTCCGCTGACCCCCTCAAACACCTCTAGAAGTCTCAGCTGGGACTCGACGGTGGGGCAGTGGTTGTAGGACAGACGTAAAATCTCCGCTAATCTCTTCTCCAGGGACTGAAATCAAACAAGTTCAGTGAATGATCTTTTTCCCCCAAAACATTTTATTATTAAGATTTCATTAAAAATTCTGATGATTTTTTTTGGATTAAAAAATAGAATTGTGATCCATTTTAGCAAGGACAAACACAGTATCTTCTTAGATTTATTGTTACTTTAAATGTAAAATCCGGCATCATTTCAGAGATCAAAATGGCATCCCTACTGTTTTCAAATTCAATGCAACTTGAAATTCTTTATGAGATACAACATTTCAACTCCAAAACTAGTATCTAATTCAATGCTCAGAGAAAAATATAAATAAACCATACCTTGACAATTGTTCTAAATCTGAAGAAAGCCCTTTCAAAATTCTGTGTCCCATCTATACTAAGGACATTGTCCACTACGGCAAAAAAATCCTTCATGGCCTGTGTGTATTTGACATGAATCTCCTTGACCAGGGCATCTAAGCTCATACTGCCAGCACCACCGATCTCAGCAGCGTCTGCCAGCAGGCGGAAGTGACGAGTTGTCTCAACAAGCTCAAGTACGTCATTGCATCTAAAATTAGAAATTATTTTTCACCAATTTTTTCAACAGGAATACAAGAGAACATTTTTGTTACAAGGCTAGAATAAGGGAGGAAAACATTTTGTTGTCCAAAACGCCTGAAGTAAATGTAAGAATATCCATATAGTCTAGATTTAAAAATCTTAAGAAAATGTTATTACAACCAATTTCATATTTTTAAATACTGAAATACACTTTAAAAGATGACAGTTTAAGATATGAATTATTATACCTTTCCATGAAGCTGTTCAGTAAATCAAAACATGGAGCATTTCTAGGTGGCCAGGGACTGTCTGTCCACAATTCGTCGTCATTGAGTGAGTCATGGCTGGAGTGCCCATCCCCATGTCTCAGGCCATACCTGGGGGTATAGGCATGGGGGCCATACATCTTAGTCAGGAACAGTGTACCCTGTGGTCTTGATGCCCTAAAAATTACAGAAAGTGGGGATATTTTGAACTTATATTATCAATAATTTACAATGTGTTGTTTCTCTACTGGTTTTTTTGCAGATACATGTATTATACTGCTACTATTTTTATCATGATATCAAGCAACAAAATCTTACAATCTCTCAGCATTTTCTGCAATGTTTTGAGCATTTTTGTCATCTGCTTTGTCTTTGAAGTCCAGGTAGGTCCCTCTGAATGCAGCACATACTCTCAAAGCTTCCTTCAGTTTTGTATAAGACTATTTAAAAAAGAATCATCACTCTTTTATTTAAAAATCATGCACACTAAGGTAAATAAAAAACAAATCTCAACATTAATCAGTGAAATAGTGGATGCATTATTGTCAAATTTCCATTGTCTGTGATGTGTAAGGTATATTTCTTTCTCTTGGTATTCTTTCGTTTTACCTCCAATGGCTCTCTGAGAATGTCCTCTCCTACCATAGCTATAGCCCTGTGAACCACTTCATTGGATAGAAGTCTTAGAATGTTGTGGAATTTGTCCATTTGATGGTAATACCTGATAATAGAATAAAGAATTTCTAAACCGTACTTAAAATATTTGAAATTTGCATAAAACTGTTCCAGATTTTTTTTTAAATACTTTTTCTCTGCAAATGCACACAAATTAGCCATAAAATGTAAGATTTCAAAAGTGAGATCACAAAGTCAGACTACTCTTGCACATGTCAAATCACATTTTTTCATGGGGTCAAATTTTTGATGCTTGAAGAAAAAAATATTGGTTCAGGGGGGTTTGATTTTGTGGTTTGGGAAATGCTGAGTACCTTTGCATGTGAAATTTTACATATCATTGTGGACATGAATTTGTGGGTTTCTTCATACCTTGAAAACATCAACAATTAAACTCCCACTAAAAACTAGTGATTTCACAGTAAATATTTACTTAATTCTTCAAGCATTTGAGAGAGTAACAACTTCTCCAATCCATGTACTTACACAGAATGTTGCCAGACTAGAAAGAGAACCTGCATCAGCGGTTTGAACAACTTCAGCATGTGGCTCGGGTTCAGAGTACTGTTCAAATCCTCAAACAGCCATTGCATAGTGTTAAGGAATCGTAAAGTCCTGTTAGTCTCAGCTACAGCCTGTGGTCAATGTAAATGTAAAATAGTTACAAAAAAGTCAAATACTAACTCTTCTTCCCTCTTTATGTCAGTTTTAGGTCTAGATTAGTTCTTATAATCAATTTGTTTCCTACATAAAAAAAGAAGCAAATATTAAAGTGTATCTTTTTAAATCTATTTTGATTTCTACATTCCTAATAAAATCTAAAACCTAGGATGATTCCATCAAATGTGCTGAATATTATGTATAAAATTTGGGTGACAAATCATCATTCTTAGAAAAAAATATGGTAATATTCCAAGATGGCTCTAAGAATTATGGAGTTTTAGAAAATGTCACAGGCGATAATTAAAAACATTTGTCTCTTGAATTACATACCTTGTTAATATCTTTCCTCACGTGATTAAATGAACTGGAATATTGACTTTCAGCTTGATTCAGATTTTGCAGGATGTCCTTAGCAACAGGAGACTCCAGCTGTCGAAGGATAGAGTGCAGACGTCCTAACTGCCTCTCCCACATTTTGATTTCATCCAGAGGCCCTGGTTCTGGGCCATAATGGTGAAACAGGTCTGCTATTGGATCATGTTTTAATACTCCCTGAATCAAAAAAAAAAAAATCATTTATAATCAATTGGTACAACATCAATAGTCTGGCTTCATATGATAAGTTGATGATAAGTGATATGTAAAACATGATTGTTACATTCACTGAGAAATCAATGCCGCATAGTTCACCTTGCAAGTACAATGTTCTACTTAAGAAATAAACTTGATTTAATTTTTTCCCCTCTGTTTCAACCAACATTCACTGGAAAGCTTCAGAAAGGGAGAGAGGGACTGTATAAGTGTTAGAATGATTCCTGATGACTATGCACCCCAGAGTCTTAAATCTTTACTTTCGGAGGTATAAGCCAGTGACATCTTATTGCCCAGTACCTTAATTTGTTTGATCCATGCTAGTACTGTGGTTTCCAGCACATGTAAGACAGCCCCTCTTCTGTTTGGTGTAGCGGCTGCCTCTGCTAACACTTCTATGGAGGGCAAACTCAAAATGATGCGACCCTATGGAAATTTACAGAATAAAATCTCACTGAAATTTATTTATGAATAAATGTATTTCAAACTACCTCTCTCTTGATCTCAGGATTAAGAGATAAACATACATCCTACATTAAGCTTGTATAAAAATATTTCTCTTTTTCCCTGTTCTAAAATGGCATGCAAACAATTTCTTACATTGCATTTTTGGTAAATTTTAATCTGGCCATATTATTTCTTACCTCGACATGGCCTTGTGAAACTTCTACAACAGACATAAGTCTATGAAGTATATCCATTACTTTGTCCCCTCCTGTGGCAATTTTCACCTGATTTGTGCACATCAAGGGGAGATAAACCTCTCTGATAAGTAACTCTAGATGTTCTAGTGGTATATTTGTGCAGTCAATGTAAAACACTTCATTTCCTGCAAAATTTAACAAACACAGTAAAATATTTTTCATTCATCTCATTTTGAAAATTGTTAAAATTATAATTAATTTAATAATTATATTAATAATAATATAATTATGCTATAGTTGATAGTGACATAAAAATAAATTAGTTAATAAATTCTATGATATTTCCCCATACAACTCAACTACTCACCAATATTTTCTTTGGTAAGTTTGGTACCAGCATTGCATTTCAGGAAGAAGATTGATTTGTATTTGAGATCAAATGGTGGAATCAGTGATGCAATTATCTGCCTCTCCTTGCTGTACACAAACAATTTCCTCACATCCTCATTGTTTATAAACTCATAGAAGGCAAGTCTGCAATAATAGGAGGAAATTAATGATAAGATTATACAGATCATCTAGATTCTATATATTTTCATCTAAAAATTACTTTTCTCTAACTCTTTGGAAACTGTAGTTAAAACACAAATTGATCTATACTCATATAAAGCAAATATTTCATGGTTAAAAAGAATTGTAGCAAGCAATATAATTGTTTTTTTACACCCATGTCACAATATAATGTCTCTATAATATTTTCTTAAAATTATAAGCTAAAACCAATATAAATATGAATTTCAAACATCATATATTTGGAATTAAAATTATTTGTCTTTTGGATCATACATTCACACTTTAGGTTTGAAAACACCTCAGGTGAATTGAAAATGAATTACAAACTAGAATTTCAATCCATGTCCAATTGTACCCGCCAATTTCATTGTCTATCATTAAACATTTTGATTGTAACAGATGGAAATGACGTAAGCTGCATATTTCCAATTTTGCCAGTCAATGTTCTGCGGTCCTATGATAAAACATGCAAAAAAGATATTGGCTTTAAATTGAAATTAATACTAATATATTACTGATTAGTTAGAATAATCTACTGTGTCTCGGGACAAACCCTCACCTTAAACCGGGTCAGTAGGAAAATATCATTTTAACGATAGAACGTTCTATCTAATTACTGATGACCTACATATACTGTTTATAAGAATTATGGTGCTATTATTGAAAATAGGAAATAAGAATAGAAAATGATCAAATATTTGTTCTCAAAGGATTTTAAAAATTCTTTTTTATATGTTTACATACTAGCTATAGATAAATGTGCATGTGTTTATATATCTTTCAAAAGGTTAAAAAAATTAATATTTGAAGTTCATTATCATAAGGGTGATGTAATGAGATACGCCTATGTGTAACAAAAGCTCACAACAAATGGTAAGTTGCGAAAATGTGCCCTTCTCTTGCATCCCTCCATTTTCAGATCCTAGCTGGAACACTGCTTAAATATACGCGTACCTGTTTTCATCATTGAGGAACATGTTCTTGAGGTCCTCATTTCTTGGCCTTAAGGAGGAGCTAATCCTCATCTCCAGCCACTTCAACCGTTCATCCATTTTGATGGATTTACTTTATGTTAATCTACAAAAAGGAAATAAACATTATAAATGGAGGATGCAATGTTTACTTTCAGAGCTTCATTTCTTAATGAACAAAATGTAGCAAATATCAAACCCTTTAGAACGAGACAATTTTACATTTAGTTTTATGATTGTAAATTCATTCTTTATCATAACCCAATAATGAATCTATCATAACTGTTTATTGTTTTTTTTTTTTTGCTTTTGTTTTGTTTTTGGTACTGATAGAAAGTGTAGTAGATAGGGGTGAAACGATACACCTCCTTCACGGTTCAATACGTATTGTATAATTTTGTCTCGGTTCGGTTATTTTCGATACGATACATTTTGATAGAAGGAAACAAATTCAACGTTGTTTTATGCTTTCTTTTTCTAAATCTAGTCACATATTTTACAAATTTTATTTGCAAATTGACTAGAAGAAATTGATTAAAATTATTTGACTGTCAAAAATTATTTTACAAGCTATCAGTCATAAAAAAATTACGTTTTCAATACTTATTTATACTGAGTAACGTGTTTTACCTTATGCCAAACCCGACTGAATAACGATTCCGACCGAAAATTGAACCGAACCGAAAATTAGAGATTTTGCACCGTGTATCAAACCGAGAAAAAATACCGCGGTGAATCGATACCACGGTGAACCGTTTCACTCCTAGTAGTAGATCAATAATAATAAATTGAATCATATCACCAATCATTTAACCTTTATTTAAAGTGTAATTTTGAAAGAAATGGATTTAATTTGTCTCAGGAAAAATACAATAGTAATACAGGTATTTTATTAGAAGTTGCTAAATTTGGGATTAACATTGTGTGGAAATAAATTGATGATAACTAGAAATATTCACTTTTATTTGCTCTGCTGAGCAAGTTACACATGTATATCTTATCCATATGCTAGAAACAATGCTGATTTAAGCTATCCCTGGCAATTGGAAGACCTTAAATGCACATCCTTGTAAAATTCGTCTTTTCAAAAGTCAGACCAAACTAAGAGCAAAGCAATGCATGATGCATCAAATATATTCAAGTAGGCATTCTGGTGACTGCGTGGAAATAAAATAACAAACATAGCTCCTCCAAATTCAAGAAAATTTTTACATGTTGTAATAATGATTAAAACTGAGTTTAAATCTGCTGCGATACAAGAGCTTCACCCGCTACTCGCACCTGTCTATGTTAGTCTGCACAACATAAACCATTCATTAGCACAAAGCAGACACTGTAAAACCAATGTATCAACGACAGAGCAGTAAATAAAAAAACAGCATATCAAAGAAAAAATAAATCATTTCTTTAAATGTATCTACCCACCTCAGCAGGAGATATTTTCTTGAAAATTAAGTAATTTCAATGGTTTCTATGCCCATGAGTGTTCATGTTGTCCGCCATATTGTTTGGGTTGCCAACTCATTTGCATAACGACAAAACGACAAAGAACGATAAAAATTACAAGTACTGTTTTCCGTCGTCTAGAATTTTCACACAAAAAAAATATCAAATGTACAACAAACATTTTTCAAATCAGTCTGATATAGGTCTATCGCAAGACGTTCGACAATCTTCGGAAAATAGGTTTGTGTAAAAGTAGACTCACAAAATCAACGGGACGTATAGAATGAAGGTCCTTGTTCAGTTGTTGGTTCTTTAAAAGACAAGGGATTTTCCCAAATTTTACAAAATAAATACTTTTATTACTGTTCGTTATATATCTTTTTGAACCCTTTTCAATGATGTGTAAAATTTTGTAAATAAATTTAGCACAATTTACCCTACCCCCAAAAATCTATTTTCACTTTCATTTTATACTTCCGTCTGTGAAAGAAGGCAGAGACTGAGAGAGGACTCAGAGGTAAATGTGTTTTTTGACAAATTGTAAATTGCCATCATTAAGTTGATTTCATTTTAAAACACAACTGGAAGACGTTTTATGCAACGATAGGCCTATAACACAGCGACAAAAGCGGATAAAATAGTTAATTACATACATTGGTCTGGACTAGAAAAAGATAGAAATCGATGTAAAGGGTGTACCATCTGGGACAGCATAGATTTATTTCATATGTATAGCATATGATTGTTACCTATTTGCTGTAAAATTCAATAAGTTTGCAAAGAGAAAGAGAGAGAGAACACCAAACTAATCAGGGTGATATTCAAGCAGGAAATAAGAAGACTTGGTCTTCATGAAGACTAACCCAAAGGCGAGGCAAATGTATAAATGTCTCAGGGTTGAAATAATTTGATGCTTGCACCAAATCATTATTCAACAAATTATAGGGAGCGCAGTAAGAGGCACAAAACACTGCTTATCACTGCGAGCTCTTAAAGCAATGCATGGGCGAAGAGGAAATTTGGACTTTGTACATTGATCCAAATGAATTTTTTTCCGCAGTAACCTCTGGACCCACAATCCTTTGCGAATTACATCTTGCCGCAAACTACGTTCTCCCGGTAACAACAAAAGCTCAACAAAAAAATAAACTCACCTTTATTTAATGAATATTGCAGAAAAATAGTAGATTAATCATTAAACCTTCCTTCTTAAAATTAGCACTGTTATGGCTTCAGTATAGTAATGCAACTTACATACGATGTCATGTGACGTCAGAGTCAACCAGAGCTAGACTTACCAAATTTCATGTGCAGACGGGTGTAAATTGAAAACTGAATATGCATCTGTGCCTGCCCTAATGGTCACAATGTCAACATATTAGGAAATAATGAAAGTGATATGTTTACTACTTTTGATTCACTTTACTAGGAAATTAATTAAGTTTTCCAATTATTCAGTTGTAGTTTTTAATTGCTTAAACACATAGTGACTCCACTAAAAATTGCAACTCTCTTTCTCTCTCTGTAGAGAGAGAGAGAGAGAGAGAGATATGCACTCGGTAAACTCCTGCCTGCTTCGATCATTCCAACCAAGTATTGCAGGTGTATTAACAACTTCAATGGCTACATGTAGCGTGTAGAACTCATCCAAATGAAAGAGAAATTCAGAAAAATCTAAAGTAAATTATGCTGATTGAATGAAACACATAACAAAATGCTTTTATGTTTTCATTATAGAATACAGTGAAACTTGTCTCATCTGGATGTTGTGAATTCTGAAATCTTGCCTAATATAATGTAAAGTTGCGCTTGCAAGATTATTCGATGCGGATCGATATTCAGGAATGTATCGTATCGAAAAAATAACTTCCAATACATATCAAGCAGGCAGTTTTGCTTAGAATTCTGTGAAAAAGTTGGGAATTTAAGTCACTAAAGATTATTTTTAACTTTTTTGAATTAAAACTGGTCAATAATGAAATAAACATCAAGGAGATAGCAAATCTGAAATAACTATTACAAAAAACATAGACAACTGTATTTTGACATGCTAGTTTTACAGTCATTAAAAGTTTGAATTTGAAGTGTACTTTGTTAAGACAGTGAGACATGAACTTCCAATTTGGTAATAAAACACCCATTTTTTATCAAATTTATGCATTAAATGATTTACAAGACTTTTTTGATAGGCTTGTTAAAAAATCCAATATATCGCATATCGCTTAATAAAATATCGTATCGTATCGAAATATTTTGCTCAATACACAGCCCTACTTGCAAGTTCCTTTTAGTAAATCAATTGTTTAAAATGTTCTCTAATCTGCAATCTTGTATAATCTGGCAATTTTATTTGGAACCTATGCTGTCTGGATTAGACAAGTTACTTTCAATTTTAATTCATTCTAGGTTAATTTTGAACAAGCATAAAAAAATCTTCAAAAAGTATGACTAGTGAGTTCTTTACACATGTTTGAATCATCATGTATATCCATTTAAGATTCCAAAGAAATACAAAAATCTTTGAGAGAGAATGTAAAGGAACTCATATAATTCAGGTGACCCATGTGCTTCTAATTTTTTAGTCTTCCTTTATTAACCCCATATCTCAAGCCACGGTCAGGAGTCTGCTCATATATGTAGCTCTCTCCTCTGACAGAATGGGAGAGGATCATACATTTTGGCCATGGTTTGTGACAATGTATTTATACATTTGTTATTTTTTTTCAGTTTGAAACAATGTCAGAACTTAGCTAACAGTGACAGAACTACTGGAAAGTAATGCACCTTTGAGATGAAAACAGGCTTGTGTAACCCAAGAAAATCAAGCCTCACAGAAAGAGTATATAGGTGGATCCTAACTTTTACATTATTAGTTGATGGTGCACTGGTGCATGCTGGGACATTGATAACTCTTCCTTTGAGTTATCACCATGGATACCATCAAGGTCATAATAGATTCAGAAGAAGTGATCAATTTCAAAGTCAGAGAAATAACCTGAGAGGGAAGCCAGGTCAAGGCTATTATCTAGAGATGGACATTGGGACTCCACCACAAAAGGTAACTGCCCTCTTTGTCCATTGAAAATTTGATTTGGTGTCACCTAATTGTCAGAAATGTACAGGTAGGTTTTTGTGTTAGCTGCAGAACTGTAGGGTTATGGTTTTATATATTAATCTTTGACCATAATGCTACAGATCCCATGATGCAAATATAGTGCAATGGTGTATACGGACGGGGAGAATTTCTCCACTTTCCAGCACTGGACAATCAATTTACTTTCATTACCTAATTCTAGATATATTCATATTCATACCAACCTGTATATTTTATCCACCTCCTAACCCTTTATAGTCATTTCTACAGAGCAATAAACTCCTTGTTTTGAATTTTTTGTCGGATGGTAGAGACAGCTGTAAAGGGTTAGGAGGTGGATAAAATATGCAGGTTGGTTAAAGAATATATCTAGAGAATTAGGGAGTGAAAGGTAGTTGAATGACCAATGCTGGAAAGTAGAGAAATTCTCCCCAATCATGTGCAGAAAGTCTTGCGCTGTTCAAATTGCACGATATAATTGCATAACGGGATCTGTATAGCATTATGGTCAAAGGCTAAAATATAAAACCATAACGTTACAGTTCTGCAGCTAGTTTTGAGTTCAGTTAAGTTTTCTATAATTAAGGTAAAGTGCTTACTGTTCCTCATTACTAACTTTAAAAGAATTTAATTCCATATTTTTTTTCATTGTCACGAAATTCATATTTATGTAGCAAATCAAAAGGTGATTCCAGTTTGTACATTTGATCGCTGGTTATAGATGTATAATTTTGACAAGAAACTGAGTATCTGATTGCTGCATGTACAATGTACCAGTTACATACCGGTAATCATTAAAGTTAGATGTACATACTAACAGGTACGTTATATAGGTTTCTGCAGATATAAATTAAGCTATAACTGTTTTATATAAATATTTTCATTTATGATAATATTGAAAATAAATTGATCTAGGTATATGTACATGTATTACATGCATGTTATTTCTAAAAAACAACAACAAACAAACAAAAAACCCCTTAATTTAACCAATTTAGTCTCAAAATATGAAAATAAACAATGATGTTTAAGACTTTCAAAGTCTTTGATATGCTGAACTTTACAAACCTGTTTCATTTCTTCACCTTTTCTCTGCCTTTTACCAACTAATTAAGACTCACAAAAGTGTACATTTTACAATGACAACTTTCCAATTCATTCATTGTTTCCTGCTTGTCCAATAATTTCCCTAGATGAAAGTGACACCCACCTGATGTATACATGTATCTTAACCAATCACATCACAGGTCCTTATTAAATATTACATAATGTTTATATATGCAGTGCTCATGGTGTTGGAGGTACATGTATATATACACAGCACATGTATGTTTATACACTAGCTGTATATACATACATTTCGACTGATTCACTTGTACATATTTTATTTGAGAATTACCATTGATACTTTAACCCCCCCCCCCCCCCCCCCCCCTTCCAACTGGATATTATAAATTATTATGTAAATTGATTAATCAAAGTATTGTAATTGACAGTGTAATTTTTGTTAATCAAAATATTGTAATTGACAGTGTAATTTTTGTTAATCAAAAGTTATGAACAATGATTTATTATTATATTCTGTAAAATTGTGTTGTAATATTGATGTGATGTAATATGATGTAATCATATAATGTAAAATATATGATGATTTTATTCTATATTGTAGATAAATGTGTTGATTGACACAGGGAGCAGTAATTTTGCTATTGCTGCCAGTCCAAATCCTGATATAGATATATTTTTTAACAGAGATAAGTAAGTTTTATATTTTATTATATATTTTTTTTTATTGTATTAATTTTACTTAGCATCTCACCTAAACATTCTTGTTAATTGATGTTTTATTGTTTAACAAAGAATTTATGACTCTGTAATATTTAACTGGATTAAACATTTTTAAAATACACAAGCAAACACATAATACAAATTAACACCTATCAACTGATATTCATAAATTGAAAAATAGAATACATGTATTGCAGTTATGAAATATCTTACTTCAAGTCACCCAGTTCAGTACTCAGATGTGGAATTTCACCAGATAAAAAAAGACTAAAGATTGACAATTTATCTTTATTGGCAAATTCATATTTTTTGCCATAATGATTGTATCTTTTGTAACTTAATGTAAGTTTTAAGTGAAAGATACGCTTGTGGGAAACAACCTGTACCTGCATGCTTGCAAAATTATAATACTTTAACCAGCACAGTGAGCAAGAGGTTGGGCATATTTCCTTCACACCACTGATTTACAGAAATTATTCATGACAAGTACTTTTTTGATTAAATACCTGAGGTATATGTAGGTTATTACATGTACCTTTTATGATTTTACTTTTTAGCTCAACTACTTACAAACTGATAGGGACCTCAGTGTATGTGCCATACACACAAGGGAACTGGAGGGGGACTCTAGGGTCAGATCTGGTGACCTTGACCTCATTACCTAATGTCACTGTGAGAGCTAACATTGCATTCATAACAGAGTCTAAGCAGTTTTTTATCAATGGATCAAACTGGCAGGGAATCTTGGGATTGGCTTATAGGAGTATAGCTAGGGTAGAATAATTACAAAAATAGCTATGGATCAAAACTTAATACAGTAAAACTTGTCTGGTTCTATAGAAATTGGCCAGATTTGACAACATCCCAGATTAAACAACATTTTAAACAATTGAATGTACTGAAAAGGGACTTAACATTTACACTGTATTAGACAAGATTTCAGAATACATAACATCTGGATTAGACAAGTTTCACTGTAATTTTTAACACTTTTTTGAGCAGAATATAATGTATCAAATTTTATCTAAAAATAAAAACACAATTAAAATTGCACGTCTGTGATTATGCATCAACATACAAATGAAATATGATTTTACAAAGAAATCTGTTTACTTGTAGCTCAATTTTGTTTTTAATTTGCTTTTCAAAAATTTATTTCCAATCAGAATTGAACTTCACAAAATAATAATGTTGTTCAAAAATGAGGGTAGACATTTTATTAAAAAAAGAAGTTATTTTTGAGGCCAATACATTTTTAAATACACAATTTAAATTTTAAGCTCATCTGAGATTAGTATAATTTTTTCTTCATTAATTTTGACTGTCTGTTTCTGCAGTAATGTTTTTCTTATCTAATTGTATTGTCCATTGAAAACCAACTGAACATTCTATCAAACATGAGTCTCTTTCATCAGCTTTTATTTTCATTTTCAGCCTGATGGTTCAGTTACACCCTTTTTGGACTCTCTGATAGACAACTCTGGTATTTCAAATATTTTTTCAACACAGCTTTGCGGAGTAAAGTTTGAACAAAAAATTGACCAAGATGTTGAATTGGGAGGCACCATTGTAAGTTAACACTGCAATTTTTTATTCTTTAGTTATTTAAGGAAGAAGTATAGACATTATAAATCACAGTCCATAGAGTAAAATAATGTAGCTTTCTTTGTTGGTTATGTCAGCACTATACCCATGTAAAATGTACATGTGCTTTTATTGAGAAGAAAATTTTTTTGTAGACTTTTGGAGGTGTAGATCCTACCCTTCACAGTGGTCCTGTATACTACACAAACATACACAAACAATGGTATTATGAGGTTGTCATGGTGGATGTTGAAGTGGATGGAGGAAGCATTAATCTAGATTGTAAAGAGGTAACTTATCTTGTACTAAAAATAATATTATTTCACTCTCTTTGTTTATATTACGTGAGTTCCTTTTTCTTCTTTTAGTAAGAGTCATAGATCTTTTGTATAGCACATACATGTACTCATGAAAGCATTATACAGCAAAGCTTTCAGTACATGTATAAAAGGCAGCCCCCCTCCCAAACTTTTCCAAGTTTACCAGCTGATTCAATGCAATTTTTTATTGAACAAACATAAGATAGAATTCATTTAAATGAAAACAAGAAATTATTGATTTGAAGTCTTATCTTTTATTACAATGTATTTCAATTCATCTTTCACAAAATAATTGATTTTTGAAGAATTCATATCAAATGTTTTTGATTGATTTCAGTATAATTTCCCCAAAACCATTGTGGACAGTGGAACCACAGATCTAAGATTACCTATGAAGGTGTACACATCAGTGATCAACCACATCAAAAACTATGTCCAGGTATATTTAAATATCATGAAGGGCAAAGTTGAAAATTGTAAACAAAATTTCCTTAATTCTAGTCATCATCAAAACATTTTATACAATTATGATAATATATGTAATTCAATATGAAATATGTTAATTGACAATTATCAATTAATATTAAAAGCATCACTTTTTATGGTTTTGAGTTAATGCTCATTCATATTTCATTAGTTTTCTGCAATTGTTGATTTGAGTTAGAATTTTTTCTATCCATGGAGTAAGTGTTAAAGAAAGTATAAAATACTATTGCACTGAAAGTAGTCACTGTGGTAGTTTTAGTCTGATCCATTAATCATGACCACAGAAAAGGTTGTATCTGGAAAAGTTGAGTACAGATGACTACCACTATACACTTGTATCCAGACCCTGTCCCCCACCTGTAACTGGTGGACAACAAGGTTGGAGGCTGACTGATGGACAAGCATAGAAGATGAATCAATCAATGCCATGACTCCTGCCTTAATTGAACCATTAATCTTTATATGTGTCCAGAAAGTTTCATGGTAGTCTGCCACATTAGAACAGAATATAAGGTAGAGGCCAGCCTTTGGGGCAGTAAACACTCCTGTTGTAGGGTTATATCCTCCTCCCACCTGGTATATAACTTGAGGAAATATAACGGTGTCTCCATTTGCATATGTATGGCCACCATTAGCTCCAGCTGTAAAAGCTACACTGGATTTTACACCTAAAAAATACACAAGACTGTAAATGCATTTCTGTTCAGATCATAGTTAGGTACATTAAAATTTTATTGATACAGGGAAGCTGTTGGTACTATTGTAATAAATTACCTGAAGTATTATATTTTATGATGTTCTTCACCATTCAATGATTTAATTATCATCTCTTCAATTTCATGACTTTTAAAAATAATAAAATCAGCATAGATTACATGTATCATGTACCTGTATGGTCCACATTTCTTGGGATATGTTACAAATTTTAAAATCTTTACCAAATAAAGCCTGTGCATGTGCTGTACATTGTTTTATATATCTTATTTTGTCATACCATTGTGTATAAATTAATCTTGTACCAAATTAAATATTGCATGTATACATTTGATATTTTTTATACTTAATAGATATTATCAAAACCTTAAATTGTTTGAAACAATTGAACTTTAGCAATATTGAATTTCTAAAAACTATATACATACGATTCTTGAGATGGATAATTGTATTATTCAGTTTTGCAATGTCATTTTGCTTTGAATTTGTCAGTGTTTGGATCTCTCTCTTTATCTGTTTCTGCTGTGCATCCAAATTGGAAAGAAAAATTGATAGCCCTGCTGTGTTATTGTGTACATCCAGAAGTGAAAGTGATAAATATCGGTCTCTTAGTTCCAAATCTGTGATGGTGGCAGACATGTTCTTCATCAATTTTTGTTCGCTGTCTCTGACTGTCTGCTCTATTTCAAATAATAAGATACTCTCCAGCCTTTGCAGGTCTTCTGATGTGGTTAAATTTTGTTGCATTAACATGGAAGTAGAGTTCAAAATCTTAATCTGATCTTTCAAAATAATATTCTCTTGAAGCAGAAATGTTGATGTTGAATTCAGATTATTTAGTTTTTCATTCAAGCAGACATCATGCTGTGATGTAGTGGCTGATGAATTCAAGTTGTCTAATCTTTCTTTCAAGATTTTGTTTTCACTTTGTACATCTAGAAGTGAGTCCTTTAGGATTGTTATCTTCATTTGGGCTGTCTGATTCCATTGCTTGAGAATCTGAATCTCTCCCTCTAAAAACTTTTGCTGTTGTTCAAATTGTTGAATTTGTAGAGCTTGTTGTTTCTGATCCCTCATTATTGAAATTAAAACTGTCTCCAGATTCAGGAATTGTTTGTATAGATCAGAATCAGAATGTCCATTAGATGCAGAAGTAGCATTGGTTTGTCCATGGAACAACAAACTCTCTGCTTTCAAAAATGTGCACAGAAGTACCACAAAGGTACTTTTAATCCAGTGCATTTTGGTGATATGTGATAAAGCTCAGTAATTCAAACAAGTTCAGTTAGATGGAGTGGCTTAAAAATTATCAATAATCAAATTATTATCATCTGATAAAAACTAAGTCATATGCACACTGTAATCTTTGACCTATGTTAAAATCAGTGGTAATCATTCATGTATTGCATTAGCAATTGATTTTTATACCCCCGCTCCGAAGGAGAGGGGGGTATACTCTTTTACCCTTGTGTGTCTGTCTGTCTGTCCGTAACAAATTTTGGTCGCAGTTTTCTCAGGAACTACTCATTGCAGATGCTTGAAATTTTAGCACAATCTTTGTTTAGGCATGCAATATGGTGGGATTCATTTTTGTACAAATCCGATGTCAACTTCCTGTTTATCCGTGCATCTGTCTGTACCATACATAACAAATTTTGATCGCAGTTTTCTCAGCAACTACTCATTGCAGATGCTTGAAATTTTAGCACAATCTTTGTTTAGGCATGCCATATAATGGGATTCATTTTTGGAACAAATCCGATGTCAACTTCCTGTTTATCCGTGCGTCTGTCCGTACCAGGGATGGGGTCAATTACTTTAAAAAGTAATTAATTAAATTACAATTACTTTGACTTTTTCTTCAATTAAAGTACAATTAAATTACATGCTTTCTAAGACATGTAATTAATTAAATTACAATTACTTTGCAAAAGTAATTAATTAAATTACAAATTACATTTTTAATTTTTTTGAAAATTTTTATAATCCTTGTCAATGAATATACAGAACATCATTTATTTGTATATAAGCTTAGCCTCTGCACAAACAGTACAAGAAATAATATGCTATAGGCATTGTGTATCATTCTGGTTTAATTTGCAACATTTATTTACAAAACAATAAGAATCTCTTAAAGAACTATCTGAGATCAGTTTGATGCAGTTTCCACCACACAAAACCTACTTGTACACAAATTGCATGGCTTATGATATTTGATTAAAAGTGAGTATTTTAATAGAGTGAAATGAGTCGCAACTGTAACCCCTACAAATTAAATATTTCCTTTGAAGGTAACCCGAACATCCTAAATTGCTATTTATGTTGAACAATTTTACTTCATAAATCAGAATTGTACAGATAGAAATTTAATTCATTCATTAAAATCTGTTTAGATGTTAAAATAATTATAAAATTGAAAGTTTTTCTTTTCTAAAGCTAGCGAAGCATTTTAAATTGAAATGATTATCTCCATTGGCTTTGTCTTCTAAATCATGGAGTGAATATATCTTTAGAGGAGTTGATTTGTTTTAATTGCAATTTACAGCTGTGATCTGGAGGGCAATTATCTCTTCCCAACAAGAGAGAACTTAATTAATGACACACCTTCTTTTTCTTTATTATTAATCAAACAACAAAGATTGAAATATAATAAATGTGTGTTTCATAGCTGAATAGACCTAAGAAGGGTTGTTCAAAATTCATATTTATAAACATAGATCCAAAAATTCAAAATTTACATAATGATTAGAAAGAAACTATTATTATCAAGCCAATCATTTAATTATTTTTTAGTAATCATTAACCTAGTAAGATTTTGTATAATTGAAGGATTGAGGATATGTTTAACAATAAAATAAAAACCAGTAAAATGGGGAGGTAGTGCTGACGATATATCATGAATATATCATGAATGTGTATTATATAAAGTAATTGAAAAAGTAATTGAAATTACATGGTATTTTTTCAGTGTAATTAATTAAATTACAATTACAAGTAATTGAAAAAATGTTCAATTACAAATTACTTCCAATTACTTCAAAAAATGTAATTAATTACAGTCAATTACAATTACTTTTTTCAATTACCCCATCCCTGGTCCGTACCATACATAGCAAATTTTGGTTGTAGTTTTCTCAGCAACTACTCATCGCAGATGCTTGAAATTTTAGCACAATCTTTGTTTAGGCATGCTATATGTTGGGATTCAGTTTTTACAAATCCAGTGTCAATTTCCTGATTATCACTGTGTTTGTCCATAACTGAACTTGTGTATTCACATCAGAGCGGGGGTATTATTAGTGAGCATTGGCTCACAGACTTCCTGTTTATGAAAACAATGAACTAACTTGTTAAATATGTTTTCTAACAAAATCAAAACTTAAAGATTATGTATTTTTTCCTATTTGATGTAAATTACCAGGTACAAACATGAATTCTTTCTTGTGAATTGCAATAAATTATGTATAATTGAGATAACATTGATTATATGGCAACCACTCTATCACAATATGTATCACTTGGGAGGGAGGAGTAGGAAAAGGGAAAGGGATATGTAAAGCATACTAGAGGATCTCTTAAAAATAAAATGCATCAAATGCCATATATTTCATTAATAAAATTTTGATAAAGCATTTAAGAATGATTTTTTTAATACAGCTGAATACAGTTTACCGCGCTTATAACAAACAGGCTTATAATGAATTGACGCTTAAAGTGAAGTTATGTTCATTCCCTGTGTCTTAAAAATACATTGTCAACCTAACAGATATAAAGAATTACACTTATAACAAAGTAAAATAGTCTTTCCCTGGTACTTTGTTATAAGCCTGTTTTTCTGTACCATGTAGAAGGTCAGATAAATCGACAGTTTGATTATTCTGATGTTTTTGTTGTTGATGTATTGTAGAAATCTCCCAGTGCACCCCCAGTGAGTCTTGGCTTTTGGAATGGGGACATTGACTTGTGCTACAAAGATGGAACCATTCCTTACAACATATTTCCTTTTGTAGCCTTAGAATTTGCTGAGAATGAGCATCAGTCATTCAAAATCATTGTAGCTCCACAGGTATAATTTCTGATTTTCCTACTGAAAAGTGCATGATTCAATTCAAAAGCTATCTTTGTTTCTGTTTACAGAAGTTTTAAACAACATTTCACAGACTGTATGTAATGAAATGATATGATAGTAAAGTACCGGTATACAAGTTTTTTTTCCTCTCTCTTTTTTAAGCATCCATTAAATTTTATGTTATGTCCATATTCAGCAATACATTAAATCTGTGGGGAAAAAAGATGACAGCAACCCAGATGAAATATGTTTCAAACTTGGTATTGCAAACTCAACATCTGGTAAGTGCCAAAGGAAAATCACATACAAAGAGGGAGGGGATGATGTATTTTTCTTACACGACAGAGGTAAATTTCTAACCCTATTCCTGTAGCAAGAGGGATGATATTTGATTTATCCATTCCACACGTGTAGCTTAGAACAGTACTGTTCAGTAGTTAGTACAGTACTATGCTTGCCTTTCAGTCATGTCAATCAGTAACTGTGATATCATACATCACAATGATGACTTTTTGATAAAGTACAGGCAGATTGATTTTTATTAACCATTGCATCTGGGGTAGGGATGAAGCCACACAATTTTACGAAGAAAGCATATATGAAATATTGTATAAATTGACTATTTAAACCCATGGGGCTATTTTTTTTTTTTTTTAAATGTTGTTTTTGATAAATAGCACAAAATTTCTCTCGTAACACAGGCACAGTCATTGGAGCAGTGATCATGGAAGGGTTTTACGTGGTCTTTGATCGACAGAACAACAGAATTGGGTTTTCAGACACAACATGTCCTGCAGTGGCCCAGATGTTTAACAAGTCACATGTGTCTGGTCCTCACAAATTTTCAGGTCAGTATGCAAGGCTTCATCTCAGATCAACTCTATAGTCTCAACAGTGTAATCATGCAGTAACTTAAAACTGTAAGTTTGGGAGATTATTTATAATACCCTCGGTGCAGACTTGATGTCTCAGGTTAAAGTTTTTAGAGCAGATTTCTTTTCGATGATATATATTTCTATGTCCTATATTGATCAGAGTTTCATGGATTATGCATCTAGTGTGTTTTATTGTACTAGTCAGATTTCTGATGCTGCATTTGTAGCCAATATGCTCCATAAATTTTTTTGGAGCAGGTTTTATAAGTTTTTGGAGTAGGTTAAAGTTTTAAAAGCAAGTCGCATTCCAAAGTAAATATAAGCCCTAAGTAAATTAAAATTGCATGTGATGAGTTATTCCCCTTTTCATACATGCTAATAGGTCTAGCTCTTTACCCCTTAATGCCACGATTTGACGCACTGGCCATATCCTTAGAGTGTTTGCCTGGCTGCCCCTTGGTGCGTTTTAGATGAATTGATGTGCAATTTAATACTAATTTAACTAATGGGGGTCAAAGTATTTCATTTATGCTATGTATTATATATCACTGGATTCGTAATAAATTAAATTTTTCAAATCTATTAGCATAATTTTTATCGGAATTTTCTGTAAATAAATAATTCAGGTGAAAGCAGGTGTAAATCGCAAAATAGATATTTTCAACATGTAAAACGGCTTAAATAAGCCAAAATTGTCCCTATAAATAATAAAAATTATGTGTGATGATATAATTGATGGTTAAATTATAATTAATTATCAATTTTATAAGTTTAATTCCTTAGAAATCAATAAATTGTAGTGCTACTTCAATGTCAATCTCGCCGACAAATTTTCAGACTTGGCTGTTAAAACTTGATTTCTGAACGTTTTTGTTTACTTGAATGATCAAATTCTATTAAAATATTTGTTTTCTACACCTTCACATTGATAAATATGTGTAAAATGGAAGGTATCTTCTGAAATTCTTAGAAACAGGTAACGAAATCGGCACTGCGCGGTCCCGAACTTCACAACATTTTCGTATCTTATTTTAATGTTTATTACACACATAGATCATTATAATTTTCAAAACTTTCAAGAAATAGGTAGCTTATAGCTTGAATTTCATGTAATGCTTTACTGGATGAGAAAATATTGCGTATTGACTGAGTTATATGCTCTAAAAACATCGTATGTAACAGTCCGCCATTTTGAATTTTGGTGGGACTTTTCAAGATTCTTTTGTTTGTTTACACAGGTAAATCACATGATTTCTAACTGTAGTATGATGCAATCATCTATTGTTAACCTGCAGGTGGCCACCTGTGCTCTGATAATTTGTAAACAAGCGGTAATTTCAAGTCAAATCAACAATGAAATACACGTGCGTCAAAAGTCGTCATTAAGGGTTTGAGACTAGGCGTCAAAAGTCGTCATTAAGGGGTAAAGGATGGAAAGGTCTAAGGGGAATCGAGCTAGACTTTTTTATTAGATGTTAAACAAATATTTCTTGTTATCACGGTATTTTATGAATCAACTTTTAAACAAATCTTTGGAATAAGATTATTTAAAGTTGAGTACAAATTATAATTAGTGTAAGAGAACAAAAAAAGTAAGAATCAGTTGATATCGTTTTGTTGAACAACTGACATCTAAAAAAAAGAAGAGAAAAACATCTGCTTTTAAAAAAAAACGAAACAAAACAAAACAAAAAACAAAAACTGCCTGCCACATTCAATTTTGAAGTTTATGGCCTGAGAAACTAAAGATTAATTTTTTTGGCCTTAGGTGAGCTGTGTAATCTTAGATTACCTAGATGTTTTATTTTTAATAAAAAAGCAGCTACATGTATCTGCCAAATCAAAGACTACATTCAGGTTATGGAGTTACAATGTTAACATATTCCATTGCATACTAGCACCTATTATGGATTCATAATGCTGTGCTATTTATGTTTTTTACCACTGAAGAATTGATGCCGATTGACAGTATTGCAAAATTATGAGCATTCAAGAAAAGTAAGGAATCCATATAGTAATCAATATTTTTACTGAGCCAAAATCTCTTTTTTAAGTCGTGAAATGGTTCTTGCATTTAAGGAATAACTGTCTTATTTTTTGGATTCATGATGTGATCAATCGAGTGGCTTGCGTGATAATTTGCATAAACGCAAGCCAATCGATTGATCATCGTCATGAATCCAAAAAATCTGACAGTTATTCCTTATATTTACATGCTCCTGATTCTGCAAATTCCCGTGCTAATAGCCCCGCTTTTTTCTCTATTTGTCCCGCCCCGCACGTGATTTTTTTTAACCGCACCTATCGATGAACCAGTAGATTTATGTAGAAATAAAGTATTTTTACAATTTGTAATTTTATCTCGGACAAAGACATTGGAAATGTAAATATTTTTGTGATAAACAGTCATAATTACATCTCCAAACGCTACTCCTTTGTAGATCTTTCTACTTGTTTGTTCTTTTTCTGACTGCTCAGTTTTCTAGCTCATCTTAATCTGGTCTTAATCTGGTCTATGATTTAGATTAAATTTCTGTTCTACAGTATAACTCAGTTGTAAGGAAATCACGGAGGCCTCAAATCTTGCTTCCTTATAGCTGAAATTCTCTATTTCCATATATTAAGAAACATAGTGAGAATTCCTCGTCAGGATTTGTTAAAGTTCCTTAAAACTAAGATTTCCATATTAGCTAGTTCCTTTTGCTGTACATTTAACATTGTTCTTGAATCTGTATATTAATTGAATGCTGCTACATTTTAGGTTCAGTGGGAAACTGTGCGTATGCCAAACCAGAGAAATCCAACAAAACCTTGGTCATTGTGGCGTATGTGTTAGCGGGGATCTGTGGAGCCTGTATACTGCCTTTGTTTATTCTCTTTATTCAATATCAATGGCGGACGTCAAAGTGTTACGAGAAAATGAAGAGGCAGAATTCTGATGGAGACTCTAATGACTTAATTGATGAACCAAACTTTATGCATGATTCTTGATTAGACAATTTTTGTCATGGTAGTGATTGGGTGTTAAATTCATCTATGGTACGATATAACTAGATATTTTTTTTATTGTTGGACTTTACACTGTTGAATAATTATTTATAGAATTCTTGTGGGAATTAAGAATATTGCTTAATTTTATTTAAATAGCTATAACTGTTTTTGTGTCAATCTTTTTTAGTGTCTATATAGAAATTAAAATCTTCATATTGTAGATACTGGACATTTTAACCAAGATTTCATATGTAGGCATATATAATACGGCTGTTCACTTTTTCGAAAAAAATAGTTTGCCTATATATTCCAGTGGAGCCCTTATTATAATTTATAATTGATTTGTTTTTGTATGTGGAACTGGAATGTTTGAATAAGTAATGCTTGATGTTAGTAACAACTGCAAAAAGGGCAAGATATTAGTTTTTAACTAAGACGTAAGTTAATTTTGATAAGAAACTAATTTTATTCAGTTAACTTAATTTTGATAATAAAATAATTTCGTCCAGTTTGTTTACAGTAGGTTGAATTTCACATTAACAATGGTTGTATATGTTCTGAATCATGAAAAGCTGTAATAAATCAACAGGTATTGAATGTTGATTCATTTAAATTTTCCAGGGAGTGTGATGTATAAGACAAGCTTTTAAAATTTTCTCTGATGGCTATTTATAGAGGTTTGCAAATCCTACTCAGACACTGTTGCCTAATATTTAGAGTATAGATTTACTGGTCATGTATAATATAATTGTTTATCTGACAGGAAATTTTATGTTGTGTTTTTTGTTATTTGATTTCAGATGAAACTGCTGATGTCATAGTTATTATTATATATGTGCCTGCATCCACATTTTTCATCAAACATTTTCATTTTCTTGTTTGTCAATAATAGATTAGATTTATGAAAGTTAAATTGTTGTTGATAGGCAGCTACAGGAAACTGTTAAATCTATGGATTGTTCATGTATGGATGAATCAGGAAATTTTTCTGGGGCCCAGAGGATTTAGAATTGGGAGTGTTGTTACGTGGCATTATAGTAAAGCACGAAATGTACTATATAATCACATAGCAATTATGAAGCAACACTGAAGAGTTTCTAATTAGTGCTTTTAAATTCTTTATAGAAAATTTTTCCTTATTACATGTATTTTCAATACTCTGTGTACATCTGCTAAATACTGAAATATATTTCATTGTGATATTTTACTGTGTTGGTTTATTTCAAGCTTATAAGGATTTATTAAATAGCTGATAGAGGGAGTGTATTATGGCGAATTTTAAGCAGATTCTAAGTGTTAGTTATATGTGTAACTATTGTTATTAATTCATCAATGGGTTAAATTACCTTAAAACTGTCACTCATGTACATTATACTAATTGACATATTATATTTTATTATTTGTATTTCATATACATACATTTTCTCATTTACATTCTAGATGGCTCCCGATTGATTGGGTGTAGATTTCACCTTACTGGCATAAGTTAAATAAACTGCTATACGTCATCAATAGCCTTTTTAAAGTTTTTGTGTTGTCTAAAAGTTGCTTACTTGATGTAGTTCAGAGTATATGAAATATGCAATATCTGGTGAGTGTATAAATTCAGCAGTAGACTAATTGATGAATAAACGTTAAGATAATGAACAGTGATCATTTTCAGAAGTCCATTTAAACTAAACATTATGAGCAGGGCCAACATGGTCCTCTGAAACAGAGGTGGGATCAGGTGCAATGGAGGAATAAGCTTCCCCTGTCAACTGGTCACACTCACCGTGTGCTCTGTGTCATGATTGGGTAAACAGAAAAATCCGTACACAATTTAAATTATTTACTATTTTCCATTTCCACCAAATTTTGAAATATTGTCTTATACTAAATCCTTCATTACAGGTAATATAGGGTATTACTCATGAAAAAAGCAATCAATTCTGTTAATAGATTACATGTTACTGTTAATGCATTTCAATTTTTACAAATAGTACATTGTCAGTAAACGGTAAACAAAATTATATTTTAAAAATACAGTTTACGATACACTTACTCAGATATGTCCTTTTCATTAATAAATAAGATCTTCAAAGTACTCAAAAATATAATGGATTTTTATATATCTATTGTAAATCTTTGAGATGTATTGAATTCACCCCTCCCCCCCTCTCTCTCTCTCAAGAACGGGTATATTATCCTTTTTTTCCTGAACTTTTTTCCAAATCAATCGTACCTATCTCCAATCGAAGATAGTCATAATTGAATAAATCTATCTTTGATTCATCTGGAGATAGGTCTTTTGATTTGAAAATAGGTTATATAGATATAATGTTTGGCGTTCAATAAATTTACTCTTAATTTCTTTTATATGTCGATCTAAAGTTAAACATATTAATTCTGTTATGTAAAGACGCACGATTTCTAAATTAAAAAAAAAATATACATTGATTTCTAATACAGCAAACTGTAAAAATTAAAGAGTCTAATGATCGAAAGTTGACGACATCTTGAAGATATGGAGATACGTAGCCCCCCCCCCCCCCGAGCCTTCCTTTGTTATTGTATTAAAGGAAAAAAAACTTGGGATAATATAACATTCTGAATAATTTACTGATATTAATACAATTTTTAATTAGTTGCCATATTTTTTAAGATTTATATAATTTAAACAGTGCGAGATTTGGAAACTATTGTGAATATCTGTATATGTATTCAGGGACGTCGCCACGTCCCTGGAAAGGGGGAAGCGGGGAGGATGTGGAAGGGGAACCCCCTTCTATCTAATCCAGCCACATTTTTTTTTTATAAATGGGTACCAGTTTCCTGATGCATTCTTGAAGTCATTTTTTAACAAATTTATTCACAATAAAATGTAGCAGCATTACTTTAAAGAGTAGGATGGCATAACTTTGTTTCAAATATATTTGTGAGCATTTTTAAAAAGGGGATGGTGCAATCGCACCCCCCCCCCCCCACCACCACCACCACCTATATCTGGTTCCGACAATCTTGGTATCTTTTAAAACAAATATTATAATATTAAACTATGAATTTTAATGTGATATCAAAGATATTTATACCATACACATGGTATATATAGTTGTCTCTAGTTATCTCTCGTCGTGGTAACAAGATACATTGCTTAAAATTCGGGGGTGGGGGTCTGATTTAGGATTATGGGGCCCTGTAATGGTACATCCTGTCGTTCTGTACATTTTGTCACCAAGAAAAAGTTGTTCAGAAATTGAGGATGACATTTCTTAAAAAGGCTAGTTATTTTTCAGGCTATTGAAATTCATTACTGCAATTTAGATTCTAAGCTCATCTGACATCAGCTGATTGTAATTTCTGTTCTGATTTTTTTTTCTACATTTGACTGTTTGTTTCCTGCAGTAATGTTTTTCTTCTTATTCTAATTGTATTGCCCTGAAAATCACCAGACAGTTCTATGAAACTTGAGGCTCCTTCTTTGTATTTTATTTTCATTTTCAGCCTGATGGTTCTGTTACACCCTTTTTGGGCACTCTGATAGACAACTCTGGTATTTCAAACATTTCTTAACACAGCTTTGTAGAGTAAAGTTTAAACAAAAAACAAATGACCAAGGCATTGAATTGGGAGGCACCATTGTAAGGTAACGCTGACTTTCCTTATAAAGAAGAATTATATACACATAATTATATAAATAATTGTTCATACAGAATAATGCATCTGTCTGTTATGTCAGCAATGTACATATCAATTTTGAAAGTATGTAAATCTTATACGGTACCAATTTTGATGCACCAGATGCAAATTTCGACAATTTGTGTCTCTTAAGTGATGCTCATACTGAAACGTTGGGAATCTGAAATATTTGAATAAAAAAACTTTGAAGAGCAGAAAAAAAGGGGAAAATGGAAAAGAACTCGAATCGAGGTAGAAAAAGTCTGATTGATGAGAGGGCCGGGTGACAGAATCTTGATTTGGGCAGTGAAAAAGAATAGAAGACAGACTTTGAGTGAAATTGTGGATAATTTTAACCAACATGCTTCTCATAAAGTGTCTGTAAGAACTATTCGGAGAAAATTCCATTCTCATGGAATTCATAGACACAAAGCAAGGAAGACCCTCAGTGTGTCAGAAGTGAATCTAAAACGTCGTGTTCAGTGGTGTAAACATCTGAAAAATCATGCATTTGATGACTATTGGAGAAAAGTGTTTTTTTAGATGAAACTCAGATAATGATATCAAATGAAAATCGTCTGTATGTGTGGAGAACTCAGGATGAAGCTTATCGTCCAGAGTGTGTCGGTCTAACATGGTCACAGTGTGGAGTTCAGCGCTATGTTATGGGGATGTGTGACATATTCAGGAGTGCGGACATTAGTTCCAGGATGAAGCTTATCGTCCAGAGTGTGTCGGTCTAACATGGTCACAGTGTGGAGTTCAGCGCTATGTTATGGGGATGTGTGATAATATTCAGGAGTGCGGACATTAGTTCCAATAATTGAAAGTATGAACTCTTAGAAGTATTTAGAGACTCTTGATGAACATCACAACACAATTGACTACAGACTGGAAACATGAAAATGATATAGATTGTCTTGACTGGCCATGACAATCATCCGACCTCACCATCATCGAACATGTCTGGCTAATTAAAAAAAAAATGACTGAGAAAATCGTTGACCGCACTTAAATCCAAAGATGATTTGATCACTGAAGTTTTATAAAAATTTCGTCTTCTCTATAACTGTCTCTGATATCAGAAACTTATATCACACAATTCCAAGAAGAATATTTGCAGTAATTTCTGTTAAAAGTCATATCACTTAACACTGAAAATTTCAAGTAAGTGTCTTTTATATTGTTTGATTTATGATGGTTTGAAAAGACAAGTTTACCTAGAAACAATTACGTCAGGAAGTAGTTATATCAATGTTGGCACGTTACAGTAAAAGCATCACGTTTTATGGATTTAAGCGAATGCTCATTCATAGTTCATTAATTTTTGTTATTGTGATTTGAAGTGGAATTTTCTTTTCTATCCATGAAGTAAGTGTCTAGAAAGTGTAAAATGGCACCGGGAGTAATCTTGTGACAGTCACCAGGTCATTTTGGTAATTTTAGTCTGATCCATTAATCATGACCACAGAAAAGGTTGTATCTGGAGTATATGAGTACAGATGACTACCCTTTCGTACTTGAATCCAGACCTTGTCTCCCACCTGTAGCTGGTGGACAACAAGATTGGAGGCCGACAGATAGACAGTAACAGATCCATTAAGATAAGCCATGACTCCTGGCTTCGCGGAACCATTAATCATTATTTTGGTCCAGAAGGTTTCATGATATCCTGCCACACTGGTACCGAATATAAGGTAGAGCCCGGCCTTTGGGGCAGTAAACACTCCTGTTGTAGGGTTATATCCTCCTCCCACCTGGTATATGACTTGTGGGAATTTAACTGTATCTCCAACTGTATATGTATGTTGCTTAGTTTCCTCTCCTAAGATTCCAGCTGTAAAAGCTACATTGGATTGAACACCTAAAAAATACACCGGACTAAAGAATGCAGTTCTATTTAAGTCATGATTTGGTTAATTGAAATTTCATAACAAGGGCTAGTATATAATTAATAAAAACAATTTCCACAAACATGAAATTCTATGATTTATGTCTAAGTCAGAAATGTAAAGTTATAATTTCAAACATACTAAGACATAATTTAAAGCGGAGACTTAGTGCTTTCATTTCCAAAATATAAATTCCTTGCGAGAGTTCATATGAGAAATTGCATTGTTCTTAAATTTAACAGTCTCGAAAACTCAGTGTGAGGACCTTCAGAAAAGAATTAAAAATTTGAATACAACCCCCACCCCTCATTCCAAAAAATAAAATGTGATATAAACTATGGAAACAGTTCTATTATTATAAAGTAAAAGTCGTATATTTTCAATATTTTGGATATGAGGCAAGTATAGTATCATTTTTGAACGTGGGGGATGGGGGGAGCCAGAAAAAAATTGACAACGTAATAAAAACCTTGACCAGCAAAACAAAAAAAGGGGGATGGAATTTACCGAACTTAATAATCCTATTTTGGTTGGTTGGTTGGTAAGTTGTTTGGGCGGGGGGTTCCCAACTCCTTTCACAACCAAATTTTATTATACATTACCACAATACCTTGATTTGACTGTACTGCAACAAAAAGAGGAAGGCAATCAGCCTTTAAAAATGAACATTTTCAACAGTAAAAGGCTATGTTTGGAAAAAAGTTGAAAGGCCACCCCCATCTCCCCTCCCTGATACTACGTACCTAGAGCGTTCGCTCTAGAGTCGCAGAGTAAGGAGTTGATCCTTACGTCGCGGGTTCGAATCCCATTGTGGGACGTGGAGACCGGTCCTTCGGATGAGACGGTATAAATCGTGTCGCAGTAGGTGTTGGCACGAAAAAGATTCCTCACTGCTCAATGGCCCCGAGTCAAAAATTTGGAGCTCTCCATCGGCAAGTGGTGGCGTCTCCATATGAGTGAAAAATTCTCGAGAGGGACGTTAAACAATAAATAAACAAACAAACAAACAAACGTACCTAGATAGGGGCTTGTGCTATATTTGAAATACTGAAAAAAGGTAAAGTATTGGCTATTTAAAAAGAAATTTTTAGGTATGTGAATAATGAAACAATTTCACAGTAGGACACAATATGATATGATTATGGTATGTCAAGAAAAGCAAGAAAATTACCTTTTTTTAAATAGACGCTAAGTCACCAAAGGTCAAAATAATGTTACGCCATGTCAACTAACTTTGAAGTACATATGTATTTATTTTTCAGAATTAATCAGGACCAAATTAGGCACTAAGTGAAACTTGCTCTTTTATTACAAATTCTTCTTTTAGAACAGAAAAAAATTCAGAGTATACATACGATTCTTAAGACGGATAATTGTATCATTCAGTTTGGCAATGTCATTTTGCTGGGAATTTGTCATTGCTTGGATCTCATTCTTCATCTGATTTTGCTGCACATCCAAACTTAAAAGGGAAGACGATAATTCGGCTGTGTTATTGTGTACATCTAGAAGAGAAAGTGATAAATATCGGTCTCTTAGTTCCAGGTCCTTGATTGTGGCAGACATGTTCTTCATCATTTTCTGTTCTCTTTCTCTAACCATCTGCTCTATTTCAAATGTTAAGTTGTTCCCCAACCTTTGCTGGTCTCCTGATGTGGTCAAATTTTGTTGTATTAACATGGAAGTAGAGTTCAAAATCTTTATCTGATCTTTCAAAATAATATTCTCTTGAAGTAGAAATGTTGATGTTGAATTCAGATTGTTAAGTTTTTCATTCAAGCAGATATCATCCTGTGATGGATTGGATGAAGAAATCAACTTGTCTAGCCTTTCTTTCAAAATTTTGTTTTCACTTTCTAACAATGATATCTTCATCTGGGCTGTCCGATTCCACTGCTTCAGCATCTGAATCTCTCCCTCTAATAAGTTTTGTTTTTGTTCAAATTTCTGAGCTTGTTGTTTCTGATCCATCATTATAGAATTTAACACGGTCTCTAAATGAAGAAGCTGTTTGTACACATCAGGATCAGAATGTCCATTAGATGCTGATGTAGCATTGGTTTGTCCATGGAACAACAAACCCTCTGCTTTCAAAAATGTGCACAGAAGTACCACAAAGGTGGTTTTAATCAAGTGCATTTTCGTGATTTGTGATAAAGCTCAATAATTCAAACAAGTTCAGTAAGATTGAGTGGCTTTATCAAAAAACAAATTATTTTCATAAGATAAAAGCTTAATCTTATGCACACTGTAATCTTTGACCTAAAATTAATGATTAAAATGCCTGGTAATCATTCATGTACTGCATTATTCATTGATTTATTATGGAAACTGTGTACTAACTTAATAAGTATTTTTCTATTAAAATAAAAAGTTAATATTACATTTTTCCCCTATTTGATGTAAATTACAGGATACAAATATGAATTATTTCTTGTGAATTACAATACATTTTATATACATAATTGAAATAATATTTATTATTTACAAGTGTGTTATGGCAACCAAGCACTGTATCACCATACATACATGATTTCATGTATCATTGCACCTGGCATTGAGGAAGCAGAAATAGGGAAAGGGATATTTCAAGCAATCTATGCATTGGGATTTCATATAAATACAATGCATCAAATACCATAAATTTTCTTAATAAAATGTTGACAAAGCATGTAAGAATTATTTTTGTTTAATACAGCAGAATACCAAGTATTGTTGAAGGTCAAATAAATCTACAGTTTGATTATTTAAATAAATGTTTTGTTGTTGATGTATTGTAGAAATCTCCGAATGCTCCTCCAGTGAGTCTTGGTTATTGGAATGGGGACATAGACTTGTGCTACAAAGATGGAGCCATTCCTTACAACATATTTCCTTTTGTAGCCTTAGAGTTTGCAGAGAATGAGCAACACTCATTCAAAATCATTGTAGCTCCACAGGTATAATAATTATTTCAGATTTTCCTACTAAAAAGTGCATGATTCATTTTAAAGGCTATCTTTTTTCTGTGTACAAAAGTTATAAACAACATTACAAGACTGTATGAGATGATAAATAGAGGATATTCAATGTTTTGTTGATGAATATGGAATTTACGAGTGGGACAGGATTTTTTTATATTTTCACGAGTGCGAAGCACGAGTGAAAATATCAAAAAATCCTGTCTCACGAGTGAAATAAATTCCATATTCATCTACAAAACATTGAATTTTCTGTTTAATACATTTTCTGTTTTTTCCCTATGACTCTGTCTTTTCGTAACAGAGTGTCATAGGCTGTGACGTCATAGTTGAGCGGTTGAGACGTCATAGCTAAGTGATTGAGACATTGATAAACATTGAAATCATGGATTTTTAACAACATATTTGGAGAAACTTTGGCAGTTTTATTCTCTCTCAGGATGATTCATTTACTCTCTCTATCTTATAACAGGCCAGGGAGGTTTTTTTTTAAATACTATTTTTGATGGGAAGGAAAATCTCGAGTTTTGCAGCACTTCTGATATTCTCACACTGTGAGAATACCATTTTGATATCCTTTCACACTGTGTCAGAATATCACTTTTATTCAATAAATAAATTACAGTATTTCACTGTTGAAAATGTAATAAATACCAGTATCCAAGGTTTTTCTTTCTCTTTATGTATCCATTTATGTTATGTTCATTTCAGCAATACATTAAATCTGTTGGGAAAAAAGATGACAACAACCTGCAAACTCAACATCTGGTAAGTGCCAATGGAAAATCACATACAAAGAGGGAGGGGATGTATTTTTCTTACACGACAGAGGTAAATTTCTAACCCTATTCCTATAGCAAATGGATGATATTTGATTTTTCCATTCCACACATGTAGCTTAGAACAGTACTGTTCAGTAGTTAGTACAGTACTATGCTTGCCTTTCAGTCATGTCAATCAGTAACTGTGATATCATGACATCACAATGATGACTTTTTGATAAAGTACAGGCAGATTGATTTTTATTAACCATTGCATCTGGGGTAGGGATGAAACCACACAATTTTACGAAGAAAGCATATATGAAATATTGTATAAATTGACTATTTAAACCCATGGGGCTATTGTTTTTTTTTTTAAATGTTGTTTTTGATAAATAGCACAAAATTTCTCTCGTAACACAGGCACAGTCATTGGAGCAGTGATCATGGAAGGGTTTTACGTGGTCTTTGATCGACAGAACAACAGAATTGGGTTTTCAGACACAACATGTCCTGCAGTGGCCCAGATGTTTAACAAGTCACATGTGTCTGGTCCTCACAAATTTTCAGGTCAGTATGCAAGGCTTCATCTCAGATTAACTCTATAGTCTCAACAGTGTAATCATGCAGTAACTTAAAACTGTAAGTTTGGGAGATTATTTATAATACCCTCGGTGTAGACTTGATGTCTCAGGTTAAAGTTTTTAGAGCAGATTTCTTTTCGATGATATGTATTTCTATGTCCTATATTGATCAATGTTTCATGGATTATGCATCTATATGTTTTATTGTACCAGTCGGGTTTCAGATGCTGCATTTGTAGCCAATATGCTCCATAAATGTTTTGCATACGGTGTATATATCTCTCAGTTGATTCGATACGCAAGAGCATGCTCTACGTATTTACAATTTCTAAAACGAGGTAAATTATTGACAAATAAGTTGATGAAACAAGAATATCAGCTGTCTCGTTTAAAGTCATCATTTCGTAAGTTCTTTGGTCGATACAATGACCTTGTCAGCAAATACAATTTATCATTGAGTCAAATGCTGACTGACGTTTTTCATACTAATTGTTAGGCCATTATTTACACACTGAATTGTCGACGGATTTTTCCGTTATTTCCCGATCATGACAAGGAGCACACGGCGGGTGTGACCGGTCGGCAGGGGATGCTCACTCCTCCATGGCATCTGATCCCACCTCTGATGTTTGGAGGTCCGTGTTTGCTCTGCTCCTATTTTTACTGAACAGAGCTTCTGTACCAAAACTTGGGAAAATCTGAACTGCAAATCTTCTAATGTTGTCTACGGAATAGAATGTAATCTTTGTGGACTTGTTTATGTTGGTGAAACCAAGGGATCACTCAATAAAAGAACATCAGTTCATAGATTTCAGATAAATAATGGTGGTCAGCAACTTTTATACAAATATTTTAATTTACCTGATCATTCTATTTTGTCAATGAAAGTTAGAATTCTGGAAAAGATTTACCACCACACAAACAGTCCATCACTGAGTACACCTTTCCGTAGACAACGAGAAGAATTTTGGATAAGAAAGCTAGGGACAGCCTTTCCCTATGGATGTAATGACAATGTCGATAGTGTTGGAAATCTTTCCAGTCCACAGTGTAACAATGTAAATGTGATGGGACTTTTTAACCATACACAGAGACGTAAGCGTAGTCATGGGCATCGGTCTTACAATAAACCTTTAATACACGATGTCTCTTTTGATTCATTACTACCTTACGTAAATCAACAGTTAGGTCTAATTCATATTCGCACCAAACTTTACTCTGTCCCTTTGAAACTTTTAAATAGTCTTCTTGAAAAGGTCAAGGAAAGTCCATTTTTTGATTCCTCGACACCAGAATATAGGCTCGGATCTGTAGTTATGGATATTGCCAATCATAGGCTTTTTAAACCCCCGCGTTTTACTGAAGAAAATGCAGCTAAAACAATCCGTTTTTTCCTTAAACTTCAATATGCCAACAAAGGAATTGACGCGGTTAATATAAGTAATATTCTTAATCACAAAAGGGTCCAGTCTTGTATTCCACCATATTTCAAGTTAAAGACTACACCTTGTATTTCCTACAAATATACATCGACTATTGCTTCCAAACTTTTTAATTATAAGAAAACTTTACAGGGCCTGGATATCGAATATCTGAAACATAATCCTCCATCGTGTTCATGTTCTTCTTCGCCCTATAACTATAGTCCTGCTGGACACGTTATTACTGGTGACGTAAATATAGTTAATAATGAGGACCTTAGATCACTAATTTTAAAAGGTCCTAAATTTAGGGAACCCAGATCCTTCAACTGGCGTAAGAATTTCATAAATATCATGGATTCTGTAGAGGACTACGCCAGGCGATGGGCCAGACATGAAAAAGAAGACCTTGACACTTTGTCAGAATGGATTAAATGTATCAGATGTATGTTAAAATCGTGCATTAAAAAATTGAGAGGCAATATGAAAACCATCTATCCTTCTGTATTCAATAATCCAGAAGTGAAAAAAAAGAATTAGATAGATAACATGATCAGTACGTACTGGTCCCTGTTGACAAAGCAGGTAACAACATTGTCTTTGTTTGTAAGGCTCATTATATTAAATGTATTTTAGAGGAACTTGGATTTAATTCTACAAGTGGTAATCCAACTTATACTCATAGTTCCCTTTCTAAGGAAGAAATTCTTCAAAATCATATGTCAGTTTTGAATATTTTTAATATTCCAAACAACCAAAATGAATTCGAATTACCATATTTATATTGGATTCCGAAACTTTATAAAAATCCTTACAAACAAAGATACATAGCGGGTTCCAGTAAATGTTCAACCAAGCCTCTATCTTTACTCCTCACTAAGATATTAACAGTGGTGAAGGAGAAACTTCAAGAGTACTGTGCAACAATATATTCGAGAAGTGGTGTAAATCAGATGTGGATACTTAAAAATTCCAAGGAACTTTTGGAAAATTTGAAATCACAAGATTTTACCAAAATCAACAGCTTAAAAACTTACGACTTTTCAACTTTATACACAACCATTCCCCACGATAAATTAAAGTCCAGGCTTTTTGATATCATTGACAGCTGCTTTTTCAATAAAAATGGAACTCGTAAATATACTTACCTTGTCATTGGTCATTTGCAAAATTATTTTGTTAAAAAACATTCTGATTGTACACACAAGTACTCTGAAGTTGACATTAAAAGGATGATATCATTGACAGCTGCTTTTTCAATAAAAATGGAACTCGTAAATATACTTACCTTGTCATTGGTCATTTGCAAAATTATTTTGTTAAAAAACATTCTGATTGTACACACAAGTACTCTGAAGTTGACATTAAAAGGATGCTTGAGTTTCTGGTTGACAATATCTATGTGGTTTTTGGAGACCAGGTCTTCAAACAATCTATTGGAATTCCTATGGGTACCAATTGCGCCCCGTTGTTAGCAGACCTTTTTTTGTATTCATATGAAGCAGAATTTGTCCAAAGTCTTGTACGTGAAAAGAAGAAAACACTTGCTGTGGCGTTCAACTCGACATTTAGATATATCGACGACATATTGTCAATCAACAATGGCTATTTTCATTCTTATGTCGATACGATATATCCTGGTGAACTTGAGATGAAGGATACCACGGAGTCTGACACATCTGTTTCATATTTGGATATTTTACTTGAAAAAGACGTTAATGGTAATCTAACAACCAAGTTTTATGATCAACGTGATGGCTTTAGCTTTTCAGTCGTCAACTTCCCTTACTTATGCAGCAATATACCTTCATCACTTGCATACGGGGTATATCTCTCTCAGTTGATTCGATACGCAAGAGCATGCTCTACGTATTTACAATTTCTAAAACGAGGTAAATTATTGACAAATAAGTTGATGAAACAAGAATATCAGCTGTCTCGTTTAAAGTCATCAAGTTCTTTGGTCGATACAATGACCTTGTCAGCAAATACAATTTATCATTGAGTCAAATGCTGACTGACGTTTTTCATACTAATTGTTAGGCCATTATTTACACACTGAATTGTCGACGGATTTTTCCGTTATTTCCCGATCATGACAAGGAGCACACGGCGGGTGTGACCGGTCGGCAGGGGATGCTCACTCCTCCATGGTACCTGATCCCACCTCTGATGTTTGGAGGTCCGTGTTTGCTCTGCTCCTATTTTGTATTGTATAATGGACTTTTGAGCTTGAATACTGTTCGTTATCTCCATATATTTCATTTTATAAGTTTTTGGAGTAGGTTAAAGTTTTAAAAGCAAGCCACATTCCTAAGTGAATATGAGCCCTAAGTAAATTAAAATTGCATGTGATGAGTTATTCCCCCTTTCATACATGCAAATAGATCTAGACGTTTTTATTAGATGTTAAACAAATATTTCTTGTTATCACGGCTTTTTTTGAATCAACTTTTAAACAAAAGTTTGGAATAAGATTATTTAAAGTTGAGTACATATTATAATTAGTGTAAGAGAACAAAAAAAAAAAAGCAAGAATCAGTTGATGTCATTTTGTTGAACAATTGACATCAAAAAAAGAGAGAAAACATCTAAAAGAAAAAAAAACCTGCCTGCCACATTCAATTTGGAAATTTATGGCCTGAGAAACTAAAGATTAATTTTTTGGGCCTTAGGTGAGCTGTGTAATCTTAGATTACCTACACTGTATGTTTTATTTTAATAAAAAAGCCAAATCTGCCAAATCAAAGACTACATACAGGTTATGGAGTTACAATGTTAACATATTCCATTGCATACTAACACCTATTATGGATTCATAATGGTGTGCTATTTATGTTTTTTACCACTGCAGAATTGATGCTGACACTATATTGCAAAATTATGCGCATTCAAGAAATATAAGGAATCTATATAGTAATCAATATTTTTACTGAGCCAAAATTTCTTCTTCAGTTGTGAAATGGTTCTTGCATTTGTGTGATAAGTTGTCATAATTACATCTCCAAAAGCCACCCTTTTGTAGATCTTTCTACTTGTTTGTTCTTTTTCTGACTGCTCAGTTTTCTAGCTCATCTTAATCTGAGCTATGCTTTTGATAAAATTTCTGTTTTACAATATAACTCATTTATAAGGAAATCACGGGGGCCTCAAATCTTGCTTCCTTATAGCTGAAATTCTTTATATCCATATATTAAGAAACATAGTGAGAATTCCTCATCAGGATTTGTTAAAGTTCCTTAAAACTAAGATTTCCTTATTAGCTAGTTCCTTATAATGGAGTTTTGCTGTACATTTAACATTGTCCTTGAATCTGTATATTAATTGAATGCTGCTACAGTCTAGGTTCAGTGGGAAACTGTGCGTATGCCAAACCAGAGAAATCCAACAAAACCTTGGTCATTGTGGCGTACGTGTTAGCGGGTATCTGTGGAGCCTGTATTCTGCCTTTGTTTATTCTCTTTATTCAGTATCAATGGCGGACGTCAAAGTGTTACGAGAAAATGAAGAGGCAGAATTCTGTTGGAGACTCTAATGACTTAATTGATGAAACAAACTTTATGCATGATTCTTAATTAGACAATTTTTGTCATGGTAGTGATTGGGTGTTAAATTCATCTCTGATAGGATATAACTAGATTTTTTTTTATTGTTGGACTTTACACTGTTGAATAATTATTTATAGAATTCTTGTGGGAATGTTAAGAATATTACTTAATTTTATTTAAATAGTTATAGCTGTTTTTGTGTCAATCTTCTTTAGTGTCCATATAGAAATTAAAATCTTCATATTGTAGATACTGGACATTTTAACCAAGATTTCATATGTAGGCATAATATGGCTGTTCTCTTTTTCGAAAAAAATAGTTTGCCTATATATTCCAGTGGAGCCCTTATTACATTGTATATTTCATAATTGATTTTTTTACGTATGTGGAACTGGAATGTTTGAATAAGTAATGCTTGATGTTAGTAACAACTGCAAAAAGTGCAAGATATTAGTTTTTAACTAAGACGTAAGTTAATTTTGATAAGAAACTAATTTTATTCAGTTTTTTTTTTACAGTAGGTTGAATTTTCACATTAACAATGGTTGTATTTACTCTGAATCATGAAAAGTGTAATAAATCAACAAAGCACAAAATCTATTACATTCTTACATAGCAATTTTGAAGCAATACTAGAGAGTTTCTAATTAGTGCTTTTTAAATTCTTTATAGAAAATTTTTCCTTATTATTTTCAATACTCGGTGTACATCTGCTAAATACTGAAATATATTTCATTGTGATATTTTACATTCTTGGTTTATTTCAAGCAGGGTTGGCAAAAAACTGGGAAATACTCATATTTCCCAGGACGGTGGGAAATACTGGTAATTACCGGGAATTACTGGTATTTCCCGGGAAATACTGGGAAATACGTAATAGCTACATATTTCATTCATATTGACATGTAGTACACCTTATTGGCTAAGATATCTACCTGGTAACACTGTCCCTGATTAAAAAAAAATTCTGGTTTCCTAGTAATTCGTTTTATTTAATCATAACACAGTATATTCATGTACCAGTCATGAGTGTCATTTGTTTCATGCTTGAGTCTGATGTAGTCTATAAAGGTCCAATGAACCAAAATGTCCTAATTGTGTTTTTTTTTGTAACTAAAGAAGGATCTAAGAAAATCTTAAATGTAGAGTATGGTATAAATATCAAACCTAAGAAGAAGCCTTTCAGTTCTACTCAAGGTAATTATCTCTCAAAACAGGAGCACAAAACTGTCCAGAACAATTTGTTAAAACAACATGATTGATTGTAATAACTACAGTGTTTATAGAAGGATTAAAACAAGTTTGCTTTGTTCTTGGATTTATAATTAAAACTTAATAATATTAAAAAAACTGAAAAGAAACTTGAATTGGAAAACTTCAGTTTTATACAGCCAGGGAAATGTTTCAGAATGCTTATGGTATGGAACCTGGAGTAGTGATACAATCTGAAAATGTTAAATTGCAATTTGAGACATTCAATATTATTCATCTTCTGTTTTTATGTTTATTTTATTTTTGAATTTAGAATAAGATTGAATAAATTAAAGAAATAAAAAAAAAACTTTAACTTTCCCAGTATTTCCCAGTTACGAGAGAATTTGTAGTATTTCCCAGGACGGGAAATACCAGTATTTACCACTGGTAATTCCCATTACTGGTATTTCCCGGCCAATCCTGATTTCACGCTTATAAAGATTTATTAAATAGCTGATAGAGGGAGTGTATTATGGAGAATTTTAGGTAGATTCTAAGTGTTATTTATATGTGTAACTATTGTTATTAATTGGTCAGTGGATTATATTACCTTAAAAATTTAAAACTGTTACTCATGTTCATTATACTAATTGACGTATTATACATGTAGCTTATTATTTGTATGTCATATACATCCATTTGTCTTATTTACATTCTAGATGGCTTCAGATTGTTTGGGTGTAATTTTTTAACTTCTTAATTTCACCTGACATTAAGTTAAATAAACTGCTACTCCATCAACAGCATTTTTAAAATTTTGTATTGTTTAAAAGTTGCTTACTTGATGTAGTTCAGAGTGTATGAAATATGCAATTTATGGTGAGTGTATATATGCACTAGTAGAGTAATTGTAGAATGAAATATGAGGTTAATGAACAGTGATCATTCTCAAAAGTCCATTTAAACAAAAAAAAAAAAAAAAACAAAAACAAATTATGAGCAGGGCCAACATGGTCCTCTGAGGTGTTATCAGGTGCAATGGAGGAGTAAGCATCCCTTGTCAACTGGTCACACTCGTAGTGTGCCTCCATGTTATGATTGGGTAAACGTAAAAATCTGTAGGCAATTATAATTGTTATAGGTTTTCCACTTCTAACAAAATTCTAAAATATTACCTTATGATAAACCTTTATTACAGGTAGAAATAATGTACTTCATTCTTTATGAAAATGAATTTCAATTTTCACAAATAGTACATGTACATTGTCAGTAAAGGTGAACAAAGTGATTATTAAAATTCAGAAGTCAGAAATGTAATTTCAATAATAAATAATTAGGATCTTCAAAGTACTGTAAATATTTTCTTATTTTAGAACTTTCTTTTGCCTAATTACGCAATACCTTCTCGTGTATAAATCTACTGTTATAAAGAGCAATAACGAAAACTCTAAAAAAAAATTTTTTTCGCTTATAAATACCAAACAACGATCTCGCGAAAAATAGGAGTCGCGAAAATTACTTGATCTACGAGTAGTCAAAAATAATAAGGACGTTTACACTGTATATCTATTTTGAATCTTTGAGATGTATTGAATCTCCCTCTCTCTCTCTAAAGAAAGTTTGGGTATATTTTTATTATCCTGGGCTGTCCATCAGTCCGTGCTCAGTAACATTTTCCTTAAACTCCTCTTACATTTTCATCAGTAGTCAATTCATCTTTCGGAATATGATTGACGGTGCTCTGTTGATGTAATAAGGTTTTGGAATTTTTATTTTTACCCATGGAGCCAACTGGGTGTTGAAAACAACGTTTTTCTATTAAAACATGTTTACCAGAACTCCTTTTTACGCAGTAGCCAAATCATATTTTGGAATATGATGTTGAGTGTTCTGTAGATGTGCAATAAGGTTTAGGAATTTTTAATCTTATCCTGGGGGCCGAAAAACGGTGTTCTTCTACAAAAGTTCCCATAATTCCTCTTAAATTTTATGAAGTAGCCAGATCATCTTTTGAAAAATGATCGGCATCCTGTAGATGTGTAATTAGGTTTGGGAATTTCTTATTCAAGGGTCCGAAAACGGCATTTGTCTGTTGCCAGCTCTAAAACATTGTTGTTTTTTTCTATACGAACACTATATATATATACATGTACATTAGACAAATTGCTAACGCACCACTTATTATTCTCGTTTGTTAACTGAACAATTGCCAGATCTGCACTAAATATATCTAATATGTCATCTTTCCCAATAGAGGGGAATTGACAATCTCTATAACCTTACATATGACTTCCAATTTTAAAACCCCGTATACTAGTATTTCATTTGGTCCATCCTATATAATTTTATAGAGGATAACTTGAAACAACTCCGTATACATGCATTTCAACCATACCTATTTAAGAGATCAGTCATATATGAGACAATGAACAAATGAGAATAATTAGGTGTTTGATATTGGATGAGTCAATACTAAACTAAATTTATCAATTCTGTTTATAAAAACAATGAAATCATCCCTTCTTTCGTCATTATTGAATCGTTTCTTTCCACTGTAATTACATGCGTAAAACAGCAACGCTTGTCCAGCTACAAAGTATATTAATATAACGCATAAAGCCGTACAAAGAATTAAGTTGGAAATGCCAAGAGTAAAGTTGGAAAAGCTAAGATTAAAGCTGGAAAAGCCTAGATTAAACTTGGAAAAGCTAATTTTAAAGTTGGAATTACCAACTTTAAAGCTGGAATTACCAACTTTAAAGGTGGAATTACCATTTCTAAAGTTAGAAAAGCCAAGATTAAACTTGGAATTACCAACTTTAAAGTTGGAAAAGCCAAAAAGATTAAAGTTTTAAAAAATAATACGCTTCCGTAGATATACATGTAGTCACTAATAAAACTCAACGTTTATGTAGAGATACACACATAACACAAGCATACTTGTAAACCAATATTTCAGGACTATTATCGAAATACAATGTGTCTGGAATATATTCGTGACAATTTTTTATGGTCACACATATGACTAGTGCTTACAAGATTCCCAAACCGTATTTTGATTGACTTAAACTCTTATTGTTGAAGGATACATACATTTGTGACCATTAAGTATATGCAAAAATATTCGAGGGGGAATAAAATGTCGTTTATATCGTTCATATGGTTTATTCCAGGCGAAATTGCACACTTAAAAAGCATTACATGTACGTATACTAGTACATGTCTGACTGCATGTATATTGTATGTTACCAGAACACGTGTATTATTAATACGAGAAAAGTATATCCAAAGGCATATGCTACAAACAAATTGGATACATGGATTGGTATATATTTTTGGATCTTTTTGTTTGTAAATGATGCAAAAATTAAAATTCCAAAACTATTTCAAAATTAACAAAAAACTGTGGAATTTCTTCGATGTTCAAATTTCTTACTTTTTCCCATCACCCCTGTAAATTTATATATTTTTTTAATCACTTTTATATGACGCTGTTGAGAAACCTTGGATGAATAATTTAAGTTTATGTGGCGAAACTTTTCATTTTACGTACTAGTAAAAAAAACTTGGATTTTGTTTAATTTTTCGTCATTTAAAAAAAAGTTTGTTTGCAGCATTTGTGTACTTAATGCTTTAATTTCTGATTCCGATTGAAAGTAAAGCCTAACATCCAAACAATTAAGAGTTTGGACACCAATCTGCTCAAAGGATCGAAATTTTAATGTTATTTGACATTGAAAGATACATAATTAATTAAGGTCTTACGTGTGTGTGTGTGTGTGTGTGAGGGTGTGTGTGTGTGTGTGTGTGTGTGTAAAGGAGCAGACCGGTCGACAGAGTATGCTTACTCAACCATGGCACTATGCTTACTCAACCATGGCACCTGATCCCACCTCTGATGTTTTTAGATGTCCGTGTTTGCTATACTCCCAATAAGTATCGTTCCAATGAACTTTTGAGCTTCATTACTGTTCGTTATCTTTATATTTCATGTTTAAGATATTACTTTGAAACCATTCAGATTTAAACTTACCTTTTCACTTCTATGTGACATTATTCTAATTCACTTCTATACCAGGTATAATCAGTCCCTCTTTCTAACGTCTGTGATGTCTTTTTGTTTAAAATGAAAGAGATTTATAACACAAAACTAACTTTTATGTTACATTCATGTTAAAAAATGTTTTTGCAATAATGTTATCTTCACCGAGGTATACCCATGAATAATTATTTCTTCTTTCGGCTTGCTTTTAGGTCATATCATGCAAACAACCGTGATATGTGTTTTAAAATTCTTTAGGAGTTCTCACCATTTTGTTTCATCTATGATATATACTGTTCTGCATCGCTATAAGTTATTCAACTAACAGGAGAATAGAGAGTCTTTTTGAATGAGCAATATAGAGCCTCTTCAGGCACAAAACATTCATAATGTTTGTTTAGAACATAAAAGGTATAATATGATAGCACACTGTATATATCTTTATTCCAGCTAATTCATTAATCAAGATTTTTTTTTGTCTGTGAATGCCTACTAATTATTGAGTTTTCTAATTAATTTATCATAATCACAGAAAAGGTAGTGTCTGGAAACTGTGAGTAGAGAGTAGTACCAGAATGCAATTCTATCCAGACCCTGTCTCCCACTTGTAACTGGTGGACAACAAGGTTGGGGCCTGACAGGTAGGCATCTACATTAGAGTGTGTTACGTAACTCCTGCCTTAACTGAACCATTGATCATTATTTTTGTCCAGAATCTATTATCACTGTTTGCTACAACAGTACAGAAGTTAGAGCAGAGTCCACCTTTTGGCGCAGTAAACACTCCTGTGGTAGGGTTATATCTTCCTCCCACCTGGTACACGACTCTGTCAAATATAATCTGTGCAGAAGTATATGTAGGTCTTGACTGACTAGGTCCAGCTGTGAAAGCTACATTGGATTCAAAGCCTGAAAAAGAAATAGCATTTAGAAACTATTAATTTTGTACATGTAATATGAAATAATTAAGACCACTGACAAAGCCTAAGCTCTCACAACCCTTCTCTTATTTACTGCATTTTCTTTACAAGTTCGGATGTTTTCCCAACTTTGATCTACGTCAAACTTTAATATGTAGCAATAACAATTCCAATTTCAGTCACTATTTAAAAAAAAACATCCTTATAAAGTTTAATCGATGTTGGCCAAACCAAAACAGTGGTGTAACTGACATCAAGAAAATTACAATCTGGCAAACAGGAAATCCTTATAACTGTAATAATTCATCTGTAAGAAATAACCTATAGCTGCAGGTATTACTCCTCAGTAACGTGGACCAGTATTATATGATTGAATAATTCCCATGCAGCTCTCTCATTGGCTGAGACCCAAAAATCTAGAAATCATATTATGTTACATGTATATTATGCTTTCATGTAAATTAGTTGAATCTGATTCGTCGAGGAACATCTGTTAAAACACACTTTACCCCCTGAATGATGAAACCAAGCCCTCCAGCATAGCAACAGTCAACAGTGCTTGACGACGGGTATATATATTCAAATATATATATATATATATATATATATATATATATATATATATATATATATATATATATATATATATATATATATATATATATATATATATATATATATATATATAGGATGGCAACGAATATTCGAACATTCGAATATTCATTCGATGGGTTGATATTCGAATATGAATTTAAGATTCGAATATTCGGTGTTTTTCAGATTTCGTAAAAAGAAGTACTGTAATTGATAAATTTTGATTAGAACAGTGCTGGAATTATCCCTGTTGAATTTACTAGCGATCAATTTCGATCGTCTGATTTCTTTCACTACTTTCTTATCTTATAGGTATACTAAATTACATTTATTTTTTTTTAGTAAGGTGTAAAAGAATTGTACAATAATGCTTTATGTATAATACAAAACGTACTTTCATAGTTTTTATTAGTTAGATACTATCGGATCTAGAATCGAGGACAACAAAATGAAAACCTGCTTAGAATGTCTAAAGACAAATAATAATAATAATAAGAAGAAGAAGAATAAGAAACAGTAGAATCACTATAAGGTCTTCTATTAAGACGGAAGACTTTAATTAACACCTATCAACTGATATTCATAAATTGAAAAATAGAATACATGTATTGCAGTTATGAAATATTACTTCAAGTCACCCAGTTCAGTACTGATGTGGATTTTCACTGGATAAAAAGGACTAAAGATTGACAATTTCGCTTTATTGGAAAATTAAGATTTTTTGCCATAATGATTGTATCTTTCGTAACTTATGTAAGTTTTAAGTGCAAGATATACTTGTGGGAAACAACCTGTACCTGCCCATGCATGCTTACAAAATTATAATACTTTAACCAATACAGTAAGCAAGAGGTTAGGCATATGTCCTTCACACCACTGATTAACAGAATTTTTTGATGACAATGAAGTACATGTACTATTTTTATGAAATACCTGAGATATATGTAGGTTATTACATGTACCTCTTATGATTTTACTTTTTAGCTCAACTACTTACAAACTGATAGGGATCTCAGTGTATGTACCATACACACAAGGAAACTGGAGAGGAACTCTAGGGTCAGATCTGGTGACCTTGACCTCATTACCTAATGTCACTGTGAGAGCTAACATTGCATTCATAACAGAGTCGAAGCAGTTTTTCATCAATGGATCAAACTGGCAGGACATCCTGGGATTGGCTTACAGGAGTATAGCACGGGTAGAGTACTTTGAAAATTTTAGCTATATTTGCAATTTTTCTATGGAAAAGTTAACTCTCTGAAACTTTTTTTCAGCAGAATCTAATGTTAAATTTTCTTTTAAAAATAAAAAGTATAAGTACAATTGTGCATTTGTGATAAATATACAGATAAAAATTCATAAAACAATTACAACAAAACCATTTACTTGTAGCTCAAGTTTGTTTTAAATTTGCTTTTTGAGAAATCTATTTCCAGTCGGAATTAATTTTTACATAAAATTGTTCAAAATGGGGGTAAATATTCTATCAAAAATATTAAATATTTTTTCTGGATAAGAAATTCATTATACATTATACAATTTTGATTTTAAATGCATCTGAGCTCATGCAGTTGAGTAATATAAATTCAGTAAAATTTTCTTCTGCATTTGACTGTGTCTGTTTCTGCAGTTATTTTTTAGGCTTTCCGTCTCCAATTGAAGACCTTTCTGTTATTCTAATCTATAGGTTATTTTTCTCTATAATTATTTTTTTTCTTACGGATTTTGTGATCTCGGATTTTGCAAAAACAGCTCAACAGATTATCATGAAACTTTCACACATGCAAGATAATTAGATTCTCAAGATACATATTTTTTGTTTTGATGACATCACTTCCAGTCTCAAGATATGGACGCTTTCTCAATTTTCAGAGGGTTGGTTTGTCCAGAGGTGTTCTTAGAAACCATTCAAGATATCGTGTTCAAACTTTCAGCGATACAGATAAAATTAATATTAATTTAACTTAAGTTAAGTTAAATTAATATTAATTTTATTATGTATAAATATGTATGAGTGTAAGTGATGTAAAGTTTTAAAACTACCCAGGTATATATATGGATTATTAAAAGCAGGCCAGGCAAATTAAGAGGCCAATGATCAAAAGTTGGTGAAATTACAGCGATAAGGCTGGCCATGAGTAACCAGTTGCAATTTCAGATTTCTCCTTACTTATTATGTTAAATAAATAAACTTACGAAAATATAACATTCTGAGTAGTTTGTTTTTTAATATAAATTGAAAAGTTTTACTTCGTTATCTTTGATAACTTTAAAGATTTATAAGATTTAAATTGCATGAGATTGATAAAAAGCAAACAATAGGGACCTCGAGATCTCTTGAGGCTTGGAACAGTAGCCGATCTCTGTTATTTATATCTCTTGTCGTTAGTATATTACATGTATGTACATATGTATTAATTTTGAAAGTAAATAATTCTTTGTGTAGACATTTGGAGGAGTAGACCCCGGGCTTCACAGCAGTCCTGTATACTACACAAACATACACAAACAATGGTGTTACGAGGTCGTCATGGTGGATGTTGAAGTGGATGGAGGCAGCATCAATCTAGATTGTAAAGAGGTAACTACTGCTCAAGTACTAAAAAAAACTTTACTGCACATACTGCTTTCACTTTTATGGGTGGAAAATTATAGGACTGTTTTCTTTATTATTAATTAAAATTCTTCTATCTTTTGTATTATAATTGCATATGCAAGAAGAGTTACAGTGTATTCCCCTTTCTTAATTATTATCTCATGCTATTTTATATTGGACAAATATAGTGTGCAACTCATAAAATAAATTTTTAGGCTAATTTCCCAACTTTGATAATTTCCATACATCTTCAAAATTTATTTTTTTTAAAGATTAAAATCTGTATTGATTTATTTAAGGAATGAATTTAATAGCTACCCAAGTTACATTGTATAACCTGGGTTGGGACAGTTTAATATGCTTTATAAACCGTGAATAGACCATTTATAAAAAAAGCTTAAACTGTTCCAACATAGGTTATACAAGTATAGCTTATAATTTAATTTTCTAACATGTAATATAAAAATGAAAACAATTTTCACTCAAAAATTACTTCAAATTTTACAAAATTAAAATGCAACATCAAACAGATTAATTCTTTTTTAGACATCAGTTATATTGTGAGATAGGCAACTCAAGTTATACAATATAAACAATTTTTTTTCAGCCAATGAAATGGCTTGTTACAAATATAATTACATGTAATTTATTCTTGTTTGATTTCAGTACAATTTTCCCAAAACTATTGTGAACAGTGGAACCACGGATCTAAGATTTCCTATAATGGTGTATGCATCAGTGATCAAACACATCAAAAACTATGTCCAGGTAATCTATCATGACTATCATGACTTGAAAAGAAAAACTGAAAGGACAGTAGGCATACATTAATTTATGTCAGATTGAGTTACAATCAGGGTTGGGGTCAATTACTTGAAAATGTAATTAAATACTTTCAAATACATTGATAATTTTGTCAATTACTTGCAATTACAATTACATTGATTTTAACAAGTGTAATTAATTACTCTCAATTACTTAGAAGAATGTAATTAAGGCAGAGATTTTAAGCACCGCCTTCAAAAATACCTGGTCTGTGTACCCCTGTCAATCAAGTGCGTTAAGGTACATCATTGAGAGCTAGAACTTGATTGACATTTACTTACTAGTCCCTGTGTATACCATGTAAACCTTGTTTGGCACTCATGGTGACCTTCAAATTAACGTCTGATCCTTTGATATTTACCACACATAGTATTATAAACAATAGAGAAGCTGTATTACTATGGAATTTTGAGCTTGATAACATATATATACACACCTTTAGTATTTGAAATAATTATGATATTCTTTTATTAATTATGATAATATATCTCAAAATTTGGTTTAACCTTTTTTTTCAAAGCTCAACAAATACTTTGAATAATAATATTTTTTAATGGGCGGGGATACTTTCACACATATTCAATTACAAATTAATAAAAATTATTGAGATTAAACTATATTTACAACTTTTTATTTCTATTTTAAATCATCTCAAAATCCCAACACAGATAAAGTTTGACTTCTTGGGTACTCTACTGTGTATTAAATCACTTCCTGTGTATAGGGATTAGGAGACAAACAACCGCAGGTAGACTGCTAGCCCTCAGGGCCTTCACACCTGTACAAAATAAGCCCGTCCCTCACCTGGAATTTACCACCCGGTAAAAAATCTCTGCCTTTAAATACATATCAAATACTTCAGTTTTATTTTCAAAAATTTTGAAGATCAAATTCATGAATATTTTGAAGCAGCAATATTATTCAATTTGACCTTTCTATTTGCCCTGGGCAATGTGTTTATGCTGTATAAACATTATTAGGCATTTAATTATTGAATAAACACAAGCTCATGCCAAACAATACTGCGTGTGTTCCTGTTTTGCACACATTTGATAATTAGGTATAGAACAATAGGGGTGAAATATGTTTTGATAGCAATTATAGTGTGATCTTGGTGCGTATCATTACCGCTACATTTGCAAAATTTTCATTACCGCTACATGCACATTACAGCTACAAAAAAGGATACATTACCGCTACATTTAAAAGTATACGTACATTACCGCTACATTGCCTCTTTCGTTAGCCAGCGTCTTATGCTTTGATTGATTTAAAGTACAACATATACATGCATAAGACCTTTTTCCCCTGCTTATCACGGGGAGGTGAAAGTAAGACTTTGAGTAGGATTTTTTCCCCATTTTTTATTTGTCACAAACTTCTCAATAATAGTAGCCATGACATTCGTCTGACGCTAAATCGACTACAGACTTAAACATACTCATTTTGATTAGAATTCAGATCCAAAATGTACTTCACTACATGTTGAGTGAATTATATTGAATGGAAATGATATCCCATACCATTGCTGGCCGATTCGTTATGTAGCGGTAATGAGTTGTTGTCGGCATCAGTCCCTTTGATAAATGTAGCGGTAATGATCGCCCAAAAATTTGAGAAAATGTAGCGGTAATGAGTTGAAATTTTTCGCAATGTAGCGGTAATGTTGACCTCCCTGTGATCTCCGTCTGGGATTTACCTGGAATTACCCGTATTTTACCAATGCATTATAATATATATTTAAAAGAATAAATTTTGAAAATTTAATTTGTCCAACCCAAATGAAGTTGATCATGATAATTTAGACAAATATCCTTACTTTGTATCGCAATTCCACCTGGTTTTTTTTTATTTCATAAAGATAAAATAAATGAGTAAATGAATTCAGTCTTGATTATAATAGAAGAGAGAGAGATAATCATATAAATAAGAGGGTTGTCCCAGAAATGTGTGAACATTTTCAATATCTTTTGTTTCACTAATACTATTAAGTTAAAAATTGGCATACATCATGATCAACATTTTTTGACTATTAATGCCTAAAAATTTCAATGAATATTTCTATAAATAACATTTCCCTCTCAGGTATACGAATCTTACAAATCAGTTGTCGGCGCAACACTTACGACGTCAAAACGTAGCTCGTAGCGTTTGTGAATTTGTTCTGGAAGTGTGCTTCTGATAAAATTTGTTTAAGCATAAATTCTACACTGTACTGAATTTTCTTTTATTTACCAAGTTATACATCTCAAATACTAGCGTTACCGAAAGATTGCTGAATTAAGTCTTCTAATAGACAATTTTTCAATCCCGATAATAAACCTAACAGTTCCCATTGTTTAACGGCTGCTTTCACTTGGGCCTATGACTTCCAGCTCCTGACTTTCAGTTTGTCTTCATTTTTTTTTGGTCTACAAAACGCCTCTTCTATCGGATAACCAGTCAAGCCATCCTCAAACCTCTTCAACTAGGAATAAACCTGTGTCCGAGATTTATGTTTCTGTTTTTCCATCGTTAACATCTCTTTTGTCGTATGGACAGGAGTCATATCCCGCTCAACACAGTACTGCTTAATAATTTGGTGCTCCACATTATCGCCAAACGTCACCATTTTTGACAATTTCAGTTAAAAGTGTTTTGGCATATAACGACATATATTTGTCAAATTAATGAATTTTTATACACGAGTACACCAGATCAAAGGGTATTTATGGAGGTATATTTTGTGACATTATATTTCTGTGTAGCCTGGTATTAAAGAAAACTTCATTGACAATGCTACTTTTAAAAGTAAAAAAATTGCCGTGCGCCGACCACCGATGTTTAACACCCTTTAAATGCTGTTTTTATATACTTATGACACCACAAGCCTAAAATATTTTGTCAAAATACCGAAAATATTATTTTTCAACAACGTGCAAAAAATTATTAGTTTTGGTCAAATAGTTTCTGAAATATTCAAAAAATTTCGCATTTTTCTGGGACAACCCTTGTATAATTATAGTTTTGACTAAAAATTTTGATGCTTTAATATTTTCAATGTTTTAATATAGTTTTTTCTTATTATGAAATTACAGAAATAAATCAAAATATCAAATGCAAAATTTAATCATTTTTTCCCTGTTCTTTTCGTAGATTCTCTTTCTCCAAATTCACCACTATGATATAGAATATAGACATTAATTATCTTACCTGGACAAATTCCCATTTTGCACACATTTTCTCAATGCCTGAAATTCAAATGTGTGCAAAACGGGAACAATAATAGTACTGGCATGCATCATTACATGTATAAAACACCTTTTTTAATATTTAACTTGAAAAATAAAGTATTTGAAATGTAACTGAAATGTAATTGAAAAATACAAGACATTTTTGGAATGTATTTATAAATTCATTCAATTGTAATTGAAAGCAAACTCAATTACAAATACTTTCAATTACTATGAAAAATGTATTTAAATACAGTAAACTCATTTCAATTACCCCATCCCTGCATGGTTACAATCATAGCAACAAATACAAAAACAAAATCATATGAAAAGCATGGTACCATTCTAATCATGTTTCATTGTACTGCATATAATGAAATATCTTTAACTGATAATTTAAAATGTTAATAATAAAATATAAATATTCAGTATCATGCTAATATGAGAGGCATCAGTATAATGTGCTGCCAAGAGTGTGTTCGTTCATAGATCATTAGTTTTCTCTAATTGTTAATCTGGGAAAGAAGTTTTTTTTTGTTTTTTTGATCTCTGGAGTAAGTGTGAAGAAGGTATTCAAATACATATAACAATGAAACTCATCAGTAACAAGGTAGTATTAATCTGATCCATTGATCATGATGACAGAAAAAGTTGTGTCTGGGAACTGTGAGTACAGATGACTACCTTCAAAGACTTCTATCCAGACCCTGTCCCCCACCTGTAAATGGTGGACAACAAGGTTGGAGGCTGACTGGTAGACATTAACAGATGATGAAGTCCAAGCTATGACTCCAGCCTTAACTGAACCATTAATCATTATTTGTGTCCTTAAGATTTCATGGTAGAATGCCACATTAGTAGAGAATATAAAGTAGAGTCCGGCCTTTGGGGCAGTAAACACGCCTGAGCTGGGGTTATATCCTCCTCCCACCTGGTATATGATATCTGGGAATGTAATTATATCTCCTAGTGCATATCTATGTTGGCCATATAATTCTCTTAAAATTCCAGCTGTAAAAGCTACATTTGATTGAACACCTAAAAAAAATGCACAAGATTATAATTTGCAATTCTATTCAAGTCATATTAATTTGGTACCATTTATACCATTATTCATTTATACCGTAATTATATGTACATGTATTACATGTATATGTATTTAATATCTTTTTAGCTCACGACCTGAATTTATATACTACAGTGAAAACTGTCTAATCCGACACCTGTGCAATCCGACACACTGTGAATTCCAACGTTAAAATTTGTTCCCATTTAACTATATTCCATGTATTTTTACACTGTGCAATCCGACACCCCGTCTAATCCGACACAAAATCGGTCTCCCAGTGCATGTCGGACTAGACAGGTTTCACTGTATAAAAATATTGTACGTTGCCTTCATGTACCATAATGATATTTTTGCATTTAAATGCAATAATTGTGCGATTAAACGCAAATCTTTTGCATATAAACACAATACTGTTGAAATTTGATGCAATAAATTTACATTAAAACACAATAATATTTTACATTTTAACACAAAAGATTGTGTTCGAACACAAAAGTTTGCGTTTAAAAGCAATAATCATTGCATTTCAATGTAATACTCTTAGCATTTAAGTGCAATAGTCCTTGCTTTTAAATACAATTCATTTTGCATTTAAGCACAATGATATTGTTGCGTCAAATTCAGACATCAATTAACCAAAACTTGTAATATTATATTAACTA